TAACCATCGAAATACCGAATATCGGGAGGTAGCACCTTGTGGGGATTATAGGAAATCGTGGACCTTTATAGATCTCTTTCGGCCTGAGAAGATGATATCCATTTAGAACTTCAAATATCAAATTTGAAAGAATTCCGTTGGAAAAATATGGCTACAATCAACAAAATATCGAATATCGGGAGGTACCTTCCTATGGGGGTTATACGAAAACGTAGACCATTATACCCCATTTTCTATCTCATCAAAATTCTAGAAATAAAGGGCGTATGATCAACATTTTAGCCATCTGGGTCGATAACATTAAAAGTTAGAGTGGTTAACCCAGACGAACCTTTTTATATCGTCTTAGAATTTTATGCTGATCAAGACACCATATTTGGTTTGAAATACTTATTTCCAGAAATTACAAACCGAATTACAAACTTAATATGTCCTCCATAAAATATCCTTCACAAGTTTATGGAGGTCACATCAATAGCTATTTTATTTTCCCTCACGTTTGGGGGGCCACCCTCGCTTGCATCTCGATGCTGCTGACGTATGCATTAGCCTGTGCAACAATTGTTTGGTCAAAGGACATTTTACACAACAACGATGTTACAACAACCACAATAGCAACACAAAGTAACATTTTTTATTTTCAACGAAACAATTGGGCGGAAAACGCTCCACGTCTGCCTTCATGGCATTGTTGCATTTCGTTCTAGAGATTGCGGGAAATCTCTTGCAAAAAGCAAAAAAAAACGTAGATGCAGTCATCCTCTGTCCTTCTACTATCAATGCCTTCAAAGCAACAACAACAACAAAAGAGTAAGTAAATCTGGGTCAACTCTGGTACAGCAGCAGCAACATCATCATCATCATCATCTACGCCATCGACATCGTCAAAGCCCTCGACATCGTCATCATCGTTCATTACAACGACAAAAATGCAATAATTGTGTTGTTGCAACAACAATTTGTTAGGCCACTACAACATGCATCTTAATTAAACAATAAAGTCTACTCTTGTCGTTGCTTTTACAACAAGTTGTTCAAGGAACAACTTCGTTTTCGAAATGGAAAATGTAGCTGCAGTGGAAGCTGGCGTCATCAAAGAGAAGAGATTGTGGCATCATCTCACAGACCACCTCCCAGCCTAGGCAGACTGGGTGGAGATAGAAGACAGGCAAATATTCAGACCGACCGACAGACAGGCAGGCAGTCACTATCATAGGTAGATATAGGTACTAATAAAGACATGCCTCCTTCTCTCTCTCTCTCCAGTCAGCTAGCCAGCCAGCCAACACCACCAATTGAGACACCTCTGTGAACCATGAACTAATTTTCTGTTGCGGTTTTTCTTTTCAAAGACATGAAATGACGTAGTCAAGTCAATGCCGCAACAAAACGGGTAACCCATAGATGGATACATACACACATTCGCATGTGTAAAGGTTCAATAGGTCTCACTGTATTCGATGCTGGTCGCACGTTTAACATTTTCTATGTTGAGAAGTTGTTGTTGTTGCATCTTCGTGGGAGTGTTAAGCTGTGAAAATGGAAATCACTTATTATTAGCAAAAAATGTGCTACATAATGGGTTAAGTATTTAGGACTTTTTTGATCGAAAAAAGATTTAAAACTTGCATTAATAATGTCATCTATTCTAGGAGGTTGGAACGTTCGGAAAAAATAAAGCCAGACCATTGATTATGTGGAACGCAGTGTGATTTCAAACACTCCCAACACACGGTACATTCTGGTCCAAGGCAAGGGCTTGCACATAGGAACAAGACAATGTGTGCTACAAATAAAAAAACGCGCAGAATTTAATACCATCCCGAACCGATATATGGAAGTTAAAGGAAAACGTGGACCAGTATAGAAAACCTTGGGGCCTACGAATGCCAACTTTGAAACCATTCCGTTAGAAAATATGGCTTAGCACGCCAAAACACCGAATATCGGGAATAGAGGTGGCCAAAAAGCAAATTCCAAATAATTCCGTTGAAAAAATTTAGCCCAACTCATTAGAAGACCGAATGTCAGAAGGTACCTTTAAATACCTATATAAACAATTTTATGACAAAGGAAGTAGAAATCATAACAAACTACCAATTCCGAACTTTAAGCAAACCTGTTAGGAAATGTCGCTTTAATCCTTAAAATACCGAATATCGTAAGGTACCCATATATTTGGGCTGCAGGAAATGTGACAGAATGTATGCATTGATCTTCCACCGGAGGAAGAGCCCACTACGAACTCTAAATGCCGAATTTGAAGGAAATCTATGAAAAATTCCGACTAAAATCGTAAAAATACCGAATATTGCGAGGTACTGCTATTTTGGGGCTATAGGAATACGGGGACCGATAAAGCTCATTTTCGAATACCAATCATCCAGCTCTACAATAACCGAAACCTACAACTTTCATTCAAAGGCTATAAAAAATATTGGACCCAGTGTCCCCACCCCGTATACGACCCTGGTATTGATTGCTGTTGTGACAAAACATATGTTCGATGATTATCTGCAGCCACAGATCTTTTAGTGAGCGAGTTGGCTATGCTGACATGGCAGCTAAAAATATATGCGAATCTGTTCCATGTGCTGGCTAGGCGTAACATATATTTTCATCAGTTCCAATACGAATTCTTCAGTTGCAATGGATAACGTGTGGACCCCGAGAACGACTTTCTTACTGTAGTGGTAGTCGATGACTGCATCAGTATGAATGCTATTCAGACCTGCCAAATAAGATTCTTAATTTAGAGGCAATATCTTATATCGTTAGACCTCTATCTAGTCATAAAGGTCCTTCCTGACACGCCTTGATACACTATATCCAACATATAACGGTTTGGATAACTTCCACGAGAACACCCAAGCAGGTACTGCATTTAATTAGGCTGACGTACGGAAAGAACCTTTATCTCCCCAAGCAAATGGTCCACAGGAGTTATGAGGAGGCACCATTTTGTAGCTCTCAGGACGGGACGGCATAGCTAACCACAAACCGAACCATCGTTTTATGAGAAGTCAACAAGTTATCTTTTTCAGCTCCCAAATGTACCTACTTTTTAACTTATCGAGCATCTCCGCAGTCCATGTGATAAAAAGTATGGTCGTTGATAAAGATTATACGGTCTTCATTCTAGCTCCAATAGCCCCCCGATTGGGGGCTACATAGTCGACTTATAGTTGACCAATTGCATAGTGTCTCAGGCGATTGTGTCTGACGTCTTCAACCTAAAATATAGCAATATATTTGGCAATAACATAGCTCGGGGTGGTTTTGATCTACTGATTGATTAGACTATCAACACCACCACAGATAAGATAGTAAGTCAGCTGCTTCAAAATAAACTCTCATCGTAGAAAATATTAGAAGATGAAACTCGGAAACCAATTGAAGTCTTCTGAGGTCATCTGACCAAATATCTCTACAAAAAGAGAATAATTTGCTTAATTTCATAATTAGCAGATCAGCTCTAAGAATCGCGCTGGGCATATTGTCTACCCACGACATTATCAGATATCTGATCTCAAATTGGGATAAAAGTGGTCTTGACTACTTGAAGTCTATGTGAGCATAAAGAAAAGATAGCTACGATTGAAGTCTTACTAGTTAATTGTTCCATGTTATCAAACGGGAGACATAGGCTACTTGGTAGATGGAAGATAGAAACTCTACCTTTCTTCTCAAGCGTAGATCCCACCATCATTATCTATAAGTTTGCGGAAAGCATCTCCTGCCTAGGCAAACCAACCCACAAAAACCCCTCTACAAACCCTTCTTTTCACTATTCTATCTCTAATTACCCTTCCTGGGATGAACACAATGAACCAAGGTTAAGCGAATGGAGCTGCGCCCGATTTTCGTTTAGCTGTGCATCCTTAAACCAAACCAACCTGCTGCCAGCGCCATGAGTCGTCTCACCTTAATTCGATTCAGCAGCAATGTTTATCCCTTTGTTTCAGATATCGGTAGAAATCCTGACCGGGCTTGCATGCAGTATACGCACTGGTCTACAAATCCCAGTTTTCTCAAAATTCAGATTCTATTTTCCTTCCTTGATGCTTGCAAATCGCAACCAAACAACAAAGTGTCTGTCAATGTTCTCGAAAATTTAATTTAAAACAGGTATCTACAATGAAAATAAATTAAGTTATCTTCAAAACATTTCAAATACCTCACCTCACCCTCCCCCTTACACCATCCTCCATTCTTTCCATCGTAATGAAAATCTAACATTACCTTGAAACATTATAAACAAAACAAATGAAGCAAAATAGCATGACCTTGTGCCACCAGAGGAGAGCTGGTTATTGTTTTCCATATTAGGCGTGGTCTTGACCAATTAGCCAAAAGGGGAGGCGAAAAACTTAAAATTAAAAATACTACCTATAGCTGGTATTATCCTTCATTTGCCAGGATATCTATTCCTAGATTTTTATTGCAAAAAACTATTTCAGATTATCTCCCAGTAGCAAGGACGAACAAACAGAAACAAGGTGGATGGATGGATGTATGGATATGGCGCAGAGTGCAAACTGCAATAGTTTTTGCAAAGTGAATCTGGCTCAAGGACATTTTGAGATGATGAAAAGCAAAGCAAGAAGAAGAGCATGCAACCACAACAACAACGACGAGGACGACGACGCAGCTTTAAACCATGACAACAACACTGGCTGGCACTGTCATGAATTGCATAAAGGCAAGGATAAAATAGAAAACACACGCGCATAACTAGAAACCCTTCCTCTTCAGCTCGCCTGCACTGCAACGCATAATGATGGGTGGTGGTGGTGTTGCAACAACAAAGGTGACTCTGGCAAAAATAAATGCTGTTGCAGCAAACAAGCAAGCATCCGAGTAAATGGCAAGGACTTTTGTGTTAATATACATTCACATATATCCCCCTCTACTGAAATACAATGCAATACCATCCAAACCCAAAAAGCATGGATATTCTGTCCCCTTATTCCCACTGCTATTCCCTCACAGATACTCACCTGCTGCAAAGTGTAGCGGTGTCGATTTCCTTCCAGCCGTATCACGAGCATTAACTGTCTGCGATGTTATCAGCTTCTTAACTTTGCCAATTTCACCCGTTTTGCAGGCTTCGAACAGCTCACGCAATGGATCATTGATGACCGCATCCAGGTTAACATTTATAGCTCGACTGCGGCTGGTCATGGTATTGAATCCAACATTAAATCCACCAATAATTGTTTGCAAGTTGATGTTACAACCGTTGTGGGGACGGGCGGGTGAGGAGGACCAGCAACCAGACCAGACGACACTCTTTTTATTTTCTGTTGTTTTCTTACTTTACGTTTTGTTAGTAAAATTCGTCGTTGACAGAGAACAAACACCAAAATCAAGACAAGAAAAATGTTTTGCCCCAACTAGGAAAAAAAAATTTTGTTTTTTCCTTTGTTTTCTTTTTTTTTTTCCTGCCTGGTTTTATTTTACACAATTATTTTTCTCTGGGTTTGTTTTTTTTTTGTTGGCAGCCCTTTTCACAAATATTTCCCACGAAACAACAAGGGCGTTTTCAAAAAGATATTCCCTTGAATATTTTCTTGGCTATTCTTCTTTAAATTTCCACACAATATATTTTTCTTATTTTATTTTGCACACTTCTTATTTTCCTTTGCAATCGCACTTCTTGATTTTCCAGCTCAACTTTGGCCAAATTTTATTAAACTTTTCTTCTTTCACACACTCTCGCACACGCACAGCTAATCATGTATTTTTTCCTTTGCCAACTTATTTAAACCAATGCATTTTTGATTTTTGGATGAATTTTTTTCCGTTCGATACATTCGATCCGAGACGACAGAGATTTTTTATTTATTTCTTTTCGCTCAACAGCTGAATTAGGGATAACTACGTCGACTTGAGACACCTATACCAAGAAAAGTACTGCCAATCACAAAAATGTGGCACAAAACGAACGGAAGAAGATAAGTGGTGCCTCCAACAACAAAAAGGGTGTTCGAAACACAACCAAGAAAAGTAATGCCTATTTTTCATGGAAGAAATATGTACATTATGAAGAGAAATCATGGAAAAAATATAAAAAATATAATAAAAAAAATTACAACAGCATCAGGTTTCAGATGCAATTATGTGGTTTTTAATAAAACCCGCTCGAGTGAAATAAATGTTTGTTTTCGTTTGACTGATCTATAAAACTATTTTGCAGCATTTAGAGTACGTTTACATTGAAGAAGGAAAACTATACAAATGCAAATCAGGAAATACCCTATAGAATTTTGTTATTGTATGTAATGATAAGTCATAATCTCATGATACACATTTTTTTATAATATTTCGTTGACAACATCTAACTTTAAAAATTAGAAAATAATGAAACAAATAAATAAAAAAATCCTCCTTCGAAATGTACGCAAAACTTATGTTTTGTGGCAAAAAATATATTGATAAAGTAATAAATGGCAAGAACAAGTTTTTAAAAAAATTGTAAAATTCAGAAAAACGCATGAAAGTTTTATTTGAATTGATTGTACGGCCCATATAATTGAACATTTGAAAATTATTTCATGCAAATTTTGACACGACTTATCCTCAAATTGTTCATCCGCTTTGTTCAATGTTGGCATACTCTTCTCAACCTTTCGTCCGGTTTCTCAAACAATATTCAAAAGACATTAAATTGCATGATCTAGGCGGTCAATAGATGACCGTTCCCGAAAGTGCAATAAAGTGTTCATCGAACTCGTATCTCATTGTTACGCATGTTGGGTGGCAAGTAGCAACGTCTCGTTGAAACCATGGTACAATAAGGAGATAGAACAGCTTTGTAAAAGTACAGAAATACAGCCCTGAGGCTATGCCCGCTTCATTTCAGACTCATTCAGAATTATATGCAACAAATTGTTTAATTTTTTTCATATTTGTCCTCATTTGTAAATAGCGCAAAAAATTAATGAAATGCCTGAATTTTCTTTAAAAAATATGATCCAAACTATTCAATCTTTCAATATCATGGCTAAACTGGTTAAAGGCTTTAATGCGCTAGCCGCAATTTACGTGTCTTCCAATCATTTGTTTTCAAAATGTTTTTTTTTTTTCATATTTCAAAACAATAAATACATACACAAAATTTGCAGACATTGGGCACGCTTAGAAAGAACTTTTTATTGTACCATGGTTGAAACCATGGTACAATGAAGAGAAGGTAGGTCAACTTTGAAAAAATTGCAAATATAGGGGTCTACCTGTTTGGCTTGTAATGTCAGAATTAGTATCAAAACAATAAAAAATCAAACAACCTGTTGCATTTATTTTGAATAAATAATTTCAAACCGCGAAAAATGAATGAAAGGTCAAAATTCCTTTTCAAAATTATGTTCTATATATCTCTTATGCTTTATTTCGCAACAAAAACTGTAGATTTTGTCGAGGTATACGTTGCAATAAGCATTTTGAAAACACCCAAATTTGAATATTTCCTGAACAATTTTTTATTATTGAAAAAATACACACACATAAACAAATGAAGTTGACATATTAAGCCAGAAAAATGAAAAAATTGAAATCATATGGTTGTTCTGCCCTACCTTGAATTCATTGTACCATGGTTGAAACCACATGGCATGTAAGCCAAGCTCTTGTATTTTGGTAAAAAGGTTAGATATCATCTCACGAAAAAAAAGGTTGGATATCATCTCACGGTAGCGCTCACTATTCGCGGTTACATTACGATTCGCAGAATCTTTGAAGAAGTACATCCCAATGATGCCACCAGCTCAAGCTGCTATTAGAGGATAAGGTTTGACATATATACTGTCAGTTTTCCATGTGTATTTCCGTGTTTACGTCAAAATTGCCATTTTACAAGTGGCTCATAATTCTTGCTATCACATGCTTGCGTATGTTTTTTAATTCTTTTGGTCATGTGTTTATGTTGTATTTTCTAAAAAAAAATATGATACTTGTATATTTTTACAAAACAAACAACACTTCATGGTTAAATTAAGGAGGTAAAGTCATTTCAAACAGGACTATCCATATCTGCATTTTCTGCAATTTACTTTGTCAAAAATCCCATCTCTGATTTTTGTGTATACAATGGATTTATAAAAATAAATTTTGACAATTAGATGTTGTCAAATTAATAATTTTGGAAAAAAAGTTTAAACATCTGATGACTTTACCTTCTTAATACTACCATGCAACACTTTTGATTAAATTATATTTTTTCGACATAATAAGGCTCGCTGTGATCGAAAAAGTATTTCACATGTATTTCAGAACTAAAATGTTCACCATGTATCAGACGATGTGTGCAACTTCTGCATATGTACAATTTGACACTACATATAATAACTCTTAAGGTGAGAATACATAAAAGGCTTTTTGAGTGGCTTAAGTCACCGGCTGGCTTCTTCGTAGAGGAACAAAGACGTTTTAGGGTGACATAGTTCGATTTTGGCACTGTACTCCTTTGTTCTTTTGCGCAGAAGTCAGCTTTTTGAGTGGCTTAAGTCACCGGCTAGCTTAGTTCGATTTTGGCCCTGTGCTCCTTTGTTCTTTTGCGAAGAAGTCAGCCGATGACTTAAGCCAGTCAAAATAGCGTTTTATCTGTTTTCACCTTTATCTGGTAGCAGCTTTATAAATCGCACCAAATATCATCAATTGTCATTCTTATCAAATTGTCATTTATCAAAAGAGCTGATAATATTGATTCTATAACAATGTGTAATTTGTCATGTATTTCCCATGGGGGGTTCGAACTTCTATTTAAGTTTTATCATAAATAAACACTTAAAATAACAATATTTTTGTCACAATTCTTAATGTTGATGATTTGAACATGTTCATATATTCAATACTGCAAGTACAATGCATGTTCTTTGTGTGAGTAATAGTTGATAAATATGCAATCAAATCAAAAATATTAATGATCGGGGAATGTAAAGCTGGGAATACATAAAGCGCTTATTTGGCTGGTTTCTTCGTAGAGGAACAAAGGAGTTTTAGGTTGACTTAGTTCAATTTCGGCTCTAGGCTCCCTTGTTCTTTTCCCAAGAAGCCAGCCGATGACATAAGCCAGCCAGAAAAGCCTTTTATGTACTCTCAGCTTAAGATGCCACCATAAATTTTGAATGTTTTAAGGTTAGAATACATAAAACGGCTTTTTTTGATTGGCTTAAGTTATCGGCCGGCTTCTTCGGAAAAAAACAAAGGACCACAATCGAACTAAATCAACCTAAAACTCCTTTGTTCCTCTACGCCAATTAAAAAGCCCTTTAAGTACTTTTGTAGGGGTTTTCCCATATTTACTTTGAACATTTAACTTTGCTTTTTAATTGAAACTATGTAGCCTTAGGTTTTGGTTTATACATATTTTGAATTCATGTAATACACATTTTTTCATTCTTTAAAATATTTTCAACTAACGAAGTTGGTTTTTATTAAAATAAATAATTATTAATATTTTTTATAATAAATTGTGTTTTAACCACAATTTGGTGACCCCGACGTGATTGAAATGGCTGAAGAAAACGTTCGCACATCGCAGTCAGGAGGAGATACGCATTTAGTTGGGGATTCTCATCCCTCGAATTCAATGCACATTTTTGCTGCTAGAATTGCAAAACTGCCCCCATTTTGGCGTGAGGAGCCCGAAATTTGGTTCTTACAAGTCGAATCCAGCTTCAATTTAAATGGAATTACGCAAGATTCTACTAAATATGAATATCTGATTAGTCATCTGGACCCATCAATTTTGTTTGTATTGAAGGATATCGTGATAAATCCACCATCAACTGGAAGATACGCAGCAATGAAAGCTAGAATAATCAAACATTTCGCTGAATCAGATGAGTCGCAGTTGAAGAAATTGCTGAGCGGTTTGGAATTAGGTGATCAAAAGCCGTCACATCTTCTACATAGAATGAAATCTCTTGCTGGCACCAGGGTAAGCAATGAAATTATGCGCACGTTGTTTATGGACCGTCTTCCAGAAAATGTTAAATGCATCCTCGCTGTAACCGATACCATGGACTTAGATAATCTATCTGGTATAGCAGACAAAATTTACGAACAATTTTCAGCATCAACAACAATTTCCGAAATTTCTTCAAATAATAAAACTAACCAAGATTCATCCGGGTTGGATGGTAAGTTGAATGAAATTATTCATCGAATTGATGCGCTCGAACGGCGCTCCCGTCAACACCAAGCGAAACAAATTGTGCAAGTCCCACGAGCTCGATCTAAATCTAGAAGCCGTAAAGACTCGGGTTTGTGTTGGTATCATTGGCGATTTGCTGATAAAGCATCAAAATGCGTTCAACCATGTAAGTTTCAATTATCAAAAAACTAGTAAAACCATCGTGTGACAGTTCGGCGTCTCTCGGCGATGGTAGTAATAATCGTTTATTTATTACTGAACGCCGTACTAAAATAAAATACTTGATTGATTCTGGAGCTGACATTTCAATTTTTCCATGCAAATCCTCAAAAAACCCTTCAAAGCTAGTTTTATATGCTGCCAACAATACTCCTATCTCAACGTTTGGTGAGAAACTTATTGTTCTCGATTTGGGTTTAAGAAGAGAATTTAAATGGGTATTCATTTTGGCCGATGTACCCAAACCAATCATTGGTGCCGATTTTTTAAAATTCTTTCATTTATTGCCAGATCTTCAAAGAAAATGCTTAGTCGATGGGAACACTTTTTTGAATTCACCACTATCAAGCTTGGGTTGCTCTAATATTCAAATAAAAATGGTTACAGATGAAAGCAAATATCACGAAATTGTAAAACAATATCCTGAATTACTTTCGCATAACCTTAACAAAATAGATGTCCAACACCAAGTGTTACATCAAATTACTACTAACGGAAACCCAGTTAAGGCAAGGCCCCGAAGATTAGATCCTGAGAAATTAGCTGCTGCAAAGGTTGAGTTTCAGTATCTTATGGAAAAAGGTATTATTCGTCCCAGTAATAGTAATTGGTCCAATCCATTACATATGGTCCGCAAATCGGATGGTTCTTGGCGTCCTTGTGGGGACTATAGGGCACTGAACAAAATAACTGTCCCAGATAGTTACCCTATACCATACCTTAACGATTTTTCCATGTTATTATCTGGTTCCACTGTATTTTCAAAATTTGACTTGCTGAAAGCTTATTACCAGATACCAGTAAATCAAGCGGACATTCCAAAAACTGCTGTCATAACTCCGTTTGGTCTGTTCGAATTCTTAAGAATGCCATTCGGGTTATGTAACGCGGCGCAGACTTTTCAGCGTTTTATGGATGAAGTTGTTAGAGGCCTTGATTTCGTCGTAGTATATCTGGATGATGTGCTAGTTTTCTCCAAATCTGAAGAAGAACATTTGGAACATATCAAGCAGCTATTGGAACGTTTTAAGAAGTACGGCATTATTATAAATGCCGGTAAGTGTGAACTTGGTGTGAACGAAATTGATTTTTTAGGCCATACAATATCATATAAAGGCGTCAGTCCAATGAAGAAAAAGGTTGAAGCAGTTCTGAGTTACAATCAACCATCAACAATCCATTCACTTCGTCAATTTTTGGCACTAATCAATTTTTATCGGAAGTTTTTACCAAAAGGAGCCGAAACACAGGCGCCTCTGAATAGTTTATTGATCGGTGCAAAAAAGAAGGATATGCGTCCAGTTCCATGGACTAACGAAACCCGGGAAGCCTTCATTAAATGTAAACAGGAGTTAGCCGATGCAACTACTTTGTCTTTTCCTTTGCCGAACGCAACAATAGGCCTTAAAGTCGATGCGAGTTCTTTTGGAATGGGTGCTGTGCTTGAACAAAATGTAAACGGTTCATGGCAACCATTGGGATTTTTCTCTAAAAAACTAAATGACGCTCAGAAGAAGTATAGTACTTATGATCGAGAATTATTAGCCATATATTCCGCTATCAAGTACTTTCGACATTTACTTGAGGGAAGGCCATTTAAAATATTCACGGATCATAAGCCTCTCATTTACGCATTCCATCAAAATTTGGACAAGGCCTCACCTCGGCAATGCCGTCATCTGGATTATATAGCGCAGTTTTCCACTGATATTAACCACATCGCTGGAAAAGAGAATATAGTAGCTGATTCTCTTTCAAGAATAGAAGAAATCAGTACGAAAGGAATAGATTATAGCAAATTGTGTCAACAACAGCAGCAAGACATAGAAATTAAGGAATTAATTAATAAGGATGGACCTTATTCAATTAAGTTGCTAAATTTTCCATTGGGGAATTATCAAATATATTGTGATGTTTCTCAAGGAACTATACGACCTTATATTCCATCTACTTTTAGAAAAGATGTCTTCAATGCAGTACATAATTTATCTCATGGTGGTATTCGGACAACGAGAAAGATGATATCGCAACGATTTTTTTGGCCATCCATGAATAAGGATGTTGGCAATATGGTTCGAAGCTGTTTACCATGTCAACGCAATAAAATTGACAGACATACTTCGAGTCCAACTATGAATATTCCAATTGAAAGCAGCCGTTTTTCAGAGGTACACATAGACATAGTTGGACCATTACCACAATCTGAGGGTAATACATACTTGTTAACGTGTATGGATCGTTTTACTCGATGGCCAGAAGCATTTCCGATCCCTGATATTAGGGCGGAAACAATTTGCAAAACATTTTGGAACGGATGGATATGTAGATTTGGTTGTCCGAATGCTTTAATTTCAGATAGAGGAAGCCAATTTTTATCTAGTCTTATGAAACAATTAACAACATCACTCGGTATACAACATCGTTTTTCAACATCTTATCACCCACAAAGTAACGGGTTGCTGGAGAGATTCCACAGGACATTAAAGGCGGGTCTACGATGCTCTGAAAACAATCAATGGACAGTTTCACTTTATCCAGTACTACTCGGAATACGTGCTAGTTACAAAGAAGATTTAAAAGCATCGGTTGCAGAATTGGTCTATGGTCAATCCCTCAAAATACCAGGAGATTTCTTCACAGTTCCGAAATTTGAAGATCCTAGTTCCCTAGTAACCACTCTTCGGAAATCCATGTGTGATTTGCAGCCAACACCAACATCAATGCATTCGAACAACAAACCTTTTATTAGCAAGAACCTCTTAACATGCACTCATGTTTGGATTCGAGTTGATGCAAAAACAAAATCTTTAGGACAGAAATACACCGGCCCATATGAAATCTGCAAACGAACCCCGAAATATTTCCAAGTTAAGATAAACGACAAATTGCAAAACGTTTCCATAAACCGACTTAAAGCAGTATATACTGAATATGATATATAATTGGTTTGCTAAATTTAGTTTAAATTCAGGGGGGAGTGTTGTAGGGGTTTTCCCATATTTACTTTGAACATTTAACTTTGCTTTTTAATTGAAACTATGTAGCCTTAGGTTTTGGTTTATACATATTTTGAATTCATGTAATACACATTTTTTCATTCTTTAAAATATTTTCAACTAACGAAGTTGGTTTTTATTAAAATAAATAATTATTAATATTTTTTATAATAAATTGTGTTTTAACCACACTTTCACCTTTAGTATCTTGAAAAATAACCTGTTTAACTTGAGTTTAACATTTCATTTCAACATTTCATTGTCAAAATATATATTTTTAAATCCATTGTAAATACACAAATCAGAGATGGAAACCTATTTTTATGCACTGACATTTGACAAGATAATTTACAGAAAATGCAGAGATGGGAGAGCTTATTGATGACTACCTTCTTCATTTTACCATTCTTCTTTCATTTCCCCTATTTTTTCGTTCGTTTGTCCTGTGCTTTTATTTTTTAAAAAATATTCAATCGTTTTTGGAATTGACAGTTGAAATACACTCAATTTTGTATATGTAAACATGAGTTTAGGCGACGTTAATACCATGGCAGAAAAATACACGGAGCATTAATATGTCAAAAAAAATTTAAATGTTTTTTTCAAATATAACTAGATTTTTATATTTTCTTATACTACGTCAGTAGGCTATATAATTCGCGTTTTTCAAAAATGTTTACAAATTTAAGTAATGTTTCATTCGACATTTTCAATTCCAAAAGTGGTTTGACAGTTCATTGTCCCAGCAGATGTGTCGAGGCGTCTACCTATATTCTTCTACCATGGTTAATACGCTATACGCTGGGATTATTCGAATATAAATTAACATCACATTTTTTTTCTTGGGACAACCTCAACAAAACCAGCTGCATCTTCTTTGAAATTTGTTAAATCCGAAGATAATTGTTGCAAATAACATTGTTTACAATTTCTGGCGATTGACCAATACATCGAAACCTTTCTCCCAATCATTTGAGAATAACAATTATTTAATTGTGAGATATGTGTTCCGTTCATTTACCAACCAAGTCAAGTGCAATCGATAGGTTGCTCTCGAACAAGCCGTGTTGAGGTATTGTTTTCCAATGGATTTACTAAAAACAACAATGAACAAATCACGTATCAACCGAAAATCATGCATGCACCCCTAGGTAAACACTTGAAGAGATATGACAAGCGGAAAATACTTAAGTGTCGAGTAGATGAAAAGTTTAATAAAAGGCGCCATATTTTCACAAATCAACACCACAGTTCGTTGCAGTGTAATAAACAACGGAGTGATATTTCGAACGGGACTCAAATTACGGAAATGCAATAAAATGTTAAAGTTAACAAAATTCGTAGTGCTTTTGCTTTTGGCTGTATCCTTTCAAAGTTCGTCGGGATGTAAACGAGTCGAGGAGTCGAATAAATTTGCCAATACGGATATATCGGTGAAATTGAAAAGATCCGGAAAGTTACAATATGAATTAGTAAAAGGTGAAATATTTTTCAAGGATAATAAAGTGTTTTGATGAATGGGCAGTGAAAGCAGGACGCATGTTGAAATCTAATTGGCATTATTTTATTTCGTAATTTGTGTAATAGCATGTTTACATAAGAGTTTTATTACCGCTTTAACATTCTTTATGAAGATTTATTTGATATATCCATGATAGAAGAATACAGGTAGTCGCATCGACACAGCTGCTAGGACACTGAACTGTCAAACCAATTTTGGAAGTAAATTTTTGAAATGAAAAATTATTCAAATTTGTAAAAATTGTTTAAAAAAAGGCATATCATAACAACCTTCGATTGGTGTCGTATAGAAAAATATGTACAAATCTACTTTTTTTGAAGAAACATTAAAAAATTAAAAAAAATAAATGAACCTGTATTCTTCTACCACGTGACAGCACAATGTGAACGGGATAATTTTTCAAACGTGTTCGTAAAAACAAATCGTAATATCTTTTCCATAAAGTGAGCTTATGGCATTGAAGGTTATTGTGCATTTATACTATTGAAGATTAACCTACATGGCTTAATAGATCTAGTGGGTTAACCTTGTGTCTTTAAATACACCCTTAGGCGGACATAACTGTCGCTCAGCTGATGTTTATTTACGTACGCATCATGGTAGAATAATACAGGCCGCAACCGCTGGGACAATGAACTGTCAAACGAGTTTTGAACGAAAATTTATTAAAATTTGTAAAAATTATGGAAAAATGCATATCAGAAAACCTCCTATTTGTGTCGTATAGGAAAACATATACAAATCTACTTACTTTTGACAAAACGTTTTTTTAATATTTTGACATATCAATGTTCCCAAGCGTTGATGCAACTATCGGTATTCTTCTACCAAGGATACACCCTTAGGAGGACATTACTGCCGCTCAGCTGATGTTTGTTTACGTATACATATGCAAAATCATGGTAGAAGAATACAGACAGTCGCATTGACGCAGATGCTGGGAATATAAACTGTCAAACCAATTTTGGAATAGAAAATTTTGAAAGAAAAATTATTCAAAATAGTTGAAAAAAGGCATATCATGATAACCTCCGATTGACGTCGTATAAGAAAATATATGAAAAACTACACAAATTTGAAAAAAAAAATAAAATTTTTTGACATATCAATGTTTTCCAGCGATGATGGATCTACTTATACATAAAACGCTTTTTGACTGGTTTAAATCATCGGTGGGCTTCCTCAGAAAACAACAAAGGAGCGTAGGGTCAAAATCGAACTAAGTCAACCTACAACTCCTTTGTTCCTCTACGAAGAAGCCAGTCAAAAGTCATTGTGTGATAAAACCCACCTAAACTTAACTTGTTGTTTAATCGATGTTCCATAATATTGACCACACTTCTCTCTTAAGTGTGGCTACAAATAAAAAACATATGTCAACAATAATATAATTGCTGATAACAATTAATATTTCTATTGTATTGTATTGTATTTTTTTTTTTTGTTAAACATTTTGCAGTTGATATAATTAAATCAAGATAAGGGCATCAAGCATGCAAATTTTAATTGAAAATACAATGAATGTTTTCGCACCATTTGTGTGTCGAATTTCACTAAATAATTATTAGATTATATCAACTGGGTATTAGGGTGGGATTACTTAAGCGCATATTTGGCTGGCTTCTTCGTAGAGGAACAAAGGAGTTTAAGGTTGATTTAGTTCGATTTTGACCATAGGCTCCTTTGTTCCTTTAAGAAGCTAGCCCATGACCTAAGCCAGTCAAAAAAGCGTTTTATGTATTCTCACCTTTATCGTCTGACAGCAGCTTTATTCGTTTGTATATCCCTCGGTAGAAGAAAGAAGGTAACCCCATGCAACCATATGTTCCACAAAAGAATAATGTCCTCCTCTGAATTTTTCTGTGATTTACCTTTTCAAAATTAGCTGCATAGAAAACAAGTTTCCGTCTGATTTATGAATATTCAATTTGACAATGAGATATCGGTATTTATTTAGAAACAATAGAAAAATATGATTACACGAGGTTACCGATATAACTCTACCTTGGTGTATACTGATCTTTTTTCATACAATGGATTTATGAATATTCAATTTGACAATGAGATATCGGTATTTATTTAGAAAGAATAATATGATTACACGAGGTTACCTATATAATTCTACCATGGTATATACTGTTCTTTTTTCTTTTGTTCGCAATGTCAAATTCTTGTTAGCATTTCTTGTGATTGAAAAAAGTCTTAATAATGAGGTAAATAATCGAACCAATTTGTATGTCATACGACGCCAATTGGAGGTTGTTATGATATACGTTTTCCAACAATTATAAATAATTTGAATAATTTTTCATTCAAAATTTTCAATTCCAAAATTGGTTTGACAGTTCATTGTTCCAGCAGCTGTGTCAATGCGACTACCTGAATTCTTTAACCATGGTCGTCTATCATATTTGACATACTGGCATTGAAATACTGAAATCACAGTTAATTTATTCTGCAATATTTTTTATATGCCCAAGAAATAATAGGTTAAATTCTTCTTTCTGAGTTATGGAACATATAAATGTTCTTTCGTGCCAAGAAAACACCGAAAATAATAGATTATTCACTTTTTTGAAAAATTTGCCGCTCGCCATACGTAAATATTTTAGGTGTAAGAATAGGTTTTTTTTTCAATAATGCCAAGTTCGTGGAAAAAGGGTTGCCATATTTTATTTAGCAAATGAGGCTGCCTCTATTGTTTTGCCATGACTTAAATCCATAATCAAAGTAAGAGGTTACATTATATGCCCACAAACAATCACTATAAATGTACACTTCATTAAAACCACACCTTTCTCTTCTTTTTTTCATTTAGGTTCCAACATTTTACATACTGTCACCTTTGACAACTTCAACACCAACAATGATTTGATTATGACATCCAAGGGGACAATACAGATAAGTGATGGCAAGGAAACTATTGAATTCGAATTGGTTACATCGGATAGCACAGTAACCCACATTCGAGTAATTCGCGAAAATTTGCCCAATAATGGCGAACCAAAAGATTGTTTCGATTTAGATATGGCATCAACACATTGGTACGGCGGACCCGAAGATCGTTATCAATATTATCCCGTGGAACGTTTAACTTTTGAAAATTATTCCTATGTCACGAAGGAAGATCATAATGCTGGCGTAGCCGAACGTTATTGGCTAAATTCAAATGGTGTTTTCATTTTTGTTGAAACCGAAACGCCATTGTTTATAAATCAAAATGCTCCAGGCTATGAGAACAAATTGTGTTTATCGGCTCGCAACAGTTTGCCATATAACAGCCGGGCCACAGGTCGTAGTTTTGTTTATCACATCGGTGTGGCGGATAATGCCAAAACGGCGCATATGCATGCTGTGGAAACGTTGCTGGGACATCCTACGAGCTATCCGGACGAGCGAATGGTCAAATATCCCATATGGTCGACATGGGCATTGTACAAGGCAGATATAAATGATCAAATTGTACGAGATTTTGGCGATGCAATTTTGAAATATGGCTTTGAAAATAGCCAGCTGGAAATCGATGATGACTGGGAGGATTGTTATGGTGCACTGACATTCCGAAAATCGAAGTTTCCAAATATTAAACAGTTGACAGATGATTTAAAGGCCAAAGGATTCCGTGTTACACTGTGGATACATCCCTTCATTAACAAGAACTGTGAACCCACCTATAGTGATGCTCTTAACAAGGGGTATGTTCAATGGGAGAAAATTTATGATATGTTCACATATGACACAGTGTTTTGTTGGTATTTAGCATGACATACGAAAAGCGTCAAAAAAGCGTTTTATGTGTTCTTACATTAAGTGTGTGTAAACGTAATTTAACTGATCTTATCCCTTTTCAGATATTTAGTTCTAGATCACAAGGGAAACCCAGATACCCAATGGTGGAACAGCAAAACCGGTGAAGCCGCCTACGTTGACTTTACCAAAACCGAGGTCCAGGAATGGTTTAAAAAACGCTTGCAACGCCTACAAACCGAAGATGGCATTGACAGCTTTAAATTTGATGCGGGTGAGACAAGTTGGGTACCCAGTGATCCTGTGCTTAGCGGCGACGAACATATGTCGCCACATCAAATTACCGAACAATATGTACGCACTGTGGGCTCCTTTGGTCCCATGGTTGAAGTGCGTTCCGGCCAAGGTACTCAAGATATGGCCATTTTTGTTCGTATGATCGACAAAGATTCCGAATGGAGTTGGAATAATGGTCTGCTAACTTTGATTACAACTCTGTTGCAATTGAACATGAATGGTTACCCGTTTGTTTTGCCCGATATGATTGGTGGAAATGGTTATAACAATAAACCACCAACCAAGGAGCTATTTATTAGATGGCTTCAGGCCAATGTTTTTATGCCAAGTCTGCAGTTCTCTTTTGTGCCCTGGACATTCGACGAGGAGACCATTGAGATTAGTAAGAAATTTACCAAATTGCATGCGGACTATACACCGCAGATAATGGATCGTTTTAAACTGGCTGCCAGCACCGGAGAACCGGTTAACCCACCTCTATGGTGGGTGGATCCCGAGGATAAAACTGCCCAGGGAATCTGTGATCGTAAGTCATCGTTTGGGTATTTCAATGGAAAACGGTAATAATTATTTTTTGTTTCTAGAATTCCTCTTGGGCGATAGCATCATTGCAGCTCCCATTATCAGAGAGAATGAAACCAAACGTGACATTTATCTACCCAAGGGTACATGGAAGGATGGTAATTCCGATACTGTTCACACTGGTCCCATATGGATAATGGATTATCCAGCCCCATTGGATACTTTGCCATATTTCATAAAACAAGCTTAAGTGTCAGATGTTTGTTTGAAATGTCAAATTTTTTTGAGCAAAAATATGTAAATTATGTAAAATAGTTTGAGTATTAAAGAGATTAGCAAATAAATTGTGTGTAGATTTAAAAATCTGTTGCATTCGTTTTCTTGACAAAAATATTTAGCGCTTTGCACTTTAACAATGTACAATTTCTATCAAAAAAAAGATGGATGCACATTTTCAGCTGACCTCTTTGGCAAGTAAACACTATAATTTTGTTTGTTTACAAACTGCTGGACAACGAATGTTTTCTCAGCGGAGAAAACCAAATTCGGCACTTAACCACTTTCGGCCAAGCGAAGCAACTCTTTATCTCTTTTGAGTCCATTTTCTTTCTTTTGCGGTGTAAGTTCTTGTACTTTTTGGAATTTTTATGGCTTTACCCCGAGCTCATTTTTCAATATTTGCCGAATGGAATATTGCGATATGTTCAGCTCACGAGCCAGAAATCACACCATCACGCTTGTAAACAATATAATGAGCTGTGGCTTAGAAATGACATCAGTCTGTTGGTTGCAGTTTTATCATCTCACCCTGTAGTATACATTTTACAAAACCGCCTTCATATGTCAACCTTATTTTCAACCATCAATTCTCATCCGAATTTCAAGTTATTAACTCTATCCGTTAACATAATACAAAATGGTACAATTTTAGAGCTTTTCGTAACCTTACAGTTCAAAACCCATACATCTATCTTGCACTTCTATTCCAATTTCCAAAAATCAAGCCTTATCAAAAAACCCAACCTTATCACCCGCCAAGACAGACCTCGTGCAAAATTTCAAGATTCTAGTTGCAGCCGTTTCCCCCGACCAGTCGTCAGTTAGTTCTACAATTATTCCACTACTCTTTTATAAATATAGATAAAAGTCGTGTGCATTTTTTTATTTTACTTGCTTTAGCTGTTTGGTAACGTCATTATTGTTGATCTGATTTTGACGTTTTTGTTAAGTGTTGCTATTTTTCGTCCCATAAAAGACAAATTTCTTGTCTAATCACCACTTTTTGCATTAATTTGTAAAACAGACAAAAATCCCCTGGTGTGTACCCAACTGTGTAAAAGAGGTCATTGAATGTCAGACACAAAAGTACTCGGTATTTGGTGTTTCTGCAATTATTTGTTGTTAGTGGCGCGAAATATTTTTGCATGCCGCATGCCGCCACACACACCCATATTCCATGCAAATACACGACGAGTGCATTCACAAAAGAAGAGGAAGTTCGGGCAGAGCAGAAAACCAAGCCGGAAAAAACACGCTGTATCCAACTGAAAAATAAAGAAAGGCAAACTTAAGATATTTATCAGAGCGCGCGGCGTATGTGTGCAAAATATATAATTGGAATAAGTGCGAAAGTGATTTATTAACTTAAATAATTATTTATAAAAGAACCAAACATGTCACTGGCTTTCCAAAATGCCGAGTCTGTGAAGCAGGCTCTTTTCGAGGAGCTTCAAAGTTTGCTTAGCTCCGATTCTGCGGTGCGACAATCGGCTGAGCAACGTATGAAGCAATTGGAATTTACAGAAGGTATGAAATAGTTTAGCAACAAAATCTTTGTTTATTTAGTAAAACATTCTTTGCCGTTGATCTTTTTTTAGGTTATGGCGTGTATCTTTCCGAATTGATAATGAACCAATCTTTTGATTTGGCCCTAAGGCAGCTGGCTTGCATTATGCTAACACGTTATGTGGAAAATCGTTGGGGTGAATGTGATGAAGAGGGTAATCCCAATGTCGATGGAGGTCTGGCAACGGATCAAGCCAAACGTACTATACGCAACATTTTGCCCAACGGCTTGTATGATCCCAACTCAAAAATCAGATCTTCAGTGGCTCATGCAATTTCAGCCATTGCTGCCACAGACTGGCCTGGTGTGTGGACTGAACTATTTGATATTATTGTCAAGTGTTTGGGTGGTAATGAGAACTCGATACATGGAGCTATGCAAATTTTGCAAGATTTCTCATATGATGAGAAACAGATTAAAGAATTGGGGCCGGTTATCATCTCGGAGGTTTATCGCATTTTCGAATCGGAACAAAATTATTCCATAAAAACTAGAACATCGGCCATACGTATTCTGAAACCATTGTTTGCCTCGATTTGCATTAATATTATGGATAAACAAGAGCAGGCAAATATGGCAAATTCTATTCTCACCAATTTCATGGAAAAGCTTCTGCACTATTTGTCAATGGATTGTGGGGCCTCTTCGAATTTCATGCTGCGAACGGAGATTGTTAAACGTAAGTAAAGTACAAAATAGAAGAATCCATATTTTCAAGTAAAATTTCCTTACAAATCTGTTAATTTATTCCAAATTTATTCCTTTTAGTTCTCACTCACCTTGTCACTGAAATGCCCAAATATATACAACCCCATATGGAACGCATTTTACCAGTCATTTGGCGTTTATTGACACAAGTTGCCGGGACCTATGTCAAGGTGACTGTTAATCAAACCGAACCAAGCCCCTTCCCTGAGGGCGAATCTGAAGAAGATGATGAGCTAAATAATTTCTCAGCCATGATAATACAAATTATTGAATTTGTTCAATGTGTAATTGGTGCTGGCAAATTCCGTTCAACCATCAAAAATGTCCTAACCGATTTGATTTATATTATGATTGTCTATATACAAGTACCCGTCGAACAAATCGAAGATTGGAATGAAGATCCTGAGAGATTTGTGGAAGACGAAGATGATGGTGGAGTTGAGTTGACCATACGTGTTTCCGGCCAAGATGTTTTATTGGTAAGTTGGATATTTTAAAAAAGAATTGGTTAATGGTGAACTAATGAAAGTACCATTCTTTAAGGCATTAAATGAAGAACTGGGTCCCAAGGTTTTGACTGCCTTGCAAGAGGCATTGGGCCGCCACATGAATGTTGCCGAAGCTGAAAAATCTGCCGGCAATCCCAATTGGTGGAAAATTCAAGAAGCTTGTATGGTGGCTGTACATGTATTCCGTGATTTGATCTTAGAATCGGAGGAAAAATTCGAATTGGTGAACTATTTGACTTTGGTGCGAAATTGGTTGAATCATCAAGAGTGCCCTCATTTGGTGGGACGTGCTTTGTGGACTTTAAGCACTTACTCAAAATCGAAATTGTATAATGCCCAGATGTTAGAGGAAATCTTGAATGTTACTCTGCAAAGTTTACAAGGTGACAAGGCTATGGTTTTGAAAATAAGCGCAGTAAGGTAAGCTTCACAATTCTTAAAGGCCCACTAGTTCTTGGACTTATTTATATTCCCATAACGTTTCAGGGCCGTCCATGGTTTCGTGCAGGCTCACGAAAAATCAGATGGAGAAAAGCGCGCCTTAATTCAATCTAAATTACCTGGATTTGTCGAGGGTATAATGACCTTAATACCCGGCTGTAAGAGTTCAGTTTTGGCCATGCTTTTGGAAGCCTTGACAACAATAATAACAGTAAGAATAGAACATATCAAATCCCTTGTTATGTGTTTGTAATATTCATACATCTTTTATAATTACCTTTTAGTTTGATCCTGCATTTGCTGCCCAAGCCCAAACGAAAATTATACCCTTAACAATTGCAGTATTCCTCAAATACCCCGAAGATCCATTCATTTTGGAAACTGTTCAGGATGTTATAAAGGTGCTTTGTCAAAATCCCCATTGTCTACAACCATTGCAGGAGAAATTCATTCCAACCATTGTCAGCATTCTTTCACTGCAAGGCGATCAAGCCAATACAGCAAAACAAGATATTGCCTTGGATGTCCTGACCACCATTGTAAGATACTCCCAGGCGCCATTGCCTGCAGCTTTGGTGGAAAATGCCTTCCCCGCCATGATCCATTGTGTACGTCGTTCCGATGACCAGGCTGTTATGGTGGCAGGTGGTGAATGTCTAAGAGCTTTTATATTCGTTTCACCCGAACAAATATGCACCTACAACAATGGCGAAGGTTTGAATTACACCATGGAACTAACCACAATGCTTTTGAATCCAATGAACAATGAAATGACTGCCGGCCAAATTGGTCGTTTGGTAATAACCATTATCACCAAAATGGGTAATATGTTGGGCGAAAATGTTGATTTGCTATTGAAGGCTGTCATCAGTAAAATGCAATTGGTGGAGTGTTTGAAAGTTATTATGAGTTTGGTTGTGGTCTTTGCCCATTTATTCCTTACCCAAATGGATGCTGTATTGAACTTCCTCTCCACCGTTCCTGGTCCAACTGGCGAACCGGCGATGCATTTTGTCTTCAGCAATTGGTTGCCCAAACAGACCTCCTTCTTTGGCACCTATGAACGCAAGGTTACCACCATGGCTTTGTGTAAACTTTTCGAATATGGTGTTACCACACAAGATCCACGTTTAACTTCTGTCAACGTCAAAGATATGGTCGTCAACGAGGCTGCCAATAATACACCACGCATTAAAACCCGTTCACAATCCAATGCCAACCACCAATGGGTAACCATACCAGCATTGGTGAAAATGTATAAATTACTTATCAACGAGTTGTGCCATCTGAAGGAGGCTAATTTAGATGATTATGAGACTGATTCGGAGGAAGATGATGATCCTTCATCCGGAGGCCCAACCGATAAGCCAGCTGGCAGTTCACCACCCAAGGCTCGTTTTATTTCCGATCTTTATTTCAATGATGATGATGACGACAACACCGACGATGATCAACTAACACAGGAACTTCTCAAGGATCCATTGTTCCAGACCAACATGGAGGATAATCTAACCAAATTCTTGCAAAACTTTTCAAGTAGCGAACATTTCCCCATGTTTGCCAGCCATTTGTCGGAGTCGGAGAAAGCAGTTTTGAAGTCAATTCAAGTTGAAGTTCCTTAAATTTTGTATTTGTTTAAATGCTCCGAAGTGGTGGCTGGGGCGATATTATTTAAATGCATTCACATTTTTTCTGTTATTTAAAAACAAGTTATTCTTATTATTGCTCTCATTTTATATATATGTAATTGTTTTATTTTCTTTTCCATTTAATATTTATGCATTTTAGAAAACACATTTTTATACAATAGTAATAAAAAAATCGATTTGAAAATATTTGTTATAATGATGTTGGAAATGTTGCTCTTGGTGGGTTTTCCTTTTACAAAGGGGAAAGGTTGTGCGAAAGAATAACATTGTTTTGATAACTTTTTTTAAATTTATTTATTATTTTCTAACAAAAATGCAAAGATTTGGAATATAGATAGAATTGTTTGTATGTCGAGCAAACACACGAGGAAGGTTATGGGAAGGGCTTGGAAAAGATTTCCCCTCTCAAAATTGTATTTTATTACAGAAAAATTTCAAACCTTTAAGGAGTTTTTAACAAAAAGCTAAAGTGGGAAATTTACTAAAACTTACATATAAATTATAGATGAATGTTGTTGGAAAATAGTTAGGGTTAATCCCATTATAATAAGAAAATTATAATAACGTTAAATTTTACAATATTTCAAAAAATTGACAATAAATTTTGTAAAATTGGAAGTCAAGGGTCATGTTTTTAAAATTCCATGTTGCACCATCGACTCATCAACATCCAACACATTTTTTTAACCAAAATTTTGTAAATTTTCTTATTTAAATTGTTTAATTTCTATTAGAAAAACAAACTCACTTTGAATTCGCTCCAATATGCCCACCAAATAGGGCACACAAGATACGAAAAATACCCATTAGCGTTGCCACCCTTATAAAATATTCTTCCTTAATTTTTCGTACCTTGTGTACCCTAATTGATGGGCATATTGGCGCAAATCCAACGTGCGTTTGTTTTTCTGATAAAAATTAAACAATTTTAATAAGATAAAAAAAATTGTGTTGGGTGTTGACAAGGCTGTGGAGCATCCTGAACGCTTAATTTTTATGTTTTCTGGTAAATTTTTAAAATACGGCATAAGTTAACGCTTTTAAAATTAAAAATTAGCCAATCTTTTTTCTAGAATGCAATAAGAAAATAAGTAAACTTTAGTATAGTTTTTGTGAATATTTATTTCAAATATATCTTTTGTGTCTTTGAAAGATTCTGAAAATCGGATAGTTTTTTTTTCTTTTGTACACATTATACAAATCATCATGAAAAAGTATTCATATATAAAAAAAGTATGAAAAATGCAATAATCAATGAATGCCATATAAATGCATTACCGGAAGGAGGTGGTACAATATGTTAGGAATGAAGTAAAGATAATGTTTTTTTTTAGTAGTAGTATTTTGTTTGTGCTAACAACCAACAATAAGATAGATACACCCCAAAGTTATGATTTTGTACAGTATACGGAGGTACAGATAAAAATGTATCAATTAATGTAAAGATATACACTTAGTGTAGTTAGATATTAATAAGCCTGCTGGCGGGGCGGCCACCCAAGATTCTCTGTTCGTGTTGTTTTACAATTTTAAAACAGCATTGGCAGCATCAACAACATGGCGGGCTGAGATGCCGAAAACATCCAAGAGCACGGTGGGGGGTCCGGAACGGGGTACACCGGGTACGTACAAATGTTTGACAACGAAATCACGTTTGTCAGCCAAAGCCGAGAGGACAGCTTCACCCAAACCACCTTGTCTGTAAAGGAAAATAAATACGTTTCGATTTAAAACAAATTTGTTTACACATTATTACAATCTCCACACTTACTGGTAGTGATCTTCAACGACAACAATGCGTCCACCACAGGCACGACCACTTTCAACAATCAATTCCACATCCAATGGCTTAACAGTGAAGGGATCAATGACACGGGCATGAACACCGGCCTTCTCCAATTCAGCGGCAGCCTTCAAGCACTCATGCAATGTAACACCAGCACCAATGAGCAAAACTTGATCGTTGGCCGATTGCTTGACCACCTTACCCTTGCCAATGACGAAGGGTTCATTGTTGTCGTACAAAACGGCAGTGTTGGGACGAGAGGTGCGAATGAAGCACACACCCTTGGTAACGGCAGCCAATTCTACGGCACGTTCACAACTGACGGCATCCGAGGGATAGAAGACGGTGCTGCCGGGAATGGCACGGAACATGGCAATGTCTTCCAAACCCATTTGAGAGGGACCATCTTCACCAATGCTCACACCGCAATGGGAGCCGGCAAAGTTGGCATTTGTCTGGGAAATGGCACCCATACGAATTTGATCGAAAGCACGAGTAAAGAAGGTGGCGAAGGTGGAGGCAAAGGCAATGGTACGGTCACGGCAGGCAGCACCAATGGTAACACCAACCAAATTCTGTTCGGCAATGAAGCACTCAATGTAACGTTCGGGGAAGACCTTCTTCAGCTTATCGGAGAAGGTGGAATTCTTGGTATCACCATCCAAGGCAATGACACGGTCATTGTTCTCAGCCAATTTGGCCAGAGCGGTGCCGTAAGCCAAGCGAGTGGCCACTTGTTCACCCAATTTGTAGTTGGGTGGTGAGGACAATTGCACCTTGGTAATATCTACGGGAGGTGCTGGCTTGCATTTGGTGGGTGTTTGGGGTGCCAAGGCAGCTGGTCTGGGCGAAGAGTCAAACATCAGACCCTGCAAATGTTTGACAACCTCATTGGCCTTGTCGCCCAAGGGCTTGCCGTGCCAGTTATCCAAATCCTCAATGTTGGGGAAGAATTTACCCTTGAAGGTTTTGGCAATAATGGCAGTGGGTTGATTTTTGGTATTGGCAGCTTCGTAGAAGGCCTTGCACAATTCCTCAACATCGTGACCATCGACAACGAGAGCATGGAAACCGAAAGCTTCCAAACGTTTGCGATAGACATCCATTTGATGTTGCAGGGATGTGGGTTCGGACTGACCCAAACGGTTTACATCGAAGATGACACACAAATTGTCCAATTTATAGTGGCCAGCAAAGTGCAATGATTCCCAAATGGAACCTTCGGCCGATTCACCATCGCCAACAACGACATAGGTTCTGCAAACAATAGGTAGGATAAAAAATTAATAAAAAAAAACTATTTTTTTCTATTATTTACCTGTAGTCAGCTTTGTCGAAATTCTTGCCAACATAGGCCATGCCGGCAGCGACAGCAACACCCTGGCCCAACGAACCAGTACCGACATCAATGAAATTCAAACGTGGCGTGGGATGACCCTCCAAATCGCTGTCGATTTTGCGCAAATTTTGCAATTCCTCAACTGGGAAAAGACCAGCTTCAGCCCAGGCAGCGTACAGAATTGGTGCAGCATGACCCTTCGACAAGACCAAACGATCACTGGATGGATCGCGGGGGAATTTCAAATTCAAACGCATGGTATTGAAGAACAATACCGACATGATTTCGGCAATTGAGGCGCATGATGTGGGATGTCTGGAAGTAACAAAAGAAAATTAATAATTGAATATGTAGTATATGGTAAAAATAACAACAAATATCGAGATCAAGACATATAGCTTGATCGGAACGTAAGGCATAGCTGCTAGGTAGTGTGGCTGTCTCTGAAGAATAAATGTGGAAATATCAACAATTTTTTTGAAACCATAAATAAGAACAGAAAAAAATTATTTACAAATATCTCCAGTGATGCTTTATAGGAAGTTTGTGCAGAAAAAACCTTCATTTCTCGCAATGCTTTTTGGACAAAAAAGGTGCCTATTTTCTTCTCTTTTTATACCTCCAGCCATATGACTAGAGGGTATATATCATTTGGTACGGCAAAAACGTACCTCATCGAATAACGGTTTTAGACCCTAAGTTTCTTTGGACCAAATCCATTTCAGGATATTTGGAGTCGGCTGGCTGGGTGATGCGCACGCAACTCTCGAAGGGAGTATCCGATTTTCCAAACTTGCTACATCGTAATATTATTGTCATATTTTGATCGAGTTCGGAGATGGACTCCTTTTGGTACCTCCCCCACAAAACGTCAACATTTTCAAAAAAAAAAAAAAATAATTTACTGCACAAAAAGAGAACGGATAAACCGATTTTGCTCCAACTTTTCGAAGCCTAATGTTTGCATCAGTGCTAGGTCAGGAGCGAGATTGGACAATATTGGTCCGCTCCATCAAATACCTCCCCACAAAGAGTCAAAATTTTGAACAATTATAACTCTTATAAAATGAGAGTCAGATTGTCTTCAAATTACACAAATCACAATATTTTTATTAACCCAAGGTCTGGGGTGAAGTTGAAATATATTGGCCCAATCCTTCTGGTATCTCTCCCACAAAGGGTTAAAATTTTGAATATCATTGAAGCTCAAAAAAAACTCAAAAATAACATCCGATTCCATTCAGACTTTCTACATCTCAATAATTCCATCAACACAAGATATTTTATAAATATGGTTGAGATCGGACCATTCCTTCTGGTACCTCCCCCACAAAGAGTCGAAGTTTTGAGCAACCAAAACGATTAAAAAATCCGAAATAAGCATTTGGTTCTCTCCAAATTACACACATCACAATATTTTTATTAACCCAAGGTCTGGCGTGAAAAAGGGATATATCGGTTCAATCCATCCAGTACCTCTCCCACAAAGGGTCAACATTTTGAATAATTATAACTCTTATAAAATGTGATGTAAAATTACACACACACAAATATTTTTATTGACCCAAGATCTGATGTGAAGATAGAATATATCGGTCCACTCCAACTGGTACCTCCCCAACAAAGGGTCAAAATTTTGAATATCCATGAAGCTCATATAACGCGAAGTTAACATTCGATTCCATTCAGACTTGGTACATCTCATTATTTTCAATAACACAATATCTTTTATAAAGATGGTTGAGATCGGACCATTCCTTCTGGTACATCCCCCCACAAAGGGTCGAAGTTTTGAGCAACCAAAACGATTATAAATTCCGAAATAAGCATTTGGTTCTCTCCAAATTACACACATCACAATATTTTTATTAACCCAAGGTCTGGCGTGAAAAAGGGATATATCGGTCGACTCCTGGCACCTTCCCCACAAGGGGTCAAAATTTTGAATAATTATAACTTTTATAAAATGTGATGTTAATTTCCGATAATCTTCAAATTACACACATACAAATATTTTTATTAACCCAAGGTCTGGTGTCAAGATGGAATATATCAGTCCACTCCTTCTGGTACCTCTCCCACAAAGGGTCAACATTTTGAATATTCATGAAACTCATAAAATGCGAAATTAACATTCGACTCCATTTAGACTTAAATATTTCCATGAACGCAAGATCTGTTATAAAGTTGGTACAGATCGGACCATTTCTTCTGGTATCTCCCCCACACAGGTTTACAGGATTTAAAAAACAAAAGTCTCAAAGAAAGCGAAATAAGCATTCAACTCTCTTCAAATTTCACACACCAAATATTTTTGCTAACGCAAGGTCTGTTGTGAAGATTATATGTATATCTGCCAAACCCTTCTGGTATCTCACCCACAAAGGGTCACAATTTCCAATACTTATATCTATCATATCTTGCGAAATATCTATCATATGAGTATGTAATTTATGGGAATTTATGATTTCGCAAAAATTGGATATAAATATTAGATTTCCTTCAAATTTTGCACATACCAATATTTTTTATCTGTATGAGATAAAGTATGAAAATACTGAAATACTTCGGTCAGCTATATCTGTTACCTCGCGCATATATCCACATTTTCCAAAAATGTGCGCATATCTCATATAAAGTATAGGATGTAGTCAATATTGCCAACTGCTTCGGAACCTCCCCCATAAAGGGTCAACAGTTATCATATCTCAAGGCTAATGTATACCCCATCTTTCGGCAAAATCGACTGATACTATTTTACTTTTTTTTTAAATATCTGGCTATTTTTGTTCAGAATTTTGGTTCTTGTTGTAAAATTTGCTAACGCCACTAACTATTCAAAATACCATTGATCGGGACGATACAAAATTAAGACTTGAAGCGTATGATATTAAGTTCTAATAATAAATACTGACCTATTTCTTTACAGTATCTATGACAAAGCAACAAATAATGTCATTTCATTTATCAAGATTAATCTTATGAAAATGTAACTCTTATCACCCAGAAAACCCACATGTCGATTAAAAGTGGGCATGTCTAGACTCTAGACAAATAATAAAACAACAACAACAAAACATAATCATAGAATAGATATGCAAACACGCGTAGACTTCCAAAATTTATTCGGGGGCTCGTCTTTTTTAATTTTTGTTGCCAATTGATTATTTTGGTTCGGCGAATCACGTTCTTCACTTTGTTAATGTGGACTCTGACAAACAAACATGTCTGGTGGCGGCGACCACATATATTTCGCGAGCTGAAAACTTAATTTTCGTACATAACATCGCCACATGTCTACATAATTTTTGCCGGCGGTCTTTTGCTTATGGTTTTGTTTTTGACAATAATAAAGTGTGGACTTGAAAAACTTGTTTACATAAGGAGGGTATCGAAATCAGTATATTGTGCCATGGTATTGTATTGTTTGGGCTCTGTTTTGAAGTGTTGGATGAGATAATCTATTCAATTAATAAAAATCAGGAATTAGCAAAGTGTTACAGATGAGAAAAAATGCTCATTCAGTCTAATTTTTTTTATGAAACCAAGTTCGTGTTCTATTCGCAATGTTTTAAAAACGAGGTTTTGAAAAAAAAATCCGTAAAAGAGAAGCATTTGAAAGCAAATTTGTGAAAATATTTTCTCTGCGGACTGTACATAGGGAAATATTTTCAAATTTTAAGAAAAACACATTTTTTCTGTTCTTATTCAGTACTTGTTCAATGAACTCTTGTGCTTGTTTTTTTTAAGTTTCTAATTAGATGTCCCACCTCTGCTCCCCTCTATTGTCAAGGGTGACAGATAGAAGCACATGTATTTGGCTTAAAATAACTCAAGTCAATTGGAAATAAAATGTGATAAACCATATTTCAAAATTAAATAAAAGAACGGCACGTGGTAAAGCGGTTTAAAAATCGACCAAAAATCGTTAAAAAAAAAAAAAAAAAAAAAAAAAAACAAATAAAAAACAGTTAAGTTAGGCCAGGCCGAAATTTGAATGCCCTTCACCATTTGGAAAAGAATTAGACATTTCAAAAAAAAAAATAAATAATAATAATATTGAATAAATAAATAAAAAAATAGAATTCGTTCTAAATCTTAAAAATGCCGTACATAGGGAGGTACCGATATTTAGCGGCTATACGCAGACCGTCTTAGACAATTTTCTGTCACAGGCGGTAGTTCTCATTAGGAACTTGAAATACGTAATTTGAAACAATTCCGTGAATAAAGTAGCTAAAATCTTCAAAATACCGAATTTCGGAAGGCACTGATATTTAAGGGCTATACGAGTACCTGGACATCCATAGACAATTTTCTGTCATACACTGTCGTACCTATTAGGAAATTCAAAGACAAAATATTTAACTACTCTTTTTTTCGATCGTTCCCAACGCCACTCTTACCCACCCTTGCTACCACCATAACGCAGGGAGAGCGAAGAACCCATAATCCGGATTATGGGCGTTTAGTAATGTTAGTGAACTTCGGCTACAATAAATACATCAGCCGGTTAAATAAATTACATGTTGAAGCTCATGTCTATATAGACGGGACCATTTCAATTGACACATAAGAATACAACATTGAAACCAGTTATTCGTGAGATACCAGCTAAATGTTGAAAAGAGTATGACAAAATTGAACTAGATTTTTCTGAATTTTATGTATTTTTTACACACTCAGCCATATGACAGCAGAGAGTATGTGTCATTTTATACGAAATGATGGTTTTAGACCCTAGGTCTCTTTGGAAATCCGTCCAGGCATGTAGAGTCAATCTAGGGTTGTCCGTCCGTCTATCTTTTTGGCACGATACCTCTCGTAGGGAGTATCCGATACATCGTAATGTTGACAGCAATTGTGCAAACTTTACAAATCCTAATTTTTTTATCAGTCCTATGTCAGGTGCGAAGTTGGATAATATAGGCCCACTTCATTAAGTACCTCCCCCACAAAGGGTCAACATTTTTAAGAATCCTTACTCTTATAAAATGCGGAATGAGTGTCCGATTGTCTTCACATCTCGCACAACCCACTATTTCTACCAACACAAGATTTGGAACTGACTACAACGATTGGTACCTTCTTCACAACGGATCAACATATTAAATAATATATGTCTCATAAAATGCGCACCTCGATATTTCTATCAATACAAAACCTAGTATAAAGATGGAATATATAGGTCCACACCTCCTGGAACCTCCCTTATAACGGGTCAACATTTTCGATAATATAATATCTGTAATAAAATGCGAAACCTTGTATATCTAAATATTTCCCTCAAACAGAGATCTGATGTGTATATGGAATCAAGTGGAATGTTCGGTCCACTAGATCGGGGCATCACGCATAATTAAACCTTTTCCAAAAATTACAACATATCTCATGTAAAGTGGAGGAAGTATTCGACATAGTCCACTATATTCATACCGCAAACTTGGGCAAATTACATGCTAAAGATATACATCTGGCAACAAATTGGCTGATCTTTTCTAACTTTTTTTCAGGTGAAGTTTTTTTGTCACTTGGCTAATTCACCTCCTTTCCCATAATTTCATCACAATAATGTATATATTTCATTGTCACCAGACAGAAACTGTTGCCGAATAAAGTTTCCTATGGCATTGCTTGCGGCAATCCATATTTTATTGGAATTTGCTTTCTATCACAATTATTTAATTTCATGATCGCAAAACGTGAATTACATTTGATGTGAGATAGTGACGTTATCAAAATATTTACAGGTGTGTAAAAAAAAGGTAAATGCTCGCGCCGATTCAATACCAAAATGCATTTAATTTCTAGTCTACATAGACCAAGTAAGTATGCCGGATAGATAGCATGATAATTGTGATGAGTGAGGGTTCTTTTCAGCAAAATAAATAAGCTGATGTTGGTCGGTCTCTCGAGTGGCGCAATTGCTTCGCTCTTTCTCTTTTGTTGCGATTTGTTTTGTCGTCATCGAATTAAAAGGTAATCGTTGCAATACTTGAAGTGATAATTATTAATTTTTTTCTAGATTGGATTTGTATGAATTAGTGTTTTTGTTTTCAATGTCAGTATATAGGTACCCATTTGTATATATATATGGTGTGCTAGCTAATCAGGCGATTTTTAATGGAACTCAATTCTGTCGATTTGCTGAACTAAAATGGAATAAGGTAGTTTGAAATTATTTCCTGACGACTATTTGAAAAAAATCTCAATGCATGAGGAATAGAGGAAAGAGGAAAGTTGATGCGTGGGAACATTAAAAATATCTGCTGTGTTCCAGTACCGACAAGAATCTACTAGTTTTGGAATTTTCTTCGATGTCATAAAGGGAAAATCGGTTATCGCAGTAAAAAAACGTTTACATTCTTGCTGTTCTGGAACAGACCAATTCGTCGTCGTTTGTATCCAGTTAGTATTCTGAAGATGAGATAGAAATATATGCTACTAGAATGAGGCAGGTTGTTTGGTTTTTTTTTTGTGGGTCATTATAATATGTTTACATTAGGATTTCAAAGTAAACCTTCTTTAAGGTAACTTCAACGGAATTGACAATTTATGTTCTGTTAGCCGATTCCCAGTTCTTTCGATCTGGCCGACTGGTACTTTGGCCATACGGTTTTCTTTTTTTAGAATTCTTGTAGAACTGGATCATTGCTGATTGATTCTATTTTTAGCATTTTCAAGGGCGGAATAATCGGAAAGAGGAACAGCTATCTTATCAATATTTAACAGGCCCACTGGGTTTACTACATCCTGTAAAGGTATGACTATTTTCTTAGTTCTGGAAACACACCTACCCATACTCATCATTTCACTCCACAAACCTTTGTAGTGTTTTATTTGTTTGTGTAGCGAATAAAATGCTTATCACTTGGAACAGCAAACCATAGGACTGATATCGTTTATCGCTCGTATTTAAATACAAAAACCAACAAAACCATAATTAACAAGTCAAGATAAATTTAATTAGTTTCTCATGGCAATGCAGGACAGAAATGACATGGTGGGGACATATCGCAATTATTCCATGTAATTATCCTTGGTTATGAAAATCTAAATGCTTAGGGATTCCCAAGGGCGGATTTCTGGGATCAAGATAAGAAACAGAAAGTAAAACTCGATTTTTTTCCGACCTGTTTTAGAATATCGCAGGTGGCCGGTTGGTCACCTCGGAGTTGTCATTTGTGACTATTGGACTATTATTTGTGGGATAAGCGTTACGCCAACGAGCCAGAGATCACTGGGGAAATGCAGCTGCATACAGTCGATAATGTGCTTCAAAATTGGCTACTGCATGGCCAATATAAATAAATATTAGGTTTGTCTGATAACCCCAAAATTTGTGACAATTGTCGCAAATTGCTGCTGGAAGTGATTTAATAACACAAAGGTTTTGCTAAACTAGTAAAATAGGAGGTAAGTTTGGCCGGCCAGAACTTTTTAGACTCTCCACAATTTGGCAAGAACTTGAAAATTAAAAAAAAAATCTGCCGAAAAATACCGCTCAAATTAAGACCTTTACATGGAAGCTATACAAAGACGTGATGCTTTTTGTCATAGGCTCTAGTAACTATTTCGAACTTTATATACGAAATTTGAAACAATTCCGGTGAATAATGTTAAATCCGTACCGTACCGTCATATGGCGGCTATACGAAGACGTGGACCTGCACAGACAATTTTTAGCTCTCAGGCTGTAGTACCCATTACAAACTTCAAATACCAAATTTGAAACAATTCCGATGAATAATGTCGCTAGAATCATCAAAGTACCGAATATCGGGAGGTTCCGTTATATGGGGGCTGTATGAAGACGTGGACTTGCACAGACAATTTTTTGTCATAGTCTGTAGCATCCGTTCCGAACTTCAAATACCAAATTTTAAACAATTCCGGTGAATTATGTTGCTAAAATCATAAAAATACGGAATATCGGGAGGTGCCGTTATATGGGGCTATACGAAGACGTGGACCTGCACAGACAAATTTTTGTCTCAGGCTGTAGTACCCATTACGAACTTCAAATACCAAATTTGTAACAATTCCGGTGGATAATGTCGCTTAAATCACCAAAATACCGAAAAATGGGAGGTACCATTATATGGGGTCTATGCCGAAACGAGGACCTACATGGCCCATTTTCAATACCAAAAGTCCTGCAGACATAATATACATTTGAGTGAAATTTTATCAACCTACTTCATTTCGTTCGGAAGCTAGAGTGATTTCCACCAGACGGTCGGACAAAGAATTTTATGCTGATCAAGAATATATATATACTTTGTGGGGTCTAAAAGGTATACTTCGAGGTGTTACAAACAAAATATAACAAAATGCAATAAATTTAAAAAACAATAGTTTCGAAAGTTATTTTACTTGTGGATAGATTTCTTAGATCTGTTACATTTTCAGTCATAAACACTCATGAAAAGAAGATTTTGTTATCTGGTTGAGAGGAACTTTCACAATTCGGAGAAGGTCTTGCAAAACAAAACAAACACACACCTAACATATGTACCTACAATAGAAACAAACAGCATTATTTTTAAAGTTAGAATGGAGTGACTTTCATTATTACACTCAAATGTTGCCAAGGTCATGTAAGGTCATCACAAATACTGATTACATTTTCCAATCGTCAACTAGAATCATTATGGGAGAAGGCAATTTTGTTAAAACACGAATTGGTGGTGACAGCGCAAAAGAACATGTTTCGCCTCGCCTGGGGGGGGACGAAAACATAAAACCACGTGTTTCTCTTTCGCATATTCAAATCTAAAAATTTAAACATTGTCATATCATATATTCAAGATCTCTATTGCAATCGAATTTTTTCTAGTTCAAGGGAAAACTACTTTTCCCCCATCATCGAGAACTTTGAATTTAGACGAGTGTTGTTTTTTTTTTATTTGCATTTGGCAAAATAAATAACCTCTACAAAATGCGAATTAATGGCACGAACAAACCCGCGCGCAGCACCACGAAGTTCTAGTAACGATTACGTTTTGGAGACGAACGTAGACACATTCTAAAAAAACTGATAGACATGGAGACAACAAACATACACACTAACTACGAAATCGAATGGACGGAGGAGGAACTTACCCGGATTTGGAGGCCTGAGTTGAGGTAATTGAGTGAATACGCAAACGATGTGCGATGTCTTTCAACTCTTGAATGGCTCTAGCTTCGGGTTTGTGGTAAGACATTTTGTAATGGATTTATTTGTTTAAAACGATAAAAAAATAAATGATTTAGAAACACGGTTTGCACTTTGTTCCAGATATTGTTTTTTTTTTAAATGCCAACGACAACGGATGTTGTTCCTGAGCTGCTTCGTTGTTTGGTGCGGCCGGCTTTCGAAAACCAACTGAAGAATAATTCAATTTTAATTCAACGTTAATAGGCGGCTATTGACAGGGATGGAACAATGCAATGCGATGGTACTATTTTTAGTACCATGTTACTACAAAAAGTAATGATGATTTGTTTACTTGTTTTTGTTGTTGTTGTAAATTAACAAGAAACTCAAAAACTAACTTATTTTCATTTTAAAATCGTGTTCAACATAACTTTAAAAATAAATTTCGTTACTAAATGGCTACATTGATGTGTCAAAAATAACATTATTTGATTTTCCATCCCTAGCTAGTGATGACACTAGAACAGAGTGAGAGAGATGGCGAGTGCTAAACACAACAGGTTATGGAAATAGGGATGCCAACCTATTGGTTGTTGGTAATATTGTTATTTCTTCAATTTTGAAAGTATTCTTCATGGTAGAATTAAGAAAGTAAAGTCATGCAATCATATGTTTATAATCTTTTTTTACATTTTTTATTTGACAACATCTCATTGTAAGAAATTATATTTCCAAAACCTTTTTATACGCACAATTCTGAGAAGCATTTTCAAAATGCTTATTGCAAAGTACGCATAAATAAAAACTTCAGTTTTTGTGGCGAAATAAACCTTCAGAGATATATAGAACATGACTTTGAAAAGAAATGTTGATTGTTTTTTTTTGACATTACGAGCCAAATAGGTACCCCAATATATTTGCAATTTTTCCAAAGTAAGCCTACCTTGTCTTCATTGTACCATGGTTCTCTATGTGTATAATTGGAAAGATAAAATTAGCGAACATGGCAATGCTTTTATATCCAAGTCCAGATTGGTATATTAACTGTCATGTGAAAAGTTTGAATAAAAAAATAGTATCAGTCGGTTTTGCCGACAGATGTATACTCCCAGCCTTGAGTTATGAGTATTCAAACTGTTGACCCATTATGGGGGAGGTTCCGAAATAGTTGGCCAATATTGACCATTTCGTATCTGACCTAAGACTGATATAACTATTACAATTATTGGAAAATGTGTAAATATATGTGAGGTGCCAGATATAGCGAAACGAAGTATTCCATTTGCATGCTTCATATAATACAAATAAAAATATTAGTATGTGCAAAATTTGAAGGAGATCGAACATTTATAACCGATTTTATGTGAAATCACAAATTCCAATCATGGTAGAAGAATATAGGTAGACGCGTCGACACAGCTGCTGGGACAATGAACTGTCAAACAAAATTTTTTAAATTTGTAAAAATTGTTGAAAAACGCGTATTATAATAGCCTCCGAATGACGTAGTATAAGAAAACATATAAAAATCTACTTATATTTAAAAAAACGTTTAAAATTTTTTGACATATCAGTTGTCCCAAGCGTTGATGCATCTACCTGTATTCTTCTGCCATAATTCCAATACATTACATATTCATATTAGATTTCTGGTTAAGAGAAATATTTAGACATAGCAAGTTGTAAAGAATGTTTCGCAAGTTATGACACATAAAGGTATTGGAATTAGGACCCTTTGTGGGATCTTCACAACATATCTTGCGTTAGCAAATATATTTGGATGCTTATTCGCTTTTTTTGAGCGTTTTGTTTTTGAACCCTATGTAAGGGAGGTACCAGAAGAAATGGTCCGATCTGCACCATCTTTATAACAGATCTTGTGTTGAGATGTACCAAGATTGAATGAAATCGTATATTAATTACGAGTTTTATGAACTTCATGTACATAAAAATTTTTGACCCTTAGCGGGGAGGTACTAGTAGGAGTGGGCCGATATATTCCATCTTCACACCCGACCTTGCGTTAAAAAAAATATTGTTATGTGTGCAATTTGAAGAGAACCGGATGCTTATTTCGGATTTTATGATCGTTTTGGTTATTCATAACTCTGACCCTTTGTGCGGGAGGTACTAAAAGGAATGGTTCGATCTTTACCATCTTTATAACAGATATTGTGTTGATGGAAATATTACGATGTACCAAGTTTGAATGGAATCGGGTATTCAATACGCGTTTTATGAACTTTATGGATATTCAAAAGTTGACCCTTTGTGGGGCAGGCACCCGAAGTATTGAACCGATATTGTCCATATCCGAACTCGATCTAAGTTTGTATGTACCAAGTTTGGATCAAATCCGATATTCGTTTTGGCCGCATCAAATGATATACATATATATAAAGATAAATGGAATATAGTCTGACATTTTGCTTATCGCCTAGATAATAGGAATGAAATTCCTTCTCCTATAATATTGAACACTTAACGTTTACGGGCCAAGATAAATTGAAAATAATAGATTATTTATTTATGTCATACTCCATACGTAAATATTTTAGATATAATTTAAAAAAGCGTTGCCAATTTCGATTTAGCAAGTTAGACAACTTCTATTGTTTTGCAGTGAGCCCTACCTTGGAATTAACAAAATGAACCCAAGAAACCAGATAAACTAATGAATGAATATGAACTGCAGTAACTAGATCCAATCGTTCCTTTTACAGAATATTTCCCCTGCAATTGTTCATTTGTGCACAAAAGCATTCACTTGTTGTTGTGTTGTTGCTCTGTGCGTATGGCTACTTTTATTGCGGATGCAAAATTGATCCCGGTTTCCAGAGTGCGCCGTGATATAACTGCCGTGTATGAAGTGTGAATAATAATAATAATGCTGGGCAAAATATTGTCTATGTGCTAAAGGAAAGCAATCTCTATTCGGATAACATATACAGAAGTGAAGTGCCGAAAATATATTAACAAAGAAAAATAAAAAAACCACAAAAGGCGAAGTAATAAAAAATCACCAAAAACAAAACAAAAAAAATGCAAGCACTTGGATCATACAACGATTGGGAACTGGTACGGGCACTTGGTGCGGGGGGATTTGGTGAGGTACACCTGTGGCGACATCGTATAACAAACCAGGAAGTGGGTAAGTCGGATATATAGCCTCAAGAAGTTATATTACTTTATTTTTGAGTTTTTTACTACTTCAAGGCTGATCCTAAACGCTAAACAAAATGGGAAATAAACTTTATCAGTTTATTGGCAAGTCTTCATAGCAAAAAGTTTGTTTGAAAACTGCCTTAGCTAAACAAGCAAGCAGCGCACATAGAACGTTGAGAGGTTGGGCGTGATTCATTTACAATATTAAATTCCAAGAATTGCATTGCGCCGTACATAAAATATTGTTATATTCCGTTTATTGCTGCTGTTATATATTTTTTAATTTGGTTTTCCATTGTGCAGTGGTAGGTTGTGTCTAGGTTTTGTTTTTTGTTGCAAACCCCTTGGGGGTGAGATTTTTATCTATGAACCTATTTTTAAAGCCTCACATCTCACTGTGGTTCTGGGTATTGTGGCTTTCTGTATTTGCTTGTAGCATAAAGGAGGAGACGCCATAGGTCCATAGTAACATTGAAAGATCTTTATGGAATTGCAGTCTATGTCGATTGGCGTAGGTGGGATTTTGGGACGCATAACAGATCGTTTTGAGATTTATGGACCCAACAAAGTATAAATATTCTTGATTAGCGTAAAATTCTAAGACGATTTAGCTTTGTCCGTCCGTCCGCTTGTCCGTTTGTTGTAATCACGCTAAAGTGAATAAAGATAGGAAGCTAAAATTTTGCACCGATCTATCTTTTGTCTGCAGTCAGGGCACGTTCGACGATGGGCTATATCTGTTCACGATATCGTATAGCCCCCATATAACTGTACCCCTCGATATTGGGTATTTTGATGATTCTAGCTACATTTTTCAATGAAACTGTCTGAAATTTTACACAAGAAGTTCTTCGTATCTATTTTACCCCCTGAAGGAGAATTTTCTATATACGTCTACGGTTTCGTATAGCCCCCATAGCCACTGTAACTCCCGATATTGGGTATTTTGACGATTTTAGCTACATTTTTCAATGGAATAGTCTAAAAATACTCACAGCCCCCAATAGTGGATATTTTGATGATTTTAGTCACATTTTTTCAATGGAATTGTCTGAAATTCTACACATGGATTTTTTCGAAACTACTTTATTCCCTGAAAGAGAATGTTCTATATACTACCAGGATTTTCCATAGCCCCCATATATCTGTACCTCCCGATATTTGTAATGGGTACTACAATCTATGACGGCAAATTGTCTATGCATGTCCACGTCTTTGTATAGCCCCCATACAACGGTACCTCCCTTTATTCGGTATTTTGATGATATTAGCTACATTTTTCCCTGGAATTATTTCGAATTTCGTATTTGAGGTTCGGAATCGTTACTACAGCCAATGACACAAAATTATATATCCAGCACCATGACTTCGTATTGCACCCATATAAAGCTTTTGATTTGGGCGGTGTTTTTCGATGGATTATTTTTTTTTTGAAAATTTTAAGCTCCTGCCAAATGGTGGAGGGTGTAAAAAGTTCGACCTGGCCGAATTTAGCTGTTTTTATTTATTTGTTTCTAATCTATGATGAGACATTTTTTGATTAATCGTTATTTTGAGGTTTGAAGCTAATCTGACCTTGTAATGGCTGACGTGAGATATCCTGAGGAGTTTTTTTTTCCAAAATCAATAGTCTAATAGTATTTTCGATGCCCCTTCCGAAAATTGACAATTGGTATCCCTGACCATTGACCAATTTCACCTTGTAATGTCCATATTAAATCTAAGTCTGGCCACTGCGTTTTCCTAATTGGTTTTCATTCCCAAAATCCTTGAAGCATTTTTGATGCCCTTTCCATAAATGGCCGCCACAAAGTTGTATTCCAGACAACTGTTCTGCAGAGAGACCAAACCAATTTCAATTTGGAATGATCAATCAAAAAAATCCATTAAACATACGCTTACGTCTGTTTACTCGGAATTTTTCTGTTTGTTTTCCTTCTGTCTGAAACTTCGATGATATAAAAATAACAAAGTGTGCCCTCCATTTTTCTAAGAAATCTCAAGTTTTTTTTTTTTTCAAAATTAAATTTATTTCAATGATAAAGAAACGTATATTTGTGCGTGATATGATCGAAATATTGCAGTCTTGGCGATAATGTTATTGCGTACACCTATCCAGCTAATTATCATGGCAGCATGGCCCAATGTTATCGTGCATGGAAAAATTTGTCTATAGAATATGTCCAACAACTTATATTAGCTAAAATCTATCCTTAAGCCCTTCTCCTCAATTCAGTAAATAATTGAAATCTTTATTAAATCTAGAATTTTACACTTATAAAATTTACCAACCAATAGATATGCAAATCCCATTCCTCCCCTCTAAAATTAAAGCGAGTCAAGAACACTGACAAGCTATAGACAGGGGCACAAAATTATGACTTTTACTCTCACTCTTCAAAAAAAAAAAAAAAAAAAAGAGCACGAACACGGTATATTCCGCATGAAGAAATCTAAAATCAAAAGAAAATACTCGTGCCAACTATTATAGATCATAAAACTATGGCTCATCAGCCGAACAATAAGCAATAATAAATAAAAATGGACAATGTAACAATAAATTTTGCTGCAGGTGTTCGAAACACGCAAATTTCCCAGTTACGTAGGTAGTTCGAAGCTCCTTTTGAACGCGATATTAAACCGAGATATTAGAAAAAATCCTGTGACACAGTAATTGGGTATTTCGAGATGGGCTAAAAATCGTAAAGTAGTATCAGTCGGTTTTGCCGACAGATGTAGACCTCCAGCCTTAAGTTGTGATTATTCAAACTGTTGACACTTTATGGGGGAGGTTTCGAATCAGTTGCCCAATATTGACCAATTCGTATTTGACCTAAGACTGATATAAATATTACAACATGCCAGATATGTGCCAATTTTTGGAAAATGTGGCAATGTGTGTGAGGTTGCAGATATAGCGGAACGAAGTATTCCAGCATTATTCACCGGAATTGTTTCAAAGTGGGTGTTTGGAGTTCGTAATGACTTCTACAGCCTATGACAGAAATGTGTGTCTGTGTAGGTACACGTCTTCGTAGAGCCCCAATATTATGGTACCTCCCTATATTCGGAATTTTGATGATTTTGGCTACATTATTCATCGAATTTTTTTTTATTCAAATTTCGCATTTGAATATTGTAATGGTTTATGACAAAAGTTGATTATACAGGTAAACGTCGTAGTATGGACCCTAATATTACGGCTATAATCGGTATTTTTAAGATTATAACCGAATTTTTAGCGGATTTTATTTTTAATTGCCAAAATCGTTCCAAATGGTGGAGGGTATTCAAAGATCGACCCGGCCGAACTTCTTACAGCTTTTTTACTTGTTTTTATTAATGTCTCATGTTTATGTAGATGTGTTGAGATATTGGTCACTACGCAAATTCATAGAGATTCATGGTATGATAGTAGAAGGGAGTAATTTGGTTAAGAAATATACAGCTTAGGCTTGAGAATTCAGACATTTAGTTTTTGCAGAGCACGCAAAACCCTCCATTTTGTCAAGCAGTTCTTATAATTTAATAGCCTCAGGACTAAAGTCAATCCTAATAATTTTTGCCAATATCCCATAGTGAGATCATTATCAATATGGTACTTCATTGCACTTTCTGGTACACAGCTATACTCTAATACATTGTTGGCCGACATCCGACTTTTTTTTTAATCCGAATGCTTTTTCTTTGCTTTCATGATTCATCTTAACTATATAATTCTTATCACTTTTACACACACACACAAACATGCATGCATACACCAAAACGTTACCCGGTCTTTCGCCGTATCATTTTTCAATTTAGACAAATCATATTTAAATAATGCTAATTTAATTGCCATGTGGTTAAGTATATATTATATTCTATTCATGTTAGAAACTGGAAAAATCGGATATTTTGTGGGAAAATGGAATTCCCTTTTGAGTTTTATCAAAGATCATGTCGGACACGTCGCAGCACACAAACGGTTTTTTTTTATTCAAAAAGACACGCAACATCTCAAAAAATCAACAGAAGCTAAAAATAACCCCAAACTGTCGCTATCAGTTTGGCCGTGGGCCAATGTATTTGAGGAAAAATACAAGAGGGAAGGGGAACACCACATAGCCGGAACTTCGGAAGCAAGTGCATTGCTTGCTTTTTTTTGGGAGAGAGAATTTGAAAGATGTTTTAATTTGCGATTGTTATCTATGCGGCGTCTATATTTGACACTAGTTAAAGGTAAATACGATGATAAAAGTTGGGTTGGGAAGGCGGGAGGGGGGTCATTCCTAGACATTAATTCTGTGTTTTTGAAATATTGAGATGTATCAAGTCTAAATGGAATCTGATGTTATTTTCTCGTTTTATTAGCTTCATGGATACTCAAATTGTTGACCCTTTGTATGGGAGGTACGAGAAGGAGTGGACCGATATATCCCATTTGAATTTGAATGACAATCAGACGCTTTCATCCGATTTTATATTTTTTTATAATTATTCAAAATTTTGACCCTTTGTGAGGGAGGTACTGATGGAGTGCACCGATATAGTCCACTTTCGCACTTGGCCTAGCACTGATGCAGATATTAGAATTCGCAGAGTTGGAGGAAAATCGGATTATCCATTCTCTTTGTGTGCAGTAAATTATTTTCTTTAAAAAAGGTTGACATTTTGTGGGGGGCCAGAAGGAGTGGAGCGATATTGCACTTCCAAGTTTGGATCAAATCGAATACTCGGAGTTGTCGTGCGCACCAGCCAGACAGATGGACGGACGTACGGACATCGCTAGATCGACTCCAAATGTCCTGAAACGGAGTTGGTCCAAAGAGACCGAGACTCTAAAGCCGTAATTTCGATGAGGCATCGACTCCAAAATGTCCTGAAACGGAAAGAAAGAGACCTAGACTCTAAAGCCGTAATTTCGATGAGGCCGTATTTTGGCCGTATCAAATGATATACACCCTCTCTAGCCATATGCCTGAGGGTATAAAAATCACTCGGTGGATTTATGACAGCTTTTGAAAAAGTCACTGGAATTCTGCGAAAAGCAAAGACTGACATACGTCAAAGACTAATTAAGATTCTTTGGAAATTTGCTGGAGCAGATCGATTATGCGATTGGAGACAAGTTGTGCTCATTTGTTTCAATCGAGGAAGTAAGCGATTCAACACAAGAACTCATGAAGAAAGATGAAATTGTAATAACAAATGATAGTGGTTCTACTGTTTCTGTGGAGCCAAAGACAATCTAAGATAAATCTTGAACAGAGGCAAAAAAGTTGTCCGACAAATATCATTCTATGTGGAGTATTTTACGACCAATTCGGTCCACGTGCAGTTGCATGGTGTAAGAAATCTCCGATCAAAATTACCATAAGTTAAAGCGAGAAGATAACTTGTGGAGGAGCTGTAGCAGCTTTTGAAAAAGTCACTGGAATTCTGCGACAAGCAATGGTCGACATATTTTTAAGAGGAAATAAAATTCCTCGGAAATTGCTGGAGCAGATCGATTATGCGATTGGAGACCAGTTGTGCTCATTAGTTTCATTCGAGGATATAATCGACTCTACACAAGAACTCATGAAGAAATTTGATGTATAGGCCAACTTTGAAAGAAAAGCTGAAATTGGAATAACCAATGATGGTGGTTGCTGGCGACTTGATTGTGGCTGCTAAAGGATACTGGATAACAAAAAAAGAAGAAGAAGACCATGTCGATGATTCTGCAAAATTGGATTGGTCTTTTCCCTTCGATTCGAATAATGCGGAACAATGCGTCGAAGAAGCGGCAGAGGATGAGAGTAGTAGCATAATGAAGAAGTTTGGGAGAACCCACCACTCTATGGAGGGAGGGTATATTAACTTTGTCATTCCGTCTGTAACTCCTCGAAATATTTATAATAGACCCTACAAAGTATATATATGTAAATTCGTAATGGGTACTACAGCCTATGACAAAAATGTTCGTATGCTAGTCCACGTTTTCGTATAGACCCCATATAACGGTAGCTCCGATATTCGGTATTTTGATGATTTCGCCAACATTGTTGATCGGAATCGTTTCAAATTTCGTATTGGGAGATCTTAATGGTTACTACAACCTATGGCAAAAGAATTCGTGTGCAGGTCCACGTCTTCGTATAGCCCCCCCCCAAATAACGGTAACACCCGACATTTGGTATTTTCATGATTTTAGCGAAATTTTTTATCGGAATTATTTTAAATTTCGTATTTGAAGTTCGTAATGGGTACTACAGCCTATGACAAAAAATTTCGTAAGCAAGTCCACGTCTTCGTATATCCTCCATATAACGGTACCTCCCAATATTCGATATTTTCATGATTTTAGCGAAATTATTTACCAGTAACATTTCAAATTACGTATTTGAAGTTCGTAATGGGCACTACAGCATATGAAAAAAAATTTCGTAAGCAGGTTCAAATACCCCTCTCCAGTCATAGGATGTTGGTTTATGTTTGTGTAGCATTTATGATGGCCTTCAAATATCTGAATTAACAAACAAAATTTCTTAGAATTCTTATCGATTTTAGCGATTAAACTTTTATGATTTTTTCCGTATGTATTTCAAGTGTTTATTTAAAAAATAAAAATAATAATAACAACAAATTGTATTTTACTTTGTTGCTCTGTAACCAGATATTGTCTGAGTTGAATAGACCAGACCGCATTCTTCATTTAGGAATAAATTGTTTTTTTTTTCTTTTTTTTCTGTTCTTGTTGTTGATGTTAAAAACTCTTTAACCACAAAGTGCGATTTCTTTATTTTCAAAACGCTATAAATAGGACACAAACTGTTCTCAGCTTTATCCAATTTTGACATGGAATGGAACACTCGCAGCTCAGAACTATGTATAAATTGAAAAAAAAACTCAAATAAAGTCTTCATGCCAGGAAACATAAAAGAATTTATGTCACAATGGGACATCGTAAAAGGGGCATCTTTAATTATAAAGGGTGAGATGAAAAAACTGCAACCAACTTCAGACTAAGCCACTCGTCCGACAGCTGTTAAAATGATTCCAATAACAGCTCATTATATTGTTTACAAGCGTACAAAAGCATTTTGGTGAGAATTTTCCAGAAAAAAATTATTCGGGATGGATTTCAAGCGCGATGGTTTGATTTCTTTATATTTGGCTAGAAAACCACAAGTGGCTATCGTTAGAGCACTCCAGCATTTAAATGTGAATATATCATTTGTGTCTCGTACCATTGCTCGTTACAGTGCCGTGATACTGGTAGCGTAGCCCGACATCAAGGAAGTGGACAGAAGAAAACAGCAACATCAGCAGAAATGAAGGATGTTGGAGGCCTTTGAAAAATATTGTTTAAAAAATCCACGCCTTGAAGGATGTTGGAGGCCTTTGAAAAATATTGTTTAAAAAATCCACGCCTTGAAGGATGTTGGAGGCCTTTGAAAAATATTGTTTAAAAAATCCACGCCTTGAAGGATGTTGGAGGCCTTTGAAAAATATTGTTTAAAAAATCCACGCCTTGAAGGATGTTGGAGGCCTTTGAAAAATATTGTTTAAAAAATCCACGCCTTGAAGGATGTTGGAGGCCTTTGAAAAATATTGTTTAAAAAATCCACGCCTTGAAGGATGTTGGAGGCCTTTGAAAAATATTGTTTAAAAAATCCACGCCTTGAAGGATGTTGGAGGCCTTTGAAAAATATTGTTTAAAAAATCCACGCCTTGAAGGATGTTGGAGGCCTTTTAAAAATATTGTTTAAAAAATCCACGCCTTGAAGGATGTTGGAGGCCTTTTAAAAATATTGTTTAAAAAATCCACGCCTTGAAGGATGTTGGAGGCCTTTTAAAAATATTGTTTAAAAAATCCACGCCTTGAAGGATGTTGGAGGCCTTTTAAAAATATTGTTTAAAAAATCCACGCCTTGAAGGATGTTGGAGGCCTTTTAAAAATATTGTTTAAAAAATCCACGCCTTGAAGGATGTTGGAGGCCTTTGAAAAATATTGTTTAAAAAATCCACGCCTTGAAGGATGTTGGAGGCCTTTGAAAAATATTGTTTAAAAAATCCACGCCTTGAAGGATGTTGGAGGCCTTTGAAAAATATTGTTTAAAAAATCCACGCCTTGAAGGATGTTGGAGGCCTTTGAAAAATATTGTTTAAAAAATCCACGCCTTGAAGGATGTTGGAGGCCTTTGAAAAATATTGTTTAAAAAATCCACGCCTTGAAGGATGTTGGAGGCCTTTGAAAAATATTGTTTAAAAAAACCACGCCTTGAAGGATGTTGGAGGCCTTTGAAAAATATTGTTTAAAAAATCCACGCCTTGAAGGATGTTGGAGGCCTTTGAAAAATATTGTTCAAAAAATCCACGCCTTGAAGGAAGGCCTTTGAAAAATATTGTTTAAAAAATCCACGCCTTGAAGGAGGATGTTGGAGGCCTTTGAAAAATATTGTTTAAAAAATCCACGCCTTGAAGGATGTTGGAGGCCTTTGAAAAATATTGTTTAAAAAATCCACGCCTTGAAGGATGTTGGAGGCCTTTGAAAAATATTGTTTAAAAAATCCACGCCTTGAAGGATGTTGGAGGCCTTTGAAAAATATTGTTTAAAAAATCCACGCCTTGAAGGATGTTGGAGGCCTTTGAAAAATATTGTTTAAAAAATCCACGCCTTGAAGGATGTTGGAGGCCTTTGAAAAATATTGTTTAAAAAATCCACGCCTTGAAGGATGTTGGAGGCCTTTGAAAAATATTGTTTAAAAAATCCACGCCTTGAAGGATGTTGGAGGCCTTTGAAAAATATTGTTTAAAAAATCCACGCCTTGAAGGATGTTGGAGGCCTTTGAAAAATATTGTTTAAAAAATCCACGCCTTGAAGGATGTTGGAGGCCTTTGAAAAATATTGTTTAAAAAATCCACGCCTTGAAGGATGTTGGAGGCCTTTGAAAAATATTGTTTAAAAAATCCACGCCTTGAAGGATGTTGGAGGCCTTTGAAAAATATTGTTTAAAAAATCCACGCCTTGAAGGATGTTGGAGGCCTTTGAAAAATATTGTTTAAAAAATCCACGCCTTGAAGGATGTTGGAGGCCTTTGAAAAATATTGTTTAAAAAATCCACGCCTTGAAGGATGTTGGAGGCCTTTGAAAAATATTGTTTAAAAAATCCACGCCTTGAAGGATGTTGGAGGCCTTTGAAAAATATTGTTTAAAAAATCCACGCCTTGAAGGATGTTGGAGGCCTTTGAAAAATATTGTTTAAAAAGTCCACGCCTTGAAGGATGTTGGAGGCCTTTGAAAAATATTGTTTAAAAAATCCACGCCTTGAAGGATGTTGGAGGCCTTTGAAAAATATTGTTTAAAAAATCCACGCCTTGAAGGATGTTGGAGGCCTTTGAAAAATATTGTTTAAAAAATCCACGCCTTGAAGGATGTTGGAGGCCTTTGAAAAATATTGTTTAAAAAATCCACGCCTTGAAGGATGTTGGAGGCCTTTGAAAAATATTGTTTAAAAAATCCACGCCTTGAAGGATGTTGGAGGCCTTTGAAAAATATTGTTTAAAAAAATCTACGGCCCTTGCAGCCCTAATAAGCCTGTCCTCATCACTGAGCAAAAAAATTGGGTCTCCTTAAGAGAACCAATTTCTTTTGAATGGCTCATAACTTGTGTTTATGTGCTTGTGTTCGTACTTATATTTAAGAACAACAATGAGATCTTTGTGGTATTGTTTATATTTTCCTCACATTTTGTTTTGCTTTACTTGTTTGTTGTTCTATTTTAATGTCCCTGTCCCTGTCCCTCTTTCTTTGCAGCCACAAAACATTTAAAATTCAACAATAACTTGAGGTCCGATGAAATTGGCATAATCAGAAACCGTTGGATTCAAGAATACAATTGGATGCAAATGCTGCAGACCCCCTACATTGTGGGAGCCATCGAATTGCAAGATAATGGTTTTTTACAATACCTTCAGTCGTATCACCACATGAGGGTTCTGCCCGTCATCGTCATGGAGTATTGTAACGGCGGCGATTTGCGCGCTCGCCTGTCAGACATCAAACATTTGAATGGTTTGCATGAAAAGGAGATTCGTGACATTTTGTTAGCCCTGCGACATGCTGTGGCGTATTTGCACGATGAATGCAACATTGAACATCGCGACATAAAACCCGAAAACATTGTTATCCATCGCACTGATAATCAACGTATTTACAAGGTAAGTGGTGCCACATCTGAAATTGAATTTGAATATAGAATTCTGCCTCTTGTTTTTAGCTTACCGATTTTGGTTATGCCCGAGAAATTCCCGACGCAACCATAGCCCAAAGTGTGGTGGGCACAAGGCACTATGTGGCGCCCGAAGTGATTGAGCCGGGCAATTACACCAAGACTGTGGATTATTGGTCTGTTGGCGTCCTAACGTTTGAGTTAATGTGTGGTCTTCGCCCATTTATACCCCATCGGGAGTTTAAAGTTATTCTGACGCAGATCTTGGAGAAACCCGCCAACTGCATTGCCATAACCCAGGATGTGACAAACGAAGACAAATTTCAGTTCAAAGATGAATTGTTTGCCGAAAACCATTGTTCACCCATATTCAAGGCAATAATGGAACGGTGGCTTAAAATGGCATTAGATGGTAACTACAAGACCCGGGGCCACCAAGATGGCCAATTGCGTTTCTACACCCTCCTGGATTGCATTCTCTCTTCGAAAATAATCACTGTATTCTCTCTTAGTTCATATGAATTTTACTATTTCGATGCCCGAACATTTTCAAACAATAGTGATTTTTTCGATCAGCTTTCTGTGGCCACGGGAATTGCCAAAGAGCACACCTTCTTCACTCTACCGACATCACATCCCAAAAGATCATTATGCCACATAGCGGCGCCCATTGATTTCTATGTTGACGACTGGTCTGACACTGGCAATCCTGAAAATCCCCGTGCCATGTTGTACGTAACGGATGTTGCGAAAGGACAATGCGACTATAATGCTCATCGCGATAAAATGAATTCGAGTACAACTTCCAGAGCCATATTTGAATATTTAAGTATCGATAGGCAAAAATTTGATGAACTTCCCACTTGGTTGTTGGAGCAATTCGAAAGATATGTCCATTATTTGTTGCAAAACGAACAACGTTATTTGGAGGCCTATGTACGTGGTCTGTATGAATTTATAATCTCCGTGGAAGATGAGGAGTTTCGTATTGAGGAGAACATCCAACGAATTCATGAGAAGAGACTCCTACTAAGTGGGCGCATAGATCAATTTGCATATACAGCTAAAGTTTGGGCCAGTCTACAGGTGAGGAAAACTGTCAAGAGAGATTTTTATACTCTTAGCCATATGGCTAGAGAGGAAGGGAATATATAATTTGATACGGCCAAAATGAGCCTCATCGAAATAACGATTTTAGATACTAGTTCTCTTTGGACCAAATCCGTTTCAGGACATTTGGAGTCGATCTAGCGATGTCCGTCCGTTCGTCTGCCTGGCTGGCTAGTGCGCACGGCAACTCTCGATGGGAGTATCCGATTTTATCCGAAATTAGTACCTCGTAATATTATTGTCAAACATAGATCGAGTTCAAACATCGGGCCACTCCTTCTGGTACCTCTCCCACAACATGTCATCATTTTCAAGGAAAATAATTTACTGCACAGGCAGAGAAAGGATTTCCTGATTTTGTACCAACTTTGCAAATCCTAATATTTGCATTACTGCTAGATCAGGTGCGAAAATGGCCAATATCGGTTAACTCCATCAAGTACTTCCTCCACAAAGGGTCAACCTTTTGAATAATTATAACTCGTATAAAATGTAATATAAGAGTCCGGTTGTCTTCAAAGTACACACATAACAATATTTTTATTAACCAAGGTCTGGTGTGAAGATGAATATATCGCTCCACTCCTTCTAGTACCTCCCCCACGAAGGGCCAACATGTTGAATAACGATGTAGCTCAAAATACACGAAATTTACGTCCGATTCCATTCAGACTTGGCATATCTCATTTTTCCCATCAACGCAAGATTTGTTATAAAGATGGTAGAGATCGGACCATTCCTTCTGGAACCTCCCCCCACAAAGGGTCAAAGGTTTGAATAACTAAAACCGTCCCTTCGAATTACATACATCACAATATTTTTATTAACTCAAGGTCTGGTGTGAAAATGGGACATATCGGCCAACTCCTTCTGGTGCCTCCCACACAAAGGTTCACAATTTAGAATATCTATGAAGGTCATAAAACACGAAATTAACATCCGATTCCATTCAGACTTGCCACATTTCGATATTTCCATAAACACCAGATGTGTTAAAAATATGGTAGAGATCGGGCCATTCCTTCTTGTACCTCCACCACAGATGGTTCGAGATTTTGAACAAACTGAACGCTCAAGAAAGCGAGATAAGTATCCAACTCTCTTTAAATTTCACACCTCCAAATGTTTTTGCTAAAGCAAGATTTGTTGTGAAGATGATATATATCTGCCAATCCCTTCGGGTAACTCACCCAAAAAGGGTCACAATTTCAAATACTTACAGGATGAGATAAAAAAACTGCATCAAATTTTAAAATAAGTTTAGATTTGTTCGAATTGGTCACCTGTGCCACGAATTATGGTCTTCAAACGGCCAATGAAACCGTCACACGCTGCCCGAATTTTGGTCTGCGGTATTTTGGCCCATTTCCGGTGAAGCGCTTGCTTGAAGTGATCGACACTTTGGTATTTTTTAGTGCCAACCTTGCTTTCCACAATACTCCAGACACAATAGTCCAACGAATTGGTATCCGAAGATTTTGGTGGCCATTGTGCGCTGGAAATGAAGCGAGGAACCTCATTTTGTAACCATTCTTGAGTGGCACGTGCTGAGTGCGATGGTGCCGAGTTCTGTTGGAATGGCCAAGGTATGCGGTGAAAACGTTTTCGTGCCCAAGGCTTTAATAGACCCTCCAGAATATTTTCGCGATAATGTTCGGCATTTATTCTGATGCCACGGTCGATTAATACGAGCGGAGAGCGACCATCGGCTGTTATGGCGGCCAAAACCATCACCAAGGTCGGCGCTTGAGTTCTGGTGGTCAACCGAAGGTGCAAATTTTCAGCTGACCTCTTTGCCAAGTAAACACGATCATTTTGTTTGTTTACAAACTGCTGGACAACGAATGTTTTCTCATCGGAGAAAACCAAATTCGGTAAAGCGAAGCAACTCTTTAGCTCTTTTGAGTCTATTTTCTTTCTGTTGCGGTGTAACTTCTTGCAATATTTTTCAATATTTACCACTGCGACGCGGGTTTCGCTCAAGTCGCTTCTTGACTTTTCGAACCATTTCTGCTGATGTTGCTGTTTTCTTCCGTCCACTTCCTTGACGTCGGGCTACGCTGCCAGTATCACATTTAAATGCTGGAGTGCTCTGATGCGATTTGGCCAACTGCTTTGGAATCTTCCCCATAAAGGGTCAACAGTTTGTATAATCATAACTCAAGGCTGGGGGTATACATCTGTCGGCAAAAAACCGACTGATACTATTTTACTTGATTTAGACGTTTTCATGCAAACGAAGAATTTTGTATGATGTTATAAAAGGCGCTGGTGGATATGTGTGGGAATTATTTTCCAAAGCGCCGCTGAGGTGTGTGAAACTTATCATACTTTCAAAGGCCTCTCGGGATTTTGGAAACCATTATACACACAGAAGATCTTCTACAGCCATTCTTTTTACCCATACTTCCATAGCAAATCGATATAAAAATTAACAACCTGTTACTCATATTTCAGAAATCCCAAAACCACGTTGAAGAGGCCCAGGCGTTGTGGGAGAAATGTGACATCGTTAAAAATCAAGTGATTACTAAAATCATGAGATATCACAAGTCGATACTGCAGCATTGTAAAGCACTTGCCAACGAGGAAATACTCAAAAAACTGCCCAATGAAGATATCTATCAGCTGTATGTATGCGCACACCTAAATCTGTTGTCATTCGTATTATATATCTTCCATCATTACAGCAAATCGTTTCGTCAATTCGTCTCCTCCGATGCCACAAAATCTCAGCGTATGTATGAATGCATTGCATCTGTCGATAGATGGGCATTACAAATGTCGAATTTTCCCAGCAGCAAATTAGCCAGCATACACAATGAAATTATGGGCCATTGTAATATGCATGTCAAAATTGTATCAGAATTGATCCAAACCGAACAATATTTAAACAAATTGGAAAAGGAATTGCAATGTGCTACGGAAAAAATGTTGTCGCCTCTACAAGATGAGGAAATTGTTTCGGAAATGGGTGCCATGTGTATTGACGGTAATTCGTCTCTAACGGCATCGACTTCGGCTCCAATGTCTCATAGCAGTATGGTAGATTTATCATTATTGTTGAATGGTCATTGCCAGGAGAATGGCGAAGAAGTCACATCACTTATTGAACGAGTCAATATTTTGTAAGTATTTTTTTTTGAAAATTTTGTTGCTTTCAGCAACTTTTTTTAAGATGTCGTTTAGGAAATCTTTCCATCTTTCCTCGGAAGATTAAGGTTTTTGGCGATAGGAGAGATGGAGAAACAGAGGTAAAGATTTATAGAGAGAAGTGTAGTTAGTTGGCTGGTCTACTTAGCCAGGCTTTTAGCAAATTTGTTGATGATAATGCCATATTCGACTGAGAAGAATGATTACATTTCTATTTTCCACCTGCAAAATAGCCTAGGTTAGGTTAGAGGATGTGCAGTTGCTTAGCAACCGCTCCACTTGGAGACTAGTTGGTCCATTGCGATCATCCTGATAGAGTGAAAGAAAATAAATGAAGAGGGAGAGAGAAAGATTATGTTAGAGAAGATGTATCCACGAATAATTTATTGTGTTGTCTATAGCCATTTTAGTCTTCTAGCTAGCTGAAGAATTGTTGACGGCTCAGTATTGGAGAGTGAAGACAGATCATGCAGAGTTTGCTTATCCGTGAGTCTCAGCCTGGCTCTAAAATAAGTTGGACAGTGACAGAGTCCGTGTTACGCAGTTCCTATCTATTCCTCGTCCAGTCATGGCCCTTATATTATAGTGACCTGTGATTAAGCCTACTACAAGTTGTAGGTCAGATTTCGCCATGGAAATGAGCGATAGAGATCTTTTGGAGATCACCGGACATTTTTTTTTGGAAGCAATACAGTTTCTTGCATTTTGCCAGTTATGCTGAAATTTTCCAGAATAGTGTTTGTGTATTATCTGGAAGCAATGACACAAGCCCTCAATCTCTAGAACCGTTGACTCAGAGCCACTTCTTGCCAATTCATCTGTAGCTACATTGTTAGAGATGCTACTATGACCAGGAACCCAGCAAAGCTTAATAAAGGAATTCACTTTTTCCAGAGTAATCCTGCACTCCACAGGACTACCATAGATTTGATAGTGGATGAATTTAGCGCTTTATATACTCATCGGCATATATACTCACCGGTCCATTTAGTTCAACTGTTCAATTCATCAGCAATTCTACGGCTTTCCTGGCAGCAGAGATTTCTGCCTGGAATACGCTACAGTCTTTATTGAGTTTGAATGAATTCCGAATATGCACCCGTTCCAATATCCATCTTAAAACCATCGGTATAAATAGCTATACCTTTGAAAGTTGGTAGAAGTGATTGAAGGCAGCTTGTTTTTCTTCACGAGATTACGTGTCAGATGGCCGTAGATGCGCTGTCTCTAAACGCCATCTGCTTCGATGAGAGATTTTTGGAAGAAGCCGATATAATGGGACATCATTCAGTAGGTTATTGGTTGTTTAACAGTGTCCCCAATCCGTCATCGACTAATATGTAATGTTGAAACAATTGGATACGCCGGGAGTTGAGTACCTGACAAAAAGTTCTTAGTCTGTCGCTAGCCACATTGTTTCAGAAGTCTGGAGAATGGACCGGGTAGTCCAGCCAGGCAAGAATGCCAGCAAAGACAAATCATACAGGACAATATCGCTTTTTCTCGCCAGTAGCTAAGAATCTCGAGGAAGCTATCCAGTTGTCAGGTCGAGGATTAAACCAGAACAAGCCATGTCACAGAACAGTGTTGGGAGCCCCTCACCTATCAAAGGCAATTGCTACAGTCAACCACGTCACACAGTTTTTGAGGATGTATAGACAGATCTACTGGTCGAGGAAATATAGTACCGACCAGGAACTACCCCAAGATCCTAGGGGTCACATTCGAAAGCATTTTTTAGGCGTCAAATTCGATAGCATAGCTGCGACAAACTGAAAAGTAGGTCCTCAAGGCACTAGCCGGCAGCCCCTGGGGGGAGGGGGGTTTACAATTGTTTCAAACCGTATCTGTGTCTTGGCGGTTTTTCTATAGCACGAGCCAACATCTCAACATGAGATAGATTGCTCCTCCAAACAATTATTAAATTCCCAAAAATAAGACCTTGTTGCCTTCTTATTAGGCGATAGGTCGGTCTGTTGTCAGCTATGCGGGGCCCCAGTGTGGTCTGCGAATATATGTGCTACGCAATGGAAGAATAACGCGGCCGGACCAAATGCTGCCATGAAATCAGCGACAGAGTACCCCATCATGACACCAGTGGGCTATCTACATGAGTACGCAAAGATCCTACGCAAAGATCCTTCACGTTTTGAATAACCGATATTGGGTTAAAGATTTTTGATAAACAAAACGCTCAAAGAGAGCGAAATAAGCATTCAACTCTCTCCCAATTTTACACATCCAAATGTATTTGCTAAAGCAAATGCTGTTGTAAACACCAGCCAACACCTTCTGGTGGGCGAGGGCCCACAAAGGGTTACAATTTCCAATAATTATTTCTGTCATAACTTGCGAAACAATTCGGCGATTGTTTACAACTTGTTGTATCTAAATATTTCTCTTAACCAGAAATCTGATATGAATATGTAATTTATCGGAATTTATGATTTTGCATAAAATTGAACATAAATGTTCGATTTCCTTCAAATTTCGCACATACCAATATTTTTTATCTGTACTAGATGAAGTATAAAAATGGAATACTTGGGTTCGCTATATATGTTACCTCGCGCATATTTCCACATTTTCCAAAAATGTGGATATATCTCACATAAAGTATAGGAAGTTGTCGATGTAGCCCAAGTTTGCCACATTGTAATATATATCAGTCTTAGGTCAGATACGAAATGGTCAATATTGGTCAGCTGCTTCGGAACACCTCCCCCCTAAAAGGGTCAACAGTTTGAATAATCATAACTCAATGCCTGGGGGGTATACATCTGTCGGCAAAACGGACGACTGATACTATTTTAGTAGTTAATTAAAAATTTAATATTAATTTTTTTTCTTTACAGAACTGAACTGATGAATGCGTTGACGCCGAATGTACAGAAATAGAATGCATTTACTTTTTTTGAATATTTTATTATTTTTTTATTTTTTGTTAATTCTACAAACCAAAGATAATGTTGCTTTTTTAAATGGAATTTGTTGATCAAATCCAGGGTAGATATGAAAACTGAATTATGTTGTTCAGAGTATCAAAACGTATATCTCGTATTCTCATGTCATAAAAAAAACACTGGGGACCTGTTTCTTTAATCTGCCGCGAACAGAAAACACCATTTTTAATGTTTTTTCCAAAATTGATTGATTGATGGAACCAAAATTCTTTGCAAACAGACCCTAGGTTTTTTAAGGCTTGTATACACACACTGTTAGAATCATATGTAAAGCTGAATATTTTACATTTATGTTAGGCATTTTTATAACATACTTTAAGGCGCTTTAAACAATTTGTTATCGAAAAAGAAATGCACATTATATATTTTAGCATATATTAATTTATTCATATTATAATATTGTAATATAACTATAATATATGTATATTATATAGCATTGTACAATATATATTTTATAATGTATAGCGCCTCTTTAGAGTCTGCTATAAGAGTGTTTATTCTCTAATGCGAAAAAAAAATTACTTTACATATGACACTAACATGTTGTGAAAACTGATTTTTAATTACAATTTAAGTTGACAATGTCCATTTTCTTATTTCTAGTCTTATTGTTTTTTGTTTAAATTCGTTTCTATTAATACGTTACATAGTCATTTCTCACATAATCCATGTAAAATATATGTATTATTATTTTTTTTTTATTTTTTTATGTAAAACTAGTTTTAACCTTGATGTAGTATAAGATTTTATTATTCGTTTTGTAAATTGAAAGAAAGTTACAGAGAATAGTTTATGTATTTGAATATTTTTTGTTTTGAAATAATTTTGCATGCAAAAGACCATGACAAATTGTATAATGGAAGGAAAATATGTATAACATACTGTGAAATGTGAAATAATGTATTTTCCACCCATCCATGCAAGAGTAACAAAGAGTGGTGGCCCGTTCTATTGTAAAGTTCGAAATGATTAACTAAAAGGAAAATTATAACAAATCCCAGATCTTTTTTGGAGGAAAACGTTTCAAAGATTAAATCTTTAAAAAATCCACGACGTTGGGCCTTTTAGGAGTCCAGAAAAAAATCTTTAAAAAATCCACGCCGTTGGGCCTTTTAGGAGTCTAGAAAAAATCTTTAAAACATCCACGTCCTTGAGCCTTTTAGGAGTCTAGAAAAAAAACTTTAAAATGGCTTTTGGGTCTTTAAAAAAATCTTTAAAAAATACTACGACAACGGCTCAGATGCTCTAGAAAAAAATCTTTAAAAAATCCACGCCTATTGGTCTTTTAGAAGTCTAAAAATACATCTTTAAAAAGTCCATCCCTCTTTAAAAGTCCACCCCTTTGGGCCTTTGATGAGTCTAGAAGAAATCTTTAAATAATCCATGCCTATTGGCCATCCTCTTTGGTTTGAGGAGTCTAGAAAAAATCTTTAAAAAATCCATGACTATTGGCCTTTTAGAAGTCTAGAAAATTTTTTTCAAAAATCCACGCCTATTGGCCTTTTGGAAGTCTAGAAAAAATCTTTAAAAAATCCATGCCTATTGGCCTTTTAGAAGCCAAAAAAAATCTGTAAAAAGTCCATCCCCTTTGGTTTGAGGAGTCTAGAAAAAATCTTTAAAAAATCCATGCCTATTGGCCTTTTAGGAGTCTAGAAAAAAATCTTTAAAAAATCCATTCCTATTGGCCTTTTGGAAGTCTCGAAAAAAAATCTGTAAAAGTCCATCCCCTTTGGTTTGAGGAGTCTAGAAAAAATCGTTAAAAAATACACGCCTATTGGCCTTTTAGAAGTCTAAAAAAATCTTTAAAAAGTTCATCCCCTTTGGGTCTTTAAAAAATTCAAGCCTTTGGGCCGTTAAGGAGTCTAGAAATTTTTTTAAAAAAATACTACGACAACGGCTCAGATGGTCTAGAAAAAAATCTTTACAAAATCCACGCCTATTGGTCTTTTAGAAGTCTAAAAATACATCTTTAAAAAGTCCATCCCTCTTTAAAAGTCCACCCCTTTGGGCCTTTGATGAGTCTAGAAGAAATCTTTAAATAATCCATGCCTATTGGCCATCCCCTTTGGTTTGAGGAGTCAAGAAAAAATCTTTAAAAATCCATGCCTATTGGCCTTTTAGAAGTCTAGAAAAAAATCTTTAAAAAATTCACGGCTGTGGGCCTTTTAGGAGTCTAGAAAAAATCTTTAAAAAATCCATGCCATTGGCCTTTTAGAAGTCTAGAAAAAAATCTTTAAAAAATTCACGGCTTTGGGCCTTTTAGGAGTCTAGAAAAAATCTTTAAAAAATCCATGACTATTGGCCTTTTGGAAGTCTAGAAAAAAAATCTGTAAAAAGTCCATCCCCTTTGGTTTGAGGAGTCTAGAAAAAATCTTTAAAAAATCCATGCCTATTGGTTTGAGGAGTCTAGAAAAAAATCTTTAAAAAATCCATGCCTATTGGCCTTTTGGAAGTCTAGAAAAAAAATCTGTAAAAAGTCCATCCCCTTTGGTTTGAGGAGTCTAGAAAAAATCTTTAAAAAATCCATGGCTATTGGCCTTTTAGAAGCCTAGAAAAAAAAAATCTTTAAAAAATCCATTCCTATTGGCCTTTTGGAAGTCTAGAAAAAAAATCTTTAAAAAATCCATTCCTATTGGCCTTTTAGAAGTCTAAAAAAATCTGTAAAAAGTCCATCCCCTTTGGTTTGAGGAGTCTAGAAAAAATCTTTAAAAAATACACGCCTATTGTCCTTTTAGAAGTCTAAAAAAATCTTTAAAAAGTTCATCCCCTTTGGGTCTTTAAAAAATTCACGCCTTTGGGCCGTTAAGGAGTCTAGATTTTTTTTTAAAAAAATACTACGACAACGGCTCAGATGGTCTAGGAAAAAATCTTTAAAAAATACACGCCTATTGGCCTTTTAGAAGTCTAAAAAAATCTTTAAAAAGTTCATCCCCTTTGGGTCTTTAAAAAATTCACGCCTTTGGGCCGTTAAGGAGTCTAGAATTTTTTTTAAAAAAATACTACGACAACGGCTCAAATGGTCTAGAAAAAAATCTTTAAAAAATCCACGCCTATGGCTTAGGTGGTCTTTAAAAAATTCTTTAAAAAGTCCAAGCCTATGGCTTAGGTGGTCTTTAAAAAATTCTTTAAAAAGTCCACGCCTATGGCTCAAATGCTCCTCAAAAAAAAGTCTTACAAAATCCACTTCCCTGGCTCAGATGGTACTTGAAAAAAAAATCTTTAAAAAATCCATGCCTATGGCTTAGGTGGTCCTTAAAAATTCTTTTAAAAAGTCCACGCTTGGTCCTTTAAAAAAAGTCTTAAATATCCACATCCATGGCTCAGTTGGTCCTTGAAAAAAATTCTTTGCAAAGTCTACGCCTATGACTCAGATGGCTCTTGAATTTTTTTTTAATGAATCCACGCCTACAGCTCAAATGGTCCTTGAAAAAATTGTTTAAAAAATCCACGCCTATGGCTCAGATGGTCCCTGAAAAAATTTGTTAAAAAAGTTACGACCTTGGGCCAGATGGTCCTTGAAAAAAAATCTTTAAAAGTCCACGCCTATGACTCAGGTGGTCCTTGAAAAAATTGTTTAAAAAATCCACGCCTATGGCTTAGATGGTCCTTAAAAAAAATTGTTAAAAAAGTTACGACCCTGGGCCAGATGGTCCTTGAAAAAAATCTTTAAAAAGTCCACGCCTATGACTCAGGTGGTTCTTGAAAAAAATTCTTTAAAAAGTCTACGCCTATGACTCAGATGGCCCTTGATTTTTTTAATAAATCCACGCCTATGCCTTAGATGGTCCTTGCAAAAAATTCTTTAAAAAGTCCAAGCCTATGACTCAGGTGGTCCTTGAAAAAAATTCTTTAAAACGTCTATGCCTATGACTAAGATGGCCCTTGAAAATTGTTTTAATAATCCACGTCTATGGCTTAGCTGTTCCTTGAAAAATATCTTTAAAAAATCCAAGCATATGGCTCATAAGGTCCTTGCAATTTTTTTTTGTCTTTAAGCCATCTATCAAAAATGGATTGTTTATCCCCTAGTGGTGGACCATCGTTGATAAACAAACAACCAGTCTTTTAACTTCTGTCTTTGATTTTCCTTCCGATATTATTTTTATTTTATTATGGAACAATTCTCCGGGGTGCAAAGTTTTGCTTGTTTTTGTGTATCTGCACCTTTAAGGGGTTTTCGTAGGCATGGAATTTCCCTCGCCCCTATTAAAACAAGCCACCGGAAAATTTGCCCAATCTCAAACATTACAATTTCATTCGAATTTTACAAAAAATAGAAATAACAGCCTTTAAACAAATATTGAATAAAACAAAAGATTTCATAGATAATTTTTAACTATTTTACAAAAAAGTTTATGATTGTATTTTTGTGATAGGGTGTGCCTTAAGTTTTATTCATATTCGTATTGAAATATATATGTACAAAATATACTTACATACATACATATGTACAAATAAAATGTTGTAATAAAAAAAAAAACAAATAAAAATCGAAAAAAAAACTTTCAAAAAGACAAAAAAAAAAATTATTTTCTGTTTCTTTTTTTCGCTTTTCTTTTTGTGCCCAGCTTGCAATGTCATTGGCATAGAATTTCCAACACTCAGCAAAAAAAATAAATTTATTTATATACAGACTTGGTGGGCCAGATGGTCATAGTTTGCAGTAGGCCATATACTGGAGCGGGTTGTTCACAAAGCACAATCATCGAAGATGTTCTATGGAGGAAAATCATATCAACTTATGTTGGCCATATTCTTTGTGTCACTTTGGAGCCAAACGCCATGCGTAAGTGGCTACAGCAAAAGAGAGAGGATCAACAAATTACGTGAGTACAACAGCTATTAAACTGGGATCTACAGGGTGAGAAAAAACTGCAAACGTACTAATTTTTACATTTTTTTAAAGTTTCATTGAATGAAAGCACCAAATGTCGGAAATAGCATCAAATTTAAGAATAAGTTTAGATTTGTTCGAATTGGGCACCTTGGCACGAATTATGGCCTTCAAACGGCCAATGAAACCATCACACGCTGCCCGAATGTTGCTCTGCGGTATTTTGGACCATTCCCGGCGAAGCGCTTGCTTGAGGTGATTTTTTAGTGTCAACCTTGCTTTCCAAAATACTTCAGACACAATAGTCCAACGGATTGGTATCCGGAGATTTTGGTGGCCATTGTGCGCTGGAAATGAAGCGAGGAACCTCATTTAGCAACTATTCTTGGGTGGCGCGTGCTGAGTGCAATGGTTCTGAGTACTGTTGGAATGTCCGAGGTCTGCGGCCAAAATGTTTGAGTGCCCAAGGCTTTAATACAGCCTCCAGAATATTTTTGCGAAAATATTCGGCATTTATTCTGATGCCACGGTCGATTAATACAAGCGGAGAGCTACCATCGGCTGTTATGGCGGCCCGGCCCAGCTCACACCATCACTATGGCCGGCGCTTGAGTTCTGGGGGCCAACCGATGGTGAACATTTTCACCTGACCTCTTTGGCAAGTAATCCCGATCATTTTGTTTGTTTACAAACTGCTGGGCAACGAATGTTTTCTCATCGGAGAAAACCAAATTCAGCAGTTCACCACTTTCGGCCAAGCGAAGCAATTCTTTAGCTCTTTTGAGTCTATTTTCTTTCTGTAGCGCTGTAAGTTCTTGCACTTTTTGGATGGCTTTACCCCGAGCTGATTTTTCAATATTTGCCAAATAGAAATCTTACGATATGTTCAGCTCATGAGCCATTTTTCGGCCACTGCGATGCGGGTTTCGATCAAGTCGCTTCTTTACTTTTCGAACCATTTCTGCTGATGTTGCTGTTTTCTTCCGTCCACTTCCTTCACGTCGGGCTACGCTACCAGTATCACGGCACGGAAACGAGCGATGCTATGAGACACAAAAGATTTATTCACATTTAAATGCTGGAGCTAGGTTAGGGCTAACGATAGCCACTTGTGGTTTTCCAGCCAAATATAAAGAAATCATACTATCACGCTTGAATTCCATTGCGAATAACTTTTTTTCGGGAAAATTCTCCACAAAATGCTTTTGTTCGCTTGTAAACAATTTAATTTGGAATAACTTTAACAGCTGTCGGACGAGTGGCTTAGAAATGACAGCAGTTGGTTGCAGTTTTTTTATCTCACCCTTTCAAGTATAGGATGTAGTCGATATAGTCCAAATCTGGTAGTCTTTGGTCAGATACGAATTTACCAACTGCTTCGGAACCTCCCCCATAAAAGGTGAACAGTTTAAAAAAATCATAACTCAAGGCTGGAGGGTATACATCTGTCGGCAAAACCGACGGCTGATACTATTTTTTATTTCTTAAATTTAAATTTCCTTTTAACCAATCATCTCGTCTCTGTTTTAAGCTTCATTTTTGAAAATCTGTCGCCGCTCTGATCCCCAGTTGAATAAGTGTGCCCGCAATGCTCTCTACTCGTTAAAGGATCGTCTGGAATATGGCATACCCGAACTCTATATACCGGCCATGGAACCGCTGACAATACCCGAGATTAAAATGAATCAGGACACGGGCGCTGTTTACATTAAATCCACGTACAGAAATGTGGAAATATATGGCATGTCACGGTTTGCGGTGAAATCGCTGCACATCGATACCAATAAAATGAAATTCACCACCACAATGCTGTTTCCAAATCTCACCATGCATGCGGACTATCAAATCGATGGCAAAATCATGATGATGCCAATGACGGGATCGGGAAAATGCAATGCCAATTTTAGTAAGTATGGGCCAGGTTTTTTTTCCAAAGTCCATAAAATAATGTCTCTCTTTTTTTTTGCAGCCGATGTCACCATGACCACGGTAATTTTGGGTGAACGTCAAAAGAAAAACGGTAAATCCTATTTGAATGTCAAGGACATCAATGTCAACTATGATGTGGGCAAAGTTCAAATCCATTTGAATAATCTTTTCAATGGTGACAATGCCCTGGGTGATCGCATGAATGCCTTTTTGAATGAAAACTGGGATTCATTGTCGGAGGAGTTGCGGCCACTGCTGGAGAAGGCATTTTCAAGTGTCATCCGTTCATCGACAGATAAACTGTTCAAGGCCTATAGCTATGATGATTTGTTGCCCAAGTAGAATGGTGGTGGCAATGCGAAGTTTAAGGGTCCGTCTCTCCATGTCAATAAATAAGTGAAGGCGGTCTCTCTACGTCAAGGCATAAGTGAAGGCGAAAGAAAAAATGCATCTACGAAAGTGTTTTTTTAGTTTTTTGTTTCATTCTATATATATTTATTAATAGCTAAACAAACTCATAGATAAATAAACAGCAAGATTGAATCCGTATTGAAAATTTGTCTATGGAGAAGACATATTTCAATTTTAAGGGCCTGTTTCGGAATTCGAAAAAAATGTCTAATAATAAAAACAAAAAAAAAAGTAAAATATTAGCAGTCGGTTTTGCCAACAGATGTATAACTCCAGTCTTGAGTTGTGATTATTCAAACTGTTGACCCCTTATGGGGGGAAGGTTCTGAAGCAGTTGGCCAATTCGTATCTGACTGATATAAATATTACAATTTGACAGATTGTGAAAATATGCATGAGGTAAAATATATAGCGGACCGAACGAAGTATTCCATTTTCATACTACACCAATACAGATAAAAATATTGGTATGTGGAATATTTGAAGTAAATCGAACCTTTATATCCAATTTCATGCGAAGTCAAAAATTTCATATTTGTCGCAGGTATCTGGTTGGGGGCAATATTTAGATAAAGCAAGTTGTAAAGAATCATCGACTTGTTTCGCAAGTTATGATAGATATAAGCATTGGAAAATGTGACCCCTTATGGGTTAGGTACCAGAAGGGGTTGGCATCTTCACAACAGATTTTGCAGTAGGACAAATGTTTGGATGTGTGCAATTTGAATAGAGTCGGATGTTAATTTCGTGTTTTATAAGCTATATGAATATTCAACATTTTGACCCTTTGTGGTAGAGGTATCAGAAGGCGTGGGCCGATATATCCCACTTTCACACCAGACCTTGGGTTAATAAAAATGTTGTGATGTATGTACTGTGAAGAGAACCGGATGCTTATTTCGAATGTAATGATCGTTTTGGTTATTCCAAACTTTGACCCTTTATGGGGGAGGTACTATGAGAAATGGCCCGATCTCAACCATCTTTATAACAGATCTTGTGTTTGTGGAAATATTGAATGGAAGGGAATCGGATGTTAATTTCACGTTTTATGAGCTTCATGAATATTCAGCATTTTGATCCTTTATGGGGGAGGTACCAGATGGAGTGTATATTTGGCTGAAAAAACCACAAGTGGCTATCGTTAGAACACTCCAGCATTTAAATGCGAATAAATCTTTTGTGTCTCGTACCATCGCTCGTTACCGTGTGATACTGGTAGCGTAGCCCGACGTCAAGGGAGTGGACGGTGGAGAAAACAGCAACATCAGCAGAAATGTTTCGAAAAGTAAAGAAGCGACTTGATCGAAACCCACGTCGCATTGGCCGAAAAATGTCTGGTGAGCTGAAAATATAGCAATATTCCATTCGCAAATATTGAAAAATGAGCTCGGGGTAAAGCCATTAAAATTCCAAATTTTGCAGTGCAAGAACTTACACCGCAACAGAAAGAAAATAGACTCAAAAGAGCTAAAGAGTTGCTTCGCTTGGCCGAAAGTGGTTAACTGCCGAATTTGGTTTTCTCCGATGAGAAAACATTCGTTGTGCAGCAGTTTGTGAACAAATAAAATGATCATGTTTACTTGCCAAAGAGGTCAGCTGAAAATGTGCACCTTTTGTTGGCCACCAGAACTCAAGCGCCGGCTATGGTGATGGTGTGCCGGGCCGCCATAACAACCGATGGTCGCTCTCCGCTCGTATTAATCGACCGTGGCATCGGAATAAATGCCGAATATTATCGCGAAAATATTCTAGAGGGTGTGTAAAGGCCTTGGGCATGAAAACATTTTGGCCGCAGACCTTGGACATTCCAACAGGACTCAGCACCATCGCACGCACTCAGCACGCGCCATCCAAAAATGGTTACAAAATGTTGTTCCTAGCTTTATTTCCAGCGCACAATGGCCACCCAAAATCTCCGGATACCAATCCATTGGACTATTGTGTCTGGAGTATTTTGGAGAGTAAGGTTGACACTAAAAAATACCAAAGGGTCGATCACATCAAGCAAGAACTTCGCCGGGCCAAAATACCGCAGAGCAACATTTGGGCAGCGTGTGACGGTTTCATTGGCCGTTTAAAGGCCATAATTCGTGGCAAAGGTGACCAATTCGAACGTATCTAAACTTATTCTAAAATTTGATGCTAATTCCGAAATATTTTGCTTCCAGTCAATGAAATTAAAAAAATGTAAAAATGATGGCGTTTGACTTTGTTGCAGTGTTTTTTTTATTTCACCCTGTGTTATTCACGAAACAGATGGCTTCAAGGGCAGAACCTCGGATAACACACAAAAAGCTGAGATCCTGCCCAAAAATGTGCGGGATAGTCATCAATCCTAGGAAATAATAGACAATTCCTTTCGCAAACCGGTCTACATAGCAGTGGAAGGTATTGAAATCAGGTGCCCTCTGTTGAATTCGGCAACGAATTCAGTGCAGATGGGTCTACCATTAATGCACCTCGCCCCTGGAAGTAAAATTGATTTTTTGATCCAAACATGAATCATAGCAAGAAGTGTAACGAAAAAGTCTTGTGGCATCGATAAGATCCCTGATATTGTTGTAAAGAAGGCTGGTGAAGCCATCATACTTTTCCTTACTATATTGTTTGACTCAACATCGGCTATTTCCCAAAAATTTGAAGGAGGCACTAGTGTTACCAATTCCCAAGACCGGAGCAGCTGCAACCCTAGGAGAGAGCTATAGACCAATATCCCTGTTATCGCCCTTTGGGAAGCTGCTTGAGCACTTTCTACTGCACCGATTCAACCGGATCATCGAAGAGGAGAGGATATTAAAGTACTGACAATTCGAATACAGAGCAAAACACTAGAACCCATGTCCTAGCAGCTATTACAACATACGTCACGGATGATTTCAAGTCCGAATTTAGAATAATTGCAACTGGACCAGACTTCAGCAAAGCAAGTTTGATGTCAAAAAAAAAAAAAAAAAAAATAATTTTTGATTTAAATCGGCTATTTATTTATTTTTTTCCTTTATTTTTCTAAAACTAATTAATAACAATTTATAATAAATACATATATAAAATAATAACTAAATGCAATATAAACAAAAAAATATATATATAAAATCCACTAAACTAACCACAATTTTAGGGGTATTTTCGAAAAGACATTATTCCACAGGCCATGGAAGATATCGGCTAAACCCTTTTCCAAATCCGGCCGCAACTCGGCAATGACATCATTGCCATTTTGATTTAGAAACGAATTAATTGAGGCGGCCAATATTTCATTGCCATTGAAGAGATTGTTCAGATGGATGCGCATGGAGCCCACATTAAAGGTGACCTTCATGTCGTCGATGTGGATCACCTCCTGGATGGGATCAAGAAAAACAGTTAGTGATAAAATGTATTATAAGTCTTTATACCTACCTCCGGTGCATTCCTTAAACTTATTTTCGTATAAACCGCTGTCTTTACATCCTTCAGGGCCAAGCGAACATCACCATTACCCACCAGGGGTAACACCAATATGTGACCATTTAAATTGTATTGGGCTCGAATGCGCAGCAATGGAATTTCCAATTCAAAATTTAAGATTTTCTTTTCCAAATCCAAACTGAAATGAAGATATTGGATTTAAATTCAAATTCTCTTTGGAAAGGAATTTCACTTACACTGCCCTCTTCACGGTGGCATTGGAGGGACCTCGTATCACCAGATTTTGAAAACCCCCAGCCAATATTAGATTACCGCTTCCCTTTTGCACCGATACCTGATCAATGTGTAGCGGCTCAAAACCATTGACACCAATTTCCGCTATACCCGTGGCCAGGGCAGGAAAACAGCCTTCGAAAAATTTCCGAAAACATTTATCTTCATTGGGATTGTGGCGGGGACATGTGCGTAACCAGGCGGCTGGAAAACAAACGAAAATAAATTATTTTCAAATAAAACTACTAACAAATACATATTAATGCCAAATTATAATGAAAAACGACGGCAGGATTTTAGTGCGGCTCTGTAATTCCTTTGTGAAATGTCACAAAATAGGCCGTGTCATGACTTCAAGCATGGTAGAATTACAAGGTAACCCTTTCACGCCAGCTGGTATCAATTTGATATGTCAAAAAAATTGTTGTAATTTGAATTCGCCATAGAGAAACATTACCAAAATTTACACTTCAAACAGTATAAATAAACTTAGAATACTCTCAGCCAAATGACTACATCGGATATATACCTTTTGATACGGTCAAAATGTGCCTCATCGAAATAAAGGTTTTTGACTCTAGATCTTTTGGATGAGTCGGTTGGGCGACGTCCGTCAGACCGTCTATTTTTATTTTCATTATTTAAGGCCACATTTGAACATATAGAAGTTACAAAAGATGGAGTTTCAGAGCTTTCATGTGGTAATTGCTTTAAAACTGGAAGCATAATTTTGAAAATTCCCGTGAAATAATTTAGCGCAAATGATTCTGCATATTTTCAAAGGCGAACGTAGCATTTTTATAAAATCCAATTTTAAATAGAAACAAAGAGTGTAATATTCTGCATTTTTATGATGCCAATGTTCAGATTGTTTATTTAACTAATCTTAAATTAAAGACATATGGACGGTCAGTGTTTTTTTATATCATAAAATTCCTCCGACTTGAATTCTTAAAGACATTAAATAAACAATTCGATTCATTTGAAAAACAATAATTTTGAGAAATTAATGTTTACTCTCATGAAATAGTTCTTTAAAATTCAACAATGTCGGACTCGGAAATATTCTTTATAATCTACGATTTAACGCCGGAAGATTTTTTTTAAGATTCATGATTTGGGGCTCGGGCATTTTCTTTAAATCCCTGAAACTATTTCAAAATCCACAATTTAAGAACTGCAAATATTTAAAAATCCAGGCTATGATATTGTGAAGAACTCTAGATTCTTTCAAATTTCTCGAGTTGGGTCTTGAAAATATCCGCTATTTGGGGCTGAAACTTTTGTAAATTTCTACAATCACATCGCACAAAAAGTTCATACAAATCCACAATATAGTGCGTACATTTTTGATGGGTTGATGATTTCTTGCCTTATATTGAGTTCTCCGAATTCTTTTTGAATTTGTTCCAACTGACGTTATCATTCCACGCGGTATTCACCCCAATTTTTATATACCATTTGCTTTTATCGAGTTCTCTTATATCGAGGGCCGGCCTAAACTGTACGAGTCACAGCAACACAACATTTCCCTGCAAAATTTAATAGAAATTGAAAAATAAACCAAAATTTTCAATGTTTCAAAATTAAATGTTCTGATTGGTGCAGAACAATTTGCCTCAAATTTTATATGTCAAGTAAATTCGCCTAGCTTACAATTTTGACATATCAAGTTCGAACAAAAGTTGCTTTGTTGTAATTTTCGCCTATGTTGCTACCTGGTATTTCTACCATGACTTCAAGCTTCTTATGTACTTAAAGTGGAAATACATAAAGCGCATATTTGGCTGGCTTAAGTCATCGGCTGGCTTCTTCGTAGATGAACAAAGGAGTTTTAGGTTGACCTAGTTCGATTTTGGCCCTAGGCTCCTTTGTTCATTTCCGAAGAAGCCAGCCGATGACTTAAGCCAGCCAAATAAGCGCTTTATGTATTCCCAGCTTTAGCCCTTTAATGTCGGGCGGGCCGATTTTATGATACCTTACACCACTTTGCTAATTTAGTAGAGCTGCGCATAACAATTAAAAGTTTTTATGGGAGAATTCAATCATACACGCTATGCCGAAGCATTTGTATCTTTTAAATTCGGACTTGTATTGCCCATTTGGTGCACAATTAATTTGAAATCGGATAAAAATATATATGGAAGCTATATCCAAATCTGAACCGATCTCGATAAAATTTAGCAAATGTATTTCTGAGCTGTATTTGATATATTTCCCCAAATATTGTTGTTTCAGAGTGCATATTACGGCTGCGGAGGACAAAAATAACAAATCGGATGAACAATATATATGGGAGCTATAACTATTTCTTAACCGATTTCGATCAAATTTGGCATACTTATTTTTAGGTCAAATCTGATCGTAAGTGCAAAATTCCATACTATTCGGACTGATATTACACGTTTGTTGCACAATAAAATGCAAATCGGAAGAAGATATATATGGGAGCTATATCTAAATTTTGACCGATTATCTCCAATTTCAATAGGGTTCGTCCTTGGTTCAAACAAATGATTTGTGCAAAGTTTCATCTGGATAGGGCAATAAATGCGAACTATACTTTGTTTACAAAAATACATGGACAGACGGACGGACGGACATGCATAAATCGACTCAGAATGTGATTTTATGCAGATCCTTTTGCCTGTTACAAACAAATGCACAAAGACATAATACCCTGATTACCTTGTGGTGTAGGGTATAAAAATCTATATGGCAACCATTCAAAATTGAACAAAATTATATTATCGGATCATCGAAGAGAGGGGGATATTAAAGGAACGCCAATTAGAATTCAGAGTAAAAAACTTCACGACCCCTGTCATAGCAGCCTTTACAACATAAATCACGGATGGTTTAAAGCCCAAGTTAAGACTTCAACAAAGCCTTTAATACTGTCTGGCCACTGGGCATTTTATACAAAATTCAATCGTTTGGATTCGATGGCATGGTAGCAAGCTTCCTCCAGGATAGAGTCTTTCGGGTTAGAGTTGATGATAAATGGTTTCAAGTCCAAAATGGGAACAATTCCAACTGGTCGGGACTTCAACAAAGCCTTTGATACGGTATGGCAACATGGCATTTTATACAAAGTTCAATCGTTTGAAGTCGATGGACAAAATATGTAGCATGGTAGCAAGCTTTTTCCAGGATAGAGTTTTTCGTGTTAGAGTTGATGATAAACTGTCTGAGCAACGACTGGTCAAAGTGAGGTTTCCTCAGGGATCACAACAAGGACCGGTCTTGTACAACATGTTTGTTAGTAGCGAGATCCCTGGACCACCAGAAGTAGGATTACTACATAAGTAGCGGCGATGATATTTTATTGGTGCCACGAGGTCGTTTCGAAAGCACAGCGGAAAGAAGATTGAACGCGTACATGTATACGCTCCACAACTACTTCAAGAAATTAGTACTTAACCTCAACGCTAGAAAGTGCGTATCTGTGGTTTACCAAGACAAATCACATTCTACAGCAAAGAGCCTCAGGAGATACATCCCTATGATCAAGGTTGCTGAGCAACTATTGGAACTTTCGAAATTATCAATGATTGCTTGGACTTCTGCCTTCACGGGGACAATGTGGAAAAAAGAACACTTACGACGACCAGATACCATTCCGAATGCGAGGAGGACTGTCGTCGGATGTAAAATTGCTTATCTATCTATCAAGTTATCCGGACCATGGAGGTGAGAATACATAAAACACTTTTTTTAATGGCTTAAGTCATCGGCTGGCTCCTTCGGAAAAGAATAAAGGAGCGCGGTGTTTACTACGGCAAACCCCATCCTACAGCAAATAGCTTCCGCAAATAAATCCCTACGATCTTCCCATATAATGGAATTATCCTGCACGATTGATTCGATTTCTGCCATCACGGGGACTATGTGCCAAAATTATGACTTCCGCCGAATACAGGCTATTCCGGGTGCGAGGGTGACTATCGTCGGATGTAAAATTGCTTATCTACAACCAAGTTATCCGGATTATAATAACCTATTCCCTTGCCGCTTGGGCTGATATATCTTCGACTTAAATGGAAAGAATAAGGATATGGGAAAGAAGGATCTTGATATCGTGTTTAGGAATGAGACTAACAATTGATGACAGTGAAATTTACAGACGATTGCCCAACAGGAATATCTATATCTCTGTGGAATTCCAGGTAGATCGACGTCTTAATGATGGGAAATGCGCTCAACTTCCTAGATAAATAGGCTTCATAACTACTTCATAAAATGAGGTCTTAACCTCAACGTTTGAAAACGAGGTCTGCCGTCATGGCAGACGATAGAATGAAATAATCCTGCACATCGGATTCGATTTCTGTCGCCACGGGGACTAAGTGCCAGTAGCTATTTCGGATGCGATGGGGAGGAAGCAAGTTGTCCGGATCATAATAACCTATACCTTTGCCGCTTGGGCTGATATATCTTCGGATCAAACGGAAAGAATAAGGATATGGGAAAGAAGGATCTTGACGTAGTGTTTAGGAATGAGACCAACAATTAATGATAGTGGAATTTACAGACGCCGGGTCAGCACGAACTTCTATAACTTTATCGAAATCAAGCCGTCATTATGATGGGAAATCCGCTCAACGTTCTAGATGAATACGCTTCACAACTACTTCAAGAAATGGACACTTAACCTCAAAGTTTTGAAAGTGGGCATTTGTGGCTTTCAAAGGCAAATCACAGTTTCTACAGCAAAAAGTTTCCGGAGATACATTGCTACGATCAAAAAATTAAAAGAAATTATTAAAAAAAAAACGAAAATAAAAAAATGAATGGCAACACCTTTCAATTGTTGGAAAATAAATATTTAATTAAATTTAAATTGTCAAAAATTAAAAATAGTTATTTCTCAACATTTTGATATTGTAAAAATTTCAAAACAATGCGTTTTTATCCCACCACCGATATCAATTTTTTCTACGACCACCCGCCATCGTGGAGCCTCTATTGCCGCACGCCCCACAAGTCATGGAAACGCAAGATACCCCCACCCCGTTACATGTACATATATCGAGACCTTGAGGCCGTCAAAATGTCCAGAATATTGCGCAAACATTTATTTTTATCCCAACAATGGCCGAAATCTCGCATCCGTTTCGAAGCTTGCTTGCCTCTGTATTATGGGGTTGGTGGTCGTTTTATACGTTTGGAACGTGCCCCACCGTTGGGCTTTAAATGTTCACCAAGGCCCATAAATCTTAGGGAAGCACGTGATCTCGTAGCCTATGAAACGCGATTGGCCAAAATGGAGGCCAAATTGGAAAAACAAAAGGCGAAGGAGGATGCGGAGATAAAAGAGGATGGCAAAAAGAAAGGAGGACGAAAGAAATGAGAAGGCAGAAGAAGCCACGGAAATTTCCATGGGATGTTGTTTCTTTTGTTTTAGTTAAAATTTTTGTTTTGTATTGTTTACATGTTTCGTCTTTAAAAAAATATGGAGTTCGCAAATGTCTACCAAACGGCGATTTTTTGGGATCATCATCATGGATTTATGCAGAACTATAAACTTAAATTTTTTGTAGAATATTTCAAGGATATAATCAGCCCTAGAAACGTGTATTTTAAAGAAAATTTTCAAGGATATTACCAGCCCCGTAAACGGCAGATTTTAAAGATTATTTTTAAAAATATATCCTGATGTACAGACATATTTTTTTAATATTTTCAAGGATATACCCAGTCTTGCAAATTTGAATTTTTATGAAAATTTTCAGGGATATAAACAGCCCCACAAAACCTGAATTTTCAAAGGATATTTTTTATGAATATATCCAGACCTACAAATCGGGATTTTTTACAGGATATATTTAAGGATGCTAGGTATTATTATAAACGTGGAATTTTCAAGAATGTAGTCACCCGTACAATTCTGGAATTTTAAAGGATACAGACGTTGATTTAAAAAATCCAAGGATACAAAAAATTCAAAGGATACAGACGCTGATATTTTAGAGAAATTTTTAGGCATACAAACGTGGATTACTTAGAGAAAATTTCAAGGATATAGACGAGGATTTAAAATATAATCCAAGGATACAGACGTGGATTTAAAAAAATCTAAGGAGACGGACGTGGATTTTAAAAAAATCTAAGGATACAGACGTGGATATAAAAAAAATCTGGGGATACAAAAAATTCAAAGGATACAGACGCGGATATTTTAGAGAAATTTTCAAGGATATAGACGTGGATTAAAAAAATCCAAGTATACAGGCGTAGATTTAAAAAACTCCAAGGATGCGGACGTGGATTTAAAAAATCCAAGAATACAGGCGTGGATTTAAAAAATCCAAGGATATAGGCGTGGATTTTTAAAACAAAAAAATCAAAGGATACAGGCGTAGATTTTTAAAACAAAAAAAAAATCAAAGGATACAGGCGTGGATTTTTAAAACAAAAAAAAAAAAATCAAAGGATACAGGCGTAGGTTTTTTTAAAAAAAAAATCAAAGGATACAGGCGTGGATTTTTGAAACAAAAAAAAAAAATCAAAGGAAACAGGCGTGGATTTTTGAAACAAAAAAAAAATCAAAGGAAACAGGCGTGGATTTTTGAAACAAAAAAAAAATCAAAGGAAACAGGCGTGGATTTTTGAAACAAAAAAAAAAAAATCAAAGGAAACAGGCGTGGATTTTTGAAACAAAAAAAAATCAAAGGAAACAGGCGTGGATTTTTGAAACAAAAAAAAAATCAAAGGAAACAGGCGTGGATTTTTGAAACAAAAAAAAAAATCAAAGGAAACAGGCGTGGATTTTTGAAACAAAAAAAAAAATCAAAGGAAACAGGCGTGGATTTTTGAAACAAAAAAAAAACTAAGGATGCAGACTTAGAACAAAAAAATCCAAGAAGACAGACGTGGATTTAAAAAATCAAAGGATACATGCGTGGATTTAAAAAAAAAATAAAGGATACAGGCGTGGATTTTTAAAAAAAATCTAAAGATGCAGACTTACCACAAAAAATCCAAGGGAACTGATTTTCAAAAAAAAAAAAAATCAAAGGATTTTTAAAACAAAAAAATCTAAGGATGCACACTTAGAACAAAAAATCAAAGGAGACTGATTTTCAAAAAAAAAAAAAAAAAAAAAATCAAAGGATACAGGCGTGGATTTTTAAAACAAAAAAATCTAAGGATGCAGACTTAGAACAAAAAATCAAAGGATTTTCAAAAAAAAAAAATAAATAAATAAATAAATAAATACCAATCAAAGGATACAGGCGTGGATTTTTATAACAAAAAAATCTAAGGATGCAGACTTTGAACAAAAAAATCTAAGGATGCAGACTTAGAACAAAAAATCAAAGGATTTTCAAAAAAAAAAAAAATAAATAAATAAATAAATAAATACCAATCAAAGGATACAGGCGTGGATTTTTAAAACAAAAAAATCTAAGGATGCAGACTTAGAGCAAAAAAATCAAAGGATACAGGCGTGGATTTTTAAAACAAAAAATCTAAGGATGCAGACTTAGCACAAAAAGTCCAAGGGAACGGATTTTCAAAAAAAAAAAAAAAAAATCAAAGGATTTTTAAAACAAAAAAATCTAAGGATGCACACTTAGAACAAAAAATCAAAGGAGACTGATTTTCAAAAAAAAAAAAAAAAATCAAAGGATACAGGCGTGGATTTTTAAAACAAAAAAATCTAAGGATGCAGACTTAGAACAAAAAAATCCAAGGAGACAGACGTGGATTTTTTAAAAAAATCAAAGGATACAGGCGTGGATTTTTAAAACAAAAAATCTAAGGATGCAGACTTAGCACAAAAAATCCAAGGGAACTGATTTTCAAAAAAAAAAAAAAAAAAAAAAAAATCAAAGGATTTTTAAAACAAAAAAATCTAAGGATGCACACTTAGAACAAAAAATCAAAGGAGACTGATTTTCAAAAAAAAAAAAAAAAATCAAAGGATACAGGCGTGGATTTTTAAAACAAAAAAATCTAAGGATGCAGACTTAGAACAAAAAATCAAAGGAGACAGATTTTCAAAAAAAAAAAAAATAAATAAATAAATAAATAAATACCAATCAAAGGATACAGGCGTGGATTTTTAAAACAAAAAAATCTAAGGATGCAGACTTAGAACAAAAAAATCCAAGGAGACAGACGTGGATTTTAAAAAAAAAAATCAAAGGATACAATTTTGGATTTTTTAAAAAAAATCCAGGGATACAGACCTGGAGTTTTCTATCCAAAAAAATTTCTCTCAGTGCTCCCTTCATCGAATCATTCAGTTATTAATTGAAATTTCATAAAAAAATAACCAAAATTTTTGTGGGTCCTCTTCAAATTTTCCTCCATCAAAATCCTAGTATTTTTTCCCCAATCCTTAAAAATCTCTTACACGTTACACTCAACCCGCCCCCATTCGCGCGGTTCCAATGCGTTTCTATCCCAATGCCGATATTAGCATTTATGGGGAATATAATTCCTGGAATTTGTATTGTCGTACACCAGAAAAGTCCTGGAAACGTGAGTCGCCGCTGGAGGGGAAGCACACGCTTGCCTATTGGCGTGACATCAAAGGTAGGCGAATGGACAAAATCACCCACCAGGATTTAGCCATCAAAGATTGGCCGGAGTCTCGTATACGCCCACAGGCCTGTTTGCCTCTCTATTATGGCGTGGGGGAGAGGTTCATACGTTTGGAAAAGGCCGCTCCTGCCGACTTCAAATGTGCCGAAATGCCATTGAATTTACGCGATGCCCGGGAATTGAAACGTCAAGAAAAACAATTGGCCAAGGAACAGCGTTTGTGGAAAAAGGAACAGGCCCAGATTGCAAAAGCTCAAAATAAAAAGAAAAATCGTTTTTTGAAATAGTCACCAAGGAAAAATTTTGTTTGTGCTTGGATCCAAGGATGTGGATGTGTTAATAAAAACTATATAAAAATAAATGTTTGCAATAAAAAAAATAAATATGTTAAGGGTTTTTCTTGGGAACTCAACTCAGTGTGGAAAAGATGAATTTTTAAGGATTTTTTGGAGCCTACTCAGACCTAGAAGCGTGGTTAATTTGTGGATTTTTTCCTGGATCCAATTTTATTTTTTTTAAGGATTTTTAAGGATCTGTCCTGAATCCTATTCACACCTACAAACGGTATTTTTTAAAAAAAATTTCAGCCCTACAATCTACTATTTTTAAAGGATATTTTCAAGGATATAATCAAACCTACAAACGTGTATTTTTTTGAGAAAATTTTCAAGGATATAACAAGCCCCATAAACTTGGATTTAAAAAAATATTTCCAGGGATATACCCAGCATCACAAACATTGATTTTTTTTGAGAATATGTTGAAGGACATATCCAGCTATGCAAAGCTATGCAATATTTTTAAGGATTTATTCAGACCTACAAACGTGGGTTTTTTAAGAATATTTTCAAGGATACACCGAGCTTTATAAGAGTGGATTTTTTAAGAATATTTTTAAGGATACACCGAGCTTTATAAGCGTGTATTTTTTAAGAATATTTTCAAGGATACACCGAGCTCTATAAGCGTGGATTCTTTTAAGAATATTTTCAAGGATACACCGAGCTCTTTAAGCGTGACTTTTTTTAAGAATATTTTCAAGGATACACCGAGCTCTATAAGCGTGGCTTTTTTTAAGAATATTTTCAAGGATACACCGAGCTCTATAAGCGTGGCTTTTTTTAAGAATATTTTCAAGGATACACCGAGCTTAATAAGAGTGGATTTTTTAAGAATATTTTCAAGGATACACCGAGCTTTATAAGCGTGGATTTTTTAAGAATAATTTCAAGGGTACACCGAGCTCTATAAACGGATTTTTGGAATGGATTTATCTATAAGCATGGATTTTTTAAAGAATATTCTTAAAATACAAATGTGGATTTTTTAAGGATACACCGACCTCTTTAAGCGTGGATTTTTAAAGAATATTTTCAAGGGTACACTGAGCTCTATAAACGGATTTTTGGAATGGATTTATCTATAAGCGTGGATTTTTTAAAGAATATTCTTAAAATACAAATGTGGATTTTTTAAGGATACACCAACCTCTTTAAGCGTGAATTTTTTAAGAATATTTTCGAGGATGCACCGAGCTCTATAAGCATGGATTTTTTTAAGAATATTTTCAAAAATACAAACGTGCATTGTTTTAGGATACACCGAGCTCTATAAGCGTGGATTTCTTAAGAATATTTTCAAAAAAACAAAATTGGATTTTTTAAGGATACACCGAACTTCATAAGCGTAGATTTTTTAAGAATATTTTCAAGGATACACAGAATATATTTTTAAGAAAAATTTCAAGGATACACCGAGCTTCATAAGCGTGGATTTTTTTAGGAATATTTTCAAGGATATACCGAATATATTTTTAAGAATATTTTCAAGGATACACCGTGCTCCATAAGCGTGGATTTTTTCAAGGATACTAAAGTGGATTTTTAAGAATATTTTCAAGGATACAAAGGTTGATTTTTTGAACAATATTTTCAAGGATACACCGAGCTATGTAAGCGTGGATTTTTAAAGAATATTTTCAAGGATACAAAGGTTGGGTTTTTAAACAATATTTTCAAGGATACACCGAGCTCTATAAACGTGGATTTTTAGGAATATCTTCATGGCTACGCCGAGCTCTAAAAGCGTGTATTTTTTAAGAATATTTTCAAGGATACAAACGTGGAGTTTTTTTGAGAATATTTTCATTTTCATTTCGGTCGTGGTCCTAACTCCCAAAATGTCAAACTGATTTTGGTTTCTCATCGACCTCAATAACCTCAATTAACCGTAATCCAAATTTGGTTTTAAACTATTCCCGAAAAATCGGTCGAACTTAACCCCACTTTTTTGGCTTACGTCTTTCTTGCAGCTGTGGTTTATCGTTGATAATTTCGCGGGTATAAGCCATGACATTGGCCGCATGCAACACGCACAGAATGTAAACTTTTGGTAGGATTTTGAAATTCCACAGCATGGTTTTTTAAGAATTTTGCCGATTTTTTACTTTTATCAAATTTTTAGGTTATGTGATTTTTTAAATTGAGGTTATGTTTATTTATTTAATTTTCTTTGGATTTTCTTTTTCCAATCCTTCACTTCTTTGGATGATATTTGCAAATTGAGCGCGAATTACGACCGTTGCCTTTAACGTTTCAAACGTAACTGTCGCTTGCAGTGGTTCGAAAAGATCCGTAACAACTTGTTGATCCCAAAGACCGATGACAAGAGGCAAAGCAAAGACGCCAACAAACAACTCCAACACTAAACAAAGCAATCGAAAAAAGAAAAAAACAATCAAAGAAATTGGGATTGCAGGCACAAGGCATTCGGGTTTTTATTGTTTCAATTTCGATTTTGAGATTTTGGAGAATGGTTGTCGTTTAGACAACTTGTTTGCAACATCAACTCCCTGGAGCGAAGATTTAGGCAACAGCTAGCCAGCCGCCTTTTTTAATGCATGGCTAGCAGAAGAAAATTGGGAGCTGTGAGCAAAAGTTACATAAAAAAATGATTGAAATTGAGGAATGTTGTTGCATGTCTTGCCTCATTTCCAAAGAGATCGGATAATTACCTGTTATTAAACCCACCTACCCCCTTAACTTTGGATTGCTCCAAAGAAGTTCGTTGCTACCTCTGCCAAGGCAAGATGAAATTTCGTTTGTTTACTTTGTGAGTGTGTGTGTGTTTATTTTTGCAACTGATGTAACAACGGAAGCTTGTCACAAGCTTGTCCCCTCCTCCCTCTCTTTTTAAATTCCACACATCTCCATTGTCCAATGAACCTGTATCTTCTCGCGTGCGCACCAAAAAAACGAAGTATGGCCATTTCATAGCTGCCCGGTTGTTTGGTATGTGGAAAACAAGCTCAGCTGGCTGGCTGCTTGCCTGCCCTGTCAGCTATGGCCAATGATGCAAATCCAAAATATAAACCATGACATTAAGTCACTCTGTTAATCGGCCCAAGCCATAACCCGCTGCCGCTGCAAACGAAAGTTGTTTTTTTTTCGTTTCCCATTGAGTTGTTGTTTTTGTTGTTGTTGTGGATCAAGCATTACATTGTTTATGTTGCTGCTTTTATTGGGCGTTTTGTTATTATGTGTTGCATGCTGGTTAATTTCGGGCATTTGGAAATGATGGATGGTTCCGCCTGTCTTGGGCAATAGGAGCGGAGAAATATTAGAGCAATATGACCAAGGGGAGAAGTGTTTGAAAGATCCATAGGTCTTACAAGGGAGCAATAATTGGCCATTACAAAGAAGGGTCATTTCTTCGGTATTTTTTTTTTTTGTAATTTCTAGGGTACAAAGCAAGGATATACCCAGCTCGATAAGAAATTTTCAGGAATACGTTCAAGGACACAAACGTGGATTTTTTAAGAATATTTTTAAGGATACACCCAGCTTTATAGGCGTGGATTTTTTGAGAATATTTTCATGGATACAAACGTGGACTTTTTTAAGATTATGTTCAAGGATATACCCAGCTCTATAAACGTGGATTTTTTAGGAATCTGTTCAAGGATACAAACGTGGATTTTTTAAAATATTTTTATAGATACCAACTTGAATTTTTCGAAAATATTTTCAAGGATATACCCAGCTCTATAAACGTGGATTTTTAAGGAATAGTTTCAAGGATATATGATGGATGGTTCCGTCTTGGACAATAGGTGCGGAGAAATATTAGAGCAATATGACCAAGGGGAGAAGGGTTTGAAAGATCCATAGGTCTTACAAGGGAGCAATAATTGGCCATTACAAAGAAGGGTCATTTCTTCGGTATTTTTTTTTTTTGTAATTTCTAGGGTACAAACCAAGGATATACCCAGCTCGATAAGGAATTTTCAGGAATACGTTCAAGGACACAAACGTGGATTTTTTAAGACTATTTTTAAGGATACACCCAGCTTTATAGGCGTGGATTTTTTGAGAATATTTTCATGGATTTTTTAGGAATCTGTTCAAGGATACAAACGTGGATTTTTTAAAATATTTTTATAGATACCAACTTCAATTTTTCGAAAATATTTTCAAGGATATACCCAGCTCTATAAACGTGGATTTTTAAGGAATAGTTTCAAGGATATACCCAGGATTATAAACGTGGATTTTTTAGGAATATTTTCAAGGATATACCCAGGTCTACAAACGTGGATTTTTAAGGAATATTTTCAAGGATATGTTCAGGTCTATAACCGTGGATTTTTAAGGAATATTTTCAAGGATATGTCCGGGTCTATAAACGTGGATTTTTAAGGAACGTTTTCAAGGATAAACCCAGTTCTTACCACTGAATTTTTTTAGTATATTCCCCTCTATATAAGCGTGGACTTTTAAGGAATATTTTCAAAGATATACCCTGGTCTATAAACGTGGATGTTTAAGGAAAGTTTTAAAGGATAAACCCAGGTCTATAAACGTGGATTTTTAAAGAATATTTTCAAGGATACACCGATCTCTATAAACGTGGATTTTTAAAGAATATTTTCAAGGATACACCGATCTCTATAAACGTGGATTTTTAAAGAATATTTTCAAGGATACACCGAGCTCTATAAACGTGGATTTTTAAAGAATATTTTCAAGGATACACCGAGCTCTATAAACGTGGATTTTTAAAGAATATTTTCAAGGATACACCGAGCTCTATAAACGTGGATTTTTCAGAAATATTTCAAGGATATACCCAGGTATATAAACGTGGATTTCTATTTAACGTTTTCATGGATATACCCAGGTCTGTAAACTTAGATTTTTAAGGAAATTTTTCAAGGATATACCAAGCTCTATACCTAGCTCTATAAACGTGGTTTTAAGGAATATTTTCAAGGATATACCCATGTCTAAAAACGTGGATTTTTAAGGAATATTTTCAAGGATATACCTAGGTCCATAAACATGGATTTTTTAAGAATATTTTTAAGGATATACCCAGCTCTTTAATCCAGACTTTTCGAAGTATATTTCCAAGGATATAACCCGCTCTATAAGTGTGGATTTTTAAGAAATATTTTCAAGGATATGTCCAGGTCTATAAACGTGGATTTTTAAGGAATATTTTCAAGGATATGTCCGGGTCAATAAACGTGGATTTTTAAGGAATATTTTCAAGGATATGCCCGGGTCTATAAAAGTGGATTTTTAAGGATATACCCAGCTCTATAGACGTGGATTTTTAAGGAATATTTTCAAGGATATTTTTAGGTCTATAAAGGTGGATTTTTAAGGGACGTTTTCAAGGATATGTCCAGGTCTACAAACGTGGATTTTTAAGGAAAATTTTCAAGGGTATACTCAGGTCTATAAACTTGGATTTTTAAGGAATATTTTCAAGGATATAACCAGGATATAACCAAGAAGAAGACCTTCCGATCTTCTATGAAGAAGAAGACCTTTCCATCTTCTATGGAGAAGACCTTCCGATCTTCTATGAAGAAGAAGACCTTCCGATCTTCTATGAAGAAGAAGACCTTCCGATCTTCTATGAAGAAGGAGACCTTCCGATCTTGTATGGAGAAAACCTTCCGATCTTCTATGGAGAAGACTTTCCAATCTTCTATGGAGAAGACCTTCCGATCTTTTATGGAGAAGACCTTCAGATCTTCTATGGAGAAGACCTTCAGATCTTCTATGGAGAAGACCTTCCGATCTTCTATGGAGAAGACCTTCCGGTCTACTGTGGAGAAGACCTTCCGGTCTTCTATGGAGGATATAACCCGCTCTATAAGTGTGGATGTTTAAAGGAATATTTTTTAAAGTATACCCAGGCTTACATGCGTGGATTTTTCAAGAATATTTTCTTCTTCTCTTCTATGAAGAAGAAGACCTTTCCATCTTCTATGGAGAAGACCTTCCGATCTTCTATGAAGAAGAAGACCTTCCGATCTTCTATGAAGAAGAAGACCTTCCGATCTTCTATGAAGAAGGAGACCTTCCGATCTTGTATGGAGAAAACCTTCCGATCTTCTATGGAGAAGACTTTCCAATCTTCTATGGAGAAGACCTTCCGATCTTTTATGGAGAAGACCTTCAGATCTTCTATGGAGAAGACCTTCAGATCTTCTATGGAGAAGACCTTCCGATCTTCTATGGAGAAGACCTTCCGGTCTACTGTGGAGAAGACCTTCCGGTCTTCTATGGAGGATATAACCCGCTCTATAAGTGTGGATGTTTAAAGGAATATTTTTTAAAGTATACCCAGGCTTACATGCGTGGATTTTTCAAGAATATTTTCTTCTTCTCTTCTATGAAGAAGAAGACCTTTCCATCTTCTATGGAGAAGACCTTCCGATCTTCTATGAAGAAGAAGACCTTCCGATCTTCTATGAAGAAGAAGACCTTCCGATCTTCTATGAAGAAGGAGACCTTCCGATCTTGTATGGAGAAAACCTTCCGATCTTCTATGGAGAAGACTTTCCAATCTTCTATGGAGAAGACCTTCCGATCTTTTATGGAGAAGACCTTCAGATCTTCTATGGAGAAGACCTTCAGATCTTCTATGGAGAAGACCTTCCGATCTTCTATGGAGAAGACCTTCCGGTCTACTGTGGAGAAGACCTTCCGGTCTTCTATGGAGGATATAACCCGCTCTATAAGTGTGGATGTTTAAAGGAATATTTTTAAAAGTATACCCAGGCTTACATGCGTGGATTTTTCAAGAATATTTTCTTCTTCTCTTCTATGAAGAAGAAGACCTTCCGATCTTCTATGAAGAAGAAGACCTTCTGGTCTTCTATGGAGAAAACCTTCCGGTCTTCTATGGAAAAAACGTTCCGGTCATCTATGGAGAAGTCCTTCCGGTCGTCTACGGAGAAGTTCTTCCGGTCTTCTACGGTGAAGACCTTCCGATCTTCTATGGAGAAGACCTTCCGATCTTCTGTGGAGAAGACCTTCCGGTCTTCTATGGAGAAGACTTTCCGATCTTCTATGGAAAAGACCTATCGGTCTTCTAAGGAGAAGACCTTCCGGTCTGCTATGGTAAAGACCTTCCGGTCTTCTATGGAGAAGACCTTCCTGTCTTCTATGGAGAAGGCCTTCCGGTCTTCTATGGAGAAGGCTTTCCGGTCTTCTCTAGCTAAGTCCTTTGGGTTTTCTATGGAGAAGAAGACCTTCTGGTCTTTTGTGGAGAAGAGAAGAACTTCTGGTATTCTGTGGAGAAGAGAGGACCTTATGATCTTCTATGTAGACGAGAAGACCTTCTGGTCTTCTATGGGGACGAGAAGACCTTCTGGACTTCTATGGAGAAGAGAAGACCTTCTGGGTTTCTTTAAAGAATTCAAGAGTGTTTTCTTAAGTAAAACATTATAAGTTGACCAAGTTTTAATAGCCAATTTGTGTGTGTGAATATGCCCTGTGCTACCGACAACCTAACTGTTTCTATGTTCATATTTAATTACCTGGATGGAATCGAGCCAATAACTGAAAATAAAAAAAATTGCAATAAAAACGATTACTCACACAGTTAGCCAGCCAGCCAGCCAGCCGGGGGCTATGACATGATCGGTATTATCAATTACCACTCGAAACGATCCGTTTGCCAAAACATTCATGACAACAACAGCGATAAAGTAAACAATACTTGAATATTACCAAATCTATAAACAATTACAAATTCCAAAACAATTGAAGAGGTTGATGTTCCACATTTTGGGTGTTTTTTTGGTTTTTTTAGGTTAAGGCCAGCTCAAATGTTTGAAAACAAATCAGTTTCCTAACAACTCACATCGAAGTAATTTTTTGTAATTATTTGCAGATTTTAAGATTTGTTTCCATTTTTTGGTTTTGAACTGTTATCCTTATCCTATTTTCCATTTCAAAACAGTTTTCTTTCAAATTCGACCTGTTTTGTGGCGCCACTTGCTTTTATTCGCTTCTCGCCCCATCGAACGTCAAAAAATGCTTTATGACCGTTAAATGTGTACAGATTGTGGGGAATCCACTTCGAGGCGATTCGAAAACTGGTTCAATACCAAAATAAAAATTTCCATTTCAAGTCACGTTTTTTTTCTAGCGTTTTTAATTCCCATGGGTTTTTGCTGCCGAGAAAATAAGCAGCTTGTTTGGGCCTGCATGTCGCGTGTCAAATTGAATAACAACAATAACGGTTGTATTGATGTTAAGTTGCCGAGATGATGTGTCAGCTGATAGAAGGGCAAAAGACCTTCATGTTGTGGTAAATTTCCATATTCAAAATTTCTCGAAATGTTGGACTTCTTTGGAGAGATCAGTTGGGGGGATGAAACATACCAACTGGTCTTATAAGAGAAGACAAACTGGTACCTATTGCTCTTCTCTGAGAAGAAACCTCCTGCTCTTCTATGAGAAGACCTATCAGAAAACCTTTAGGTCTTCCATTAGAAGATCTTTTGGTCTTCCATGAGAAGACCTTTTGGTTTTCCATCAGAAGACCTTTCGGTCTTCTATCAGAAGACTTTTTGGTCTTCTGTCAGAAGACTTTTTTGTCTTCCATCAGAAGACCTTTTGGTCTTCCATGAGAAGACCTTTTGGTCTTCCATCAGAAGACTTTTGGTCTTCCATGAGAAGACCTCTGGATCTCTTCCATGAGAAGACCTCTGGATCTCTTCCATGAGAAGATCTCTGGATCTCTTCCATGAGAAGACCTCTTGATCTCTTCTATGAGAAGACCTCTTGAGCTCTTCTCTGAGAAAACCTCTTGAGCTCTTCTATGAGAAAACCTCTTGAGCTCTCCTATGAGAAGACCCCTTGAGCTCTTCTATGACGAAGACCTCTTGAGCTCTTCTATGACGAAGACCTCTTGAGCTCTTCTATGACGAAGACTTCTTGAGCTCTTCTATGAGAAAACCTCTTGAGCTCTCCTATGAGAAGACCCCTTGAGCTCTTCTATGACGAAGACCTCTTGAGCTCTTCTATGACGAAGACCCCTTGAGCTCTTCTATGACGAAGACCTCTTGAGCTCTTCTATGACGAAGACCTCTTGAGCTCTTCTATGACGAAGACCTCTTGAGCTCTTCTATGACGAAGACCTCTTGAGCTCTTCTATGACGAAGACCTCTTGAGCACTTCTATGACGAAGACCTCTTGAGCTCTTCTATGACGAAGACCTCTTGAGCTCTTCTATGACGAAGACCTCTTGAGCTCTTCTATGACGAAGACCTCTTGAGCTCTTCTATGACGAAGACCTCTTGAGCTCTTCTATGACGAAAACCTCTTGAGCTCTTCTATGACGAAAACCTCTTGAGCTCTTCTATGACGAAGACCTCTGGAGCTCTTCTATGACGAAGACCTCTTGAGCTCTTCTATGACGAAGACCTCTTGAGAGACCTTGAGCTCTTTTATGAGAAGACCTTGAGCTCTTCTATGAGAAGACCTTGAGCTTTTCTATGAGAAGACCTTGAGCTCTTCTATGAGAAGACCTTGAGCTCTTCTATGAGAAGACCTTGAGCTCTTCTATGAGAAGACCTTGAGCTCTTCTATGAGAAGACCTTGAGCTCTTCTATGAGAAGACCTCGAGCTTTTCTATGAGAAGACCTCGAGCTCTTCTATGAGAAGACCCCTTGAGCTCTTCTATGAGAAGACCTCTTGAGCTCTTCTATGAGAAGACCTCTTGAGCTCTTTTATGAGAAGACATCATGAGCTCTTCTATGAGAAGACCTCTTGAGCTCTTCTATGAGAAGACCTCTTGAGCTCTTCTATGAGAAGACCTCTTGAGCTCTTCTATGAGAAGACCTCTTGAGCTCTTCTATGAGAAGACCTCTTGAGCTCTTCTATAAGAAGACCTCTTGAGCTCTTCTATGAGAAGACCTCTTCTATGAGAAGACCTCTTCTATGAGAAGACCTCTTGAGCTCTTCTATGAGAAGTCCTCTTGAGCTCTTCTATGAGAAGACCTCTTGAGCTCTTCTATGAGAAGACCTCTTGAGCTCTTCTATGAGAAGACCTCTTGAGCTCTTCTATGAGAAGACCTCTTGAGCTCTTCTATGAGAAGTCTTCTGGGTCTTCCATGAGAAGACCTCTGGGTCTTCCATGAGAAGACCTCTGGGACTTCCATGAGAAGACCTCCAGGTCTTGAGAAGGGCTCCTGGTCTTCTCCTGCTCTTCTATGAGCAGACCTCCTGCTCTGCTATGAGAAGACCTCTTCCACTTCTGTAGTATGTATTTGGGTCTCCTATGAGAAGACTTCGTGTATTTTTAGGAAAATAGCTCTTGTTTTGTAGTTATTCGCCATGGTGTACTACCGAATATTTTATTGTAAAAATTCGGCACGACATTAGTGGGTTGTGTCACAGATTTATGGACATTTGTTGGTTGATGTCTTGGCTGCGGTAAAATTGGATTTATAGCTTCCTTTGTCTAGATGGCGCCATCGCAGTAGTCACTTTTGGAAGGCTGCGATTATTGTTTGTTTTTCTTGTCATTTTAAAAAGTCGACCTATTCACCCTTTCACTTCACTCGCCGATTCACCCATATTTTCATTTTTTTTTAAAGGGTTCGGTTTCAACCTCCATTCGGTGCATCGTACTGTCATTGGAAGCGCCTGGAAATTTCATTAAACCTAATATCGAAAGAATCTCCAACAATTACATTTAATTTGCTGAAATCACATTTTTATTGAATACCCTAGCATTGACGTGCATCTGCGAACTACATATTTTCTAGTTTTTTCTTGCGAAATTCTACAAAAATTCTTCCGAAACTATTTAACGAAACAATTTATTCGTATCCCCAGCCAAACTGGTTAATTTTAAACTCTCCAAAATGGCGCCCAACCGTTTGCTCACGGTCTCCGCCCACAGAATGGTTTCGGGTCCACAGCCGTTGGCCAGGCCGTCGACACAGGCACGCAGCGCCACCCGATACATGGTGTGCGGTTGGAGACCCGTCAACGTAAACGAATGCCTATCTCCCGCTATCTCATGGTCGTAGGCCAACTCCTCCCGCTCCACACAGTTATTTTCCTGTTTGAAACTGGTACTCGGGTGGCTGGTATTGCACAGGGTTGGCAGGGTGGTGATTTCGAAATCTTCTTTACGATCGTCTTGCTCTCTTTTAGAGTTATTCATTTGCTCTTCTTGGATTCGAAGGAAATATTCTTTGGGATCTTCAGTTTTTACAACTCTGCTGAGATTTTTGGGTTTGGAACTGGGGGGAAGAGATAACGTTTAAAAGTAATTTCTGTTGTTGTTGTTATGTAATATCTCTCACTTACACATAAATAAAATTCGAGAGACCTTCATCGTAGACAATTTTTTCGGGATGATAATAGTCCTTGTCCAACGGCGTTGGACCACTCAGTTCGGCATCCATTTTGGAACAGTGGCAATTGTCGGCATTGCCAAACAATTTGTTGGGAATCGCCACGGATGTGTGGTCTAGAAAAATATAAGAATATTTTTTTATTGATAAATCTGTATAGAAAATGGAGGAAGTGTCCCTACTTCCTTCTGCAACATCGTATTTGAGCAGGTACTTGCTGATAATGCCATTCGGATTGCGTGGAGGCCACCAATGGATTTCCTAAAGGGAAGAGAGAGGGAAGATAGTAGTCTTTATGGAATAGCTCAAGTTCTTCTCAAGCAAAGAATATTTCCAAGGTCATCTTTAGTCAATAGACGACCTCAAGGTCCTCTAGAGCCAATAGGAGGCCTTAAGGACCTCAATAAGCCAATAAAAAGACTTAAGGACTTTGACCTTAAGGTCATCTATAGACATTGGAAGACCCCAAGATCCTCTATAGTCAATCGAAGGCCTTGAAGAGGATCTTTAGACCTTAAGGTCCTCCATAGTCTTCTAAAGACTTATAGGTTCTCTATAGCCAATCAAATAAAAAAAATAGCTATAGCCAATAGAAGACCTTAAAGACCTCAAAAAGCCAATAGAAGACCTTAAGGTCCTCTATAGCCAATAGAAAAACTAAAGGTCCTCGATAGCCAATAGAAGACCTTAAAGACCTCAAAAAGCCAATAGAAGACCTTAAGGTTCTCTATAGACAATAGAAAAACTAAAGGTCCTCAATAGCCAATAGAAGACCTTAAGGTCATCTATAGCCAATTGAAGACCTTAAGGCCCTCTAGAGCCAATAGAAGACCTTAAGGTCCTCTAGAATCAATAGAAGACCTTAAGGTCCTCTAGAGTCAATAGAAGTCCATAAGGTCCTCTATAGCCAATAGAAGACATTTGGGTCCTCTATAGCCAACAGAAGACCTAAAGATCCTCTACAGCGCAAATAGAAGACCTTGAGGTCCTCCCTAACCAATAGAAGACCTCAAGGTCCTCTAAAGTCATTAGAAAATCTCAAGGACCTCTAAAGCCATTAGAAGACCTCAAGGTCCTCTATAGTCAAGAGAAGACCTCAAGGTCCTCTAAAGCCATTAGACGACCTTAAGGTTCTCTATAGTCAAGAGAAGACCTAAAGGTCCTCTATAGCCATTAGAAGACCTTTAGGTCCTCTATAGCGCAAATAGAAGACTTTGAGGTCCTCCCTAACCAATAGAAGACCTCAAGGTCCTCTAAAGTCATTGGAAGACCTCAAGGTCCTCTAAAGCCATTAGAAGATCTCAAGGTCCTCTATAGGCAATGGAAGACCTCAAGGTCCTATATAAGCAATAGAAGACCTCAAGGTATTATATAGCCAATGGAAGTCCTTACGGTCTTCTATAGCCAAAAGAAGGCCTTAAGGACCTCTATTAGGCTTAAGGACCTCTCACGCTCTTCTCCAGCTAATATAGGACCACGAGGTCCTTTCTAGTTAATAAAAGACCCTTAGGTTCTCTAAAGCCAATATAAGACTTTAAGGTCTTCCAACAGACACCACGGTCTTCCGTTGTCAATAAAAGACCCCGAGGTTTTTTTACAGCCAAAAGAAGACCCTAAGGTCTTTCAAAGCCTATAGAAGTTTGCAAGATCTTCTACATTCAGCCTTGGGACGACCTCGAGGTATTCTCTGGTCAATAGAAGACCCTAAGGCCTTCTCGTATCTTTCCTGGGTCATAGAAGCCCCTCAAGATCTTCTGTCCCATAACAAATATCCCCCTAAAATATCCTCCACTCACAATCTCGGTCGGCGACACCGGACGATAGTAGATTTTCGCCAATGGGCCAGGCCTGCCGGGGGCCGTTCGAAAATATTGTATTTCTGATGTGGCATCCACGTGATAATGATAACTGGTGATGGTCAGCGTCTTAACAAAATACGCATACTGGGTATAGGGCTTTAAATGTCGCAGAACATGACGGCGCTGCTTGCTCGACGTGGTGTCCATGAACCAGCTGTCCTGACCACAGCCATGGCGATTGTATTTGCTGATGTTGCGCTTGGGTGCCTCACGATAAAAGTATACATAACCAATTAGGGGCACCAGGGCCTCGGGGGGCAGGAAATCGATAACAATGCGGGCCTCGTTGGCATTGATGGCTTCCGTTGTCACCTTCAGTTCGCTGATAACATTGTCACCTAAGAAAGTTAGGAAGGAAGGTCAGTTCTTGAATGGAATACCTGGGCCTTGGGATACTCACACGACAGCAGTTCCCCATTGGAATTCCTCGAAACATCCGCTATGGAAATATTCGATTCCTTCAGTTGCTGACCCAGCTGGGCAATTTTTTCATAGCACAGTCGGGCATTCAAATGGAAGTAGATACGTCCCTTCGAAATGGCCACCCGTTGATTTGTATTCCACAGATCTTCCAGATAATGATTATCCACCACATACAGGGCATATAGATTGTCGATTAGGAACTTGCCGCCAATCGTATGTAGGTTACGCAGGAAATGCAGTGACACCAAAGAGGGTGAGCGTGTTATCTTTAGATAGCCCGTGATTTCACTGAGATTGCCAAAGGCTTTGTCCAAATCTTCGATGTTTGTATCTGGAAAATGAAATAAAAGAATGTGAATAATTATGATGAAGTACATCGAATGCAAGTGCCTTACTTACTCTTAAAATCGGTCAGCTCCAAGGTCAACGAACCCTGCAGTGTGGTACAATCGGCAAAACCCTCCAAGTCCTCGGATGATTTGATGGTGAAATTTCCATTACAGCTGAGAGAACATGAACGTGGTTTACCATTTTGAACAATTGTTTCGTACATTTTGGGACATTTTTCCACGCAATGGACTCCAAGGCGCAGCAACCCATATTGGCTGCAGTCGAGGACGCATTGACGCCCAAATGCCTGAAAAAGTGGAATTTTTTCCTTAGTAAACTCTAAAAGTTCAGATCCACTTTTGTTGGTGCTAAAAAAATCGTCAATTCGACTTTTCGTCAACGATTTTCGACTTTTTAAACGTTAAACTTGGATGAGCCAAAAAGTATGCAACGATTTAATGACATAATCAATAATAAACACAAAATTGATGCCACACGCCATCTACAGGCAAAACTACACATCAAAAAAAAATCTAAAATCGACTTTAGTCGAAAATCGATCGAAAACAAATACAAAAATCGATTCTAAAAATCATTCGACTTTTGCTTTCTTTTTTATATTCGAAAAGAGATTACAAAACAATAATTTTCAAAAAAAAAAATCAAAATTTCCAAACTTACCCTCGCCCTGGGCGGTATACAATCCTTGACGCATTTCTTACCGCTTATCAGCGACGTACAGTAGCCACAATTGTCATCGGAACACGAAGTCAGACATCGGCCACTGCAACATTTACCTTTTTTATTGCATTTCTGTGACGGACAATCGGCCGAACATTGATTGCCGTTGTATTCGCCTAAGATTTGTCTCTGCGGCTTGCCCAGCGACCAACATTGCTGGTGGTGTTCCTGATTTGGTCCATAGCAGAGGGGACAATAGTTGGGTGGTTTATTGTTCTGTGAGAAAATGAGGGAAATGATGTGTTTACTGTTTAAACTGAAAGTGGGGATAGGTTATCCAAATTATCCAAATGAGGTGGATAAGTTATCTGAGTTATCCGAGTAACATGGATAAGTTATCTGAATTATCCGAGTAACGCGGATAAGTTATCTGAGTTATCCAAATAACTCGGATAACTTATCTGGGTTATCCGAGTAACGTGGGTAAGTTATCTGAGTTATCCGAGTAACGTGGATAAGTTATCTGAGTTTTCCAAATGACACGGACAAGTTATCCGAACAACGTGGATAATATAAGTTATCCAAAATTAGTTGTCTGAATTATCCAAATAACTCGGATAAGTGTGGATAAGTTATCTAAGTTATCCGAACAACTTGGATAAGTTATCTGAGTTATCCGAATAACTCGGATAAGTTATCCGAATAGTGTGGATATGTTATCTAAGGTCTCTGAACAACGTAGATAAGTTATCTAAGTTTCCCGAACAACGTGGATAAGATATCTGAGTTATCCGGATAACATGGATAAGTAATCTATGTTATTCGTCTTACGTGGAAGAGTTTTCTAAGTTATCCAAAGAACGTGGATAGGTTATCTGAGATATCCGAATAATCTTAATAACTTGGATAAGTTATCTACGTTATCTGAATAGCGTGGATAAGTTATCTGAGTTATTCGAATAATCTGAATCACGTGGATAATATATCTAAGCTATCCGAATAGCGTAGATAAGTTATCTATGGTATCAAAATAACACGGATAAGTCATCTTAGTTATCCAAAAGACGAGGATATGTTATCTGAGTTATCCGAACAACGTGAATAACTATCTACGTTATCTGAATAGCGTAGATAAGTTATCTGAGTTATCCGAATGATCTGAATAACGTGGACAAGTTATCTACGTTATCTTATTTATCCGAACAACTTAGATAAGTTATTTACCTTATCCAAGTAGCGTGGATAAGTTATCTGAGTTATGCTAATAAAACGGATAAGTTATCCGACCAACGTGGATAAGTTTTCTAAGTTATCCAAAGAACGTGGATAAGTTATCTGAAATATCCGAACAATGTGGATAAGTTTTTTATGATATCTGAACAGTGTAGATAAATTATCTGAATTATTCGGATAACATAAGGTATAGAATAAAATAAGTTATCCGAGTAAAGTTATCCGACAAACGTGGATAAGTTTTCTAAATTATTCAAAGAACGTGGATAAGTTATCTGAATTATCCGAACAATGTGGATAAGCTTTTTATGTTATCTAAATAGCGTGGATAAATTATCTGAATTATCCGGATAACACGGATAAGTTATCTAAGTTATCAGAATAATGTGGATAAGTTATCCGAACTACGTGGATAAGTTATCTGAACTACGTGGACAATTTCTGTGAGTTATCCAAAGAACGCGGATAAGTTATCTGAGACATCCGAACAAGGTGCACACATTATCTACGTTATTGGAATAAAGTAAATAAGTTATTGAAGTTATTCGAATAGGACGGATACGTTATCTAAGTTATCCGAACAACGGGGTTACTGTATTTCTGTTATCCGAATGACGTCTGAATAACAAGAATAATTTATCTGAGTCTTCCGAATCACACGGCTAAATTATCTACGTTATCCGATCAATGAGGATAAGTCATCTAACTTATCCGAATAAGGTGGATAATTCCGTTTTTCGAACAAAGCGGATAAGTTATCAAAACTATCCCAAATGGCACATTCAAGCCTTCTCTTCGCTTACCTTCAAAACGTAGTGGAACTCCTTGGTGTGATTGCCCAAAATCGACACCCAATTTATGGTGTGTGCGAAACACAACGACGGATTCGATTCGATGCGTATCGAACCACGTAGAACTCTTAGCAGCGACACCAAGCCAATATTTTCCAAATTACGATTTTCAAACAAAACCAAACCGTATTTCTCGTACAGCAATCGTACACCGCGTATGACCAGAAGTTTGGGAAAAATTCTCTCCAAACTGTCCAAGCCATGCACACGATATACCAATAAATAATCCGTGATTTCTTCCAGCCTCAGCGATGGCAGGGAGGCTAACATTTGGGGTGTCAGTTCGAATTTAACCAGCTTTACATGGCCAGCTATTATTGTACAATTTTGTATCTTTTCGAGGTCGTGGATGTTTCGGATTATGGTCGATTTACAAATAATTGGTTCCTGGCCTTGACTCGCCGCACAGGGAAGACGGGCGCCGGGGAAGCCAGCGACGACAAAAAGGAGAAAATAAACCGGCAAATATTTCATTTTGTTGGCATTTTTGTTGTTGGTCATTTGGGTTTTTTTGTTTTTGGTCAGACTCTTTGCACTTTGGGTGCTGCTCCTCCACCTCCTTCTCTACTTTGGCTTACGTATCGCAGTTATTGTCTTATGCTGGTGTATTGTGGGGCGACAACGGCGACGATGGTGATGCTCGCCCAGCTGAGTTAATTGTTTAATTGGAAACTTGACCCCGAAATCAATAGATGTTATTTTCACTAAGAATAAATGACTTTGTTGTTGTTGTCGTTGTTGTTTTTGAAATATTTTTTTTTTTGGAATCTTGGAGAATATTATTTGTAATTATTTTTTTGTGTATTTTCCTCAAAGAAAATTACGAAATAGTTTTTGATTTCACTTTTATTGAATTGACCAAAAAATATTTTTTTCTTCTTGAAATTTTGCATCCAATTTGATTGCGTTCTCTCTGGAGCCGCAGTCCCGTACCGTAAAGTAATCGATGTTCACCCTTTCAATGATCAATTGAAACTAAAGAGTGAGTATCTGGATCAATTTCCAATCCAAAGGCAACCTATTATTTCGGTTGGCCGAGAGACATACTGTGAGAGAGACTTAGATGGCAATACATTTTGGTGTAAGGGAAGCTCTCTTTGGTATTAATGAGAGCGAGAAGAGCAAATTTTGTTTATGACATAAACAGAGAACGTTTAGGACTTCAAGGAATTGTATGAATTTGGTTATGGCCTAGTCGAAGTTAAGATATTAAGGGTTGCCATCTATGGGAAATAAATTAAATCAATGGAATTAAAAAAAAACTATTAAACATTAAAAAAAAAAAATAAAATTAAACATAAAAATAAATTAAACATTAAAAATAAATTAAAAAAATAAAATTATGCTTTTAGTTTTAAAAAAACTTTAATTAGTTATCTACGTTATCCAAATAAAAATTATCTACATTATCCAAATAACGTGAATAAATTATGTACTTTGTCCCAATGACGTGGCTTAATTAACTTAGTTACCGAATTAATGTGGATAAGTAATTTAAGTTATCCGATATATGGTGATAAGCTTTGTAGCTATCCAAAAAAAATGGTATGGAACTTTACAAAAAGCCGAATAACTCGGATAAGTTATCCCAATAATGTGGATACGTTAACTAAGCGGTCTGATCAAGATGGATAAGTTATCTGCGTCATCCAGATAATGTGAATGAGTTATCTACGTTATCCGAACAACGTGGATAAGTTATCCAAAGTACGTGGATAAGATATCTTATTTATCCGAATAAGGTGGATAAATTAGATATCTCATTCAAATTGCGTGAATAAGTTATCTAAGTTATCCGAATTACGGAGATATGTTATCTAAGTTATAACATTAATAAGTTATGCAAATAACGTGGACAAGTTACGAATTTAAGTTATCCAAATTGAGTGGATAAGTTATTGAATAAATTATCCGAATAACGTGTATAACTCATTTATGTTAACCGATTAACGTGGATAAATTATCTAACTTAGATAACTTATCCACATTGTTCGGATAGCTCGGATAACTTATCCACGTTATTTGGATGACTTATCCATGTTAAAACTTAGATAACTTATCTCAGTAGTTAGGATAACTCAGATAACTTATTCACGTTGTTTGGATAACTTAGATAATTTGTCCACATTATTCGGATAAATTAGATATCTAATCCGTACTTTGGATAACTCTTCCACGTTGTTCGGATAGCTTAGATAACTCATTCACGTTATCTGGATGGCTCAGATAACTTATCCATGTCGATCAGATAACTTAGATAAAATACCCACATTATTCGAATTATTTGGAAAAACCAGATAACTTATCAACGCACAGTGGTCGAGGTCGTATGGGAACAGCGGCCAAAAATACTTTCAGTGCAGATATCAATATGAATCTTTGGTTATGGTACCTTTATGGGGTAAATATAAAAAATGTGACAAAATGGATATGGTCGATGCATGTTTTGACATGGTCCCCATGTAACGTACCTCCCGAATAAGGGTTATTTGCCCAATTCTTGTCATATTTCTACACCAGATTGTAATGTTATTTGACATTTTACGTTCTAAGGAGCTAAAAAATAATCTTACTGAAAATTATTTGGAACAGCCCGCCATCAGGTAGAGTCCCTTGTAAGGTACCTCCACAAATGGAAGCATTTTTTATACAAATCAAGTCCAAATTTGATTATTATTTGTAAACAAAATAAAATAAGAATTTAATGTAAAATTAGATCAAAGATAAATTTTGCACAAATAATTAGTTTGACTTAAGGCCCTATTGAAATTGGATATAACCGGTCAAAATTTAGGTATAGCTCCCATATATAATCATCCAATTTGCCTAATATTGTGCACCAAACATGTAATATCATCCCAAATAGTATGGAATATACGTACGACCAGATGGGGCCTGAAAATAAGTATGCCAAATTTGGTCGAAATCGGTTCAGATATATATAGCTCCCATATATATTGTTCATCCGATTTGTTATTTTTGTACCCTTTCTAAATTTTATCGAGATCTGTTGATATTTGGATATGGCTCAAATATATATCTTCTTCCGATTTGCCTTTATTGTGCACCAAACGTGTAATATAAGCCCAAATCAAATTTAGATATAGCTCTCATATATATCTATCCGATTTCAAGTTAATTGTGCACCAAATGGATAATACAAGCCCGAATTGAAAAGGCGCAAATGCCTCGACAATTTTAATAGAAATCGATTCAGAGGAGGATATTCCTCCCATATATTAGTTCCTTTGGACTTTTAATTATTACTATAATCATTGTTGGTATGATTTAATTCTCACAAATTCCCCATTAAAACCTTTATTTGTTATGTGACGCTCTACTAAATATGCAAAGTTGTGTAGGGTATCATGAAGTCGGCTCCACTCGACTTTAAGACTTTCTTTACTGGTTATTGTTTGGTAACGTTCGCTGTCTCATTATAAAAGGGTCAGAGCTCAGAAGAAGACGGTTAATAAGATCTGTGTTTGTTGAGCATGAGAAGATAGTGCCATGGATATAAATTTGTTAACTCTTTAGCAGTTTCCAGTGCAAAGGCCTTAAATTTTTCGACATAAATATTATACCCAGAGGACAATGCTTGCAACATTATTAAACACCCCTCAATTACATCCTTATCAATCGCTAACAACAAAAGCATATTCTATGTCACTAGCACCATAGAACTGACAAAATTTCAGCGAAGTCACTTCAGTATATTGGGCATAACGTACACATCTGACAAAATCTGAAAGTTTAATTAGCACTTTTAGAATCTTAGGACCATTACTAATGGCGTGAAAAAAATCACATTGGAGGATTCAGGGGGGAAAATAATTAAAACTTTAACTGAAATCCAATTTTATTTTCAAAATTAATCTTAAAGGCAACTCAGAACACTCACATCTTCCATATTATACACATATACTAAACACACAAATTACTGCACTAAAAATAAGTTAATACCTTGCTTTTCAATAATAATGCCAAGATTTGTAATTTTAAAATGTATTTAATTTTGTAATACAGTTCTATTTTTACTCCACTTTTTCTCTGATCCCACTGAAAAAAACAACTAACTACATTTTCTCTTTTTTGATGCTATTTTCGAAGTGTCCCGTTAGAATGAAGCCAATATTATTATGTTTTCTAAAAAGCTTAACCCCTTAAGAGTTAATTTGTACACATTTGACAATAAATATCTGATTTTCATTTTTCGAATTTTGGCCAATGGCAGCGACCACTGTGCAACGGTTATTCTTGGGGTAACTTAAATAAATTATCCACACTATGCAAACAACTCAGATATCTTATCCACATTATTCGGATAACTTAGAGAATTTATCTATGTTATTCAGATAACTCCGATAACTTATTCGGATAACTCCTATAACTTACTGGGATAACTGAAATTAACTATTTACTTTATTCGGATAACTTATCAATGCCATTCGGATAACTCACATAACCTATCCTCGTTATTCGGATAGCTTATCCACCTTATTCAGAATATTTGGATAACTCTATAACGTATTCACATTATTTCGATAACCGAAATAATTTATCCACCTTATCGGATAACTTAAATAACTTAACTACGTTATTTGGATAACCTAGATAACTTATCCACGCTGTTCGGATAACTTAAATAACACATCCACGTTGTACAAATAACTCAGATAACTTATCCAAGTAGTTCAGACAACTTAGATAACTCATCCATGTTATTCGGATAAAGTGGATAACCCATCCACATTACTCGTATAACATAGATAACTTATCCAGATCATGCAGATAACTTGGATAAATTGTACATCATATACAGGAAGCTCAGATGACTTACCCACGTTATTCGGATAACGTAGATAACTTATCCACGATGTTCGGATAATTCAGATAACATATCCACGTTCTTTGGATAACATATACATGACATTCAGATAATTCAAATAACTCAAGTAACTTATCCATGTTATTCAGATAAATCAGATAACGTATTTACTTAATTCAGATAATTTAGATAACTTATCTATATTATTAGATAACGTACATAACTTATCCACGCTGTCCGGATAATTCAGATAACATGACTTGGACAACTTATCCACGCCATTCCGATTATTCAAATAATTCAGGTTACTTATCCCTGTTATTCGGATAACTTACTAACGATATTGGGATAGGGTAGATAGCTTATCTACGTTGTTCAGATAATTCGGATAACATAGATGACTAATTTGCGTTATTAGAATAACTCAGATAACCTATTCGCGTTATTTGGATAACTCAGATAATTTATACACATTACTCGGATAGCGTAGATAACTTATCCACGTTGTTCGGATAACTCAGATAAATTATCATGTTCTTTGGATAAATCAGATAGCTTATCCACATTACTAGGATAACGTAGATAACTAATTCGTATTATTCGAATAATTCAGATAATTATCCAGTTTATTCGGATAACTTAAATAAGTTATCCACATCATTCGGGTAGCGTAGATAACTTATCCACGTTGTTCGGATAACTCAGATAACTTATCCACATTACTCGGAAAACTTAGATAACTAATTCGCTTATTCGGATAACTCAGATAACTTGGCTAAATTATCCAAATCATTTAGATGATGTGGATAACCTTATGCCCACTCAGGCTTAAGAAGTTAACTTCTCCTTTCCCTCTTTTGCCCACAGAATAATAAACCACCCACCTATTGTCCCCTCTGCTATGGACCAAATCAGGAGCGCTACCAGCAATGTTGTTAAAGTCCTTTATAGTTCCAACATTTATTCCCAATTTTTTCGAACTTTTCTGTTGATTTGGCAATCCTGCCATGGCAGGGGTATGTTGCAAACCCCAACCTAAACCGGTTGTTCCTGATGGCTGGTCTTCGTTTGGACGCTGGGCTGTGTAAGATGTTTGATAGTGCTTGTTGTTGCCACAAAACTGTTTTTAGACTTATTGTCCGA